AAGCACTTTGTGCGAACCCTGTACATTGATAAAGTTTAATCATAAAGTTACTAGTCGCCTCCCCCATGTCAAACTCTTGGATTCAGGAGGCGGGATTATTAAGGGGATAGGGTGACATCACCCTAACACACCAATGGTAACATAATATTCTCTTACCCAATTTAAATAAGTACCGCCTTGTAAGCAACATCGTAGAAGGCGTGTTTGCAGAGGGGCATGGTTTATATAGCTATACTGGGGGAGTTGTCATGTCAACACATCTGTCATTGTTGCTGTGAACCGCATCACAAGAGACATGTCAAACGGGAGATGTTTAATAAAATGCAATTTAAATGTTGTTTTGAGTTGCTTTGTGTATCACCAGATTTGCTTGAAATGGATTTTACTGTAACACTGCATCCAAGTTTCTTGACATAGGCATTTCAAAGAGCTGTCAGTCAAGGCAAGCTCATGAATATAAACTCCCCAACCCACTCAGGGTCATGACTAGTTATGTTGGGATCTATTTTCTTATAATTAGATGTGATGCCTAGCTTAAAAATAATACATTAATGATTAAACATAATAGGTTTGTGCTGTACTGATATAGATTGTTTAACGTAACAAGCTGTGACTAACGTGAGGAACCGTTAGGGGGGAGGCTGAGATAGACTTGTGACAACACACTGCCTCTTTGTTAAACCGCTCAAGGACATGTGTACTGCAACAATGAAGAAGAGGAAACTATGTCTGAGGTTGCTGACTCTCGAGACAAGTTGCAAAAAACAACTAATGCCCGGCAACAGTGAAGCGCCACGGGGCTGGGACCAGCCTGTGCGCCAACGATAGGCTGAGTAAGTTTAAACCACGCTCAGCCTCTACTCTGACAGGCCCGCTTTGAACGGGAACTCTCTCTGTCAGAGTATTAAAATAATAACTTTGGGTTGGGACAGTTAGTTCTCTGTTTTGCCCTGCGAGGTGTTACAGTGAACCCGTATATACGAAAATTGCATTTACCATTTATTCGCTTGACTAATTATATTAATAAAAAAGCAGAGAATATTTCAGTGACATAGTGTTCAATTCTGTTCTGATACCAGATTTGAATTACGCTATTTAACAGTTACCACAGCCACAAAGTCAGAAACCCTGCCTATGTGATTTTAAAACCTAACCTTGACCACACTGCTAACCTTAGCCCTATCCCTAAATTAAGACCAATAAGCTAATTTTTGTTTTAATGTATTTTTAACTAGTGGAAACCCCCACTCACAGCCTTGCTTTTCAAACTTCCTGGTAGTTAGTCATGAGAGAAAAAGTACTTAATCAAATTGAACATTCCTATCCCTTACATTTTTTATGGGTGATATTTTTGTCACTCAAAAGGCTATTTTACATGGGAATCATAATGACTATTCTGGACCTTTGACGATCCTGCATAAACCCAATCACGTGCCACATGGAACAGGTCCGCCTCTTTTTTAACTCAGTCAGCTAACTGTAGCTTTTGTATGACTAGCTTTAGCAGCCATGTTTGTTTAGCGTTCGTTAGCCTCTATGTAGCAAAACAGTTGTTTATTCGCTGTCGTTAATATACAGTTGCCCTCTGATGTAACCAAAATACGTTAATGACCAAAAAATGTACTTTTAAATAGCATTTTGGTTGATACGAGGAGCTTACCGTGTTGTTACCTAGCCAGTTATCGAAGCAAAGAAAGCACACTCTTTGAGTTGAGAAGATATCCGCCCAATTTGAGCTTTGATTGGTGTAGACTTGTGGGTGTGACGTACACGATTGGTTTAAAGACCCCTCTGTCAAGTTAGAGAACCCATATCTGAGCAAGCGGAGATATTCAATGCATCTAGCCTAAGAACATCCTACCACACCCACTCGGATCTTATTGCTTAAATATACACGGAGTATACCAAACACTAGGAACGTCTTCCTAATATTGAGTTGCACCCCCCCCCAGTGTAATTTCTGTAAAACAAACTTTGTTGCATGATGATACACACGAAAAATTAGAAAGGGTTTTTTCTTCAAACATTTATTGACATGGGATTATATCAACATAAAAAAAAAACGTGTTCACAACAAAACAATGCAGACTTTTAGATTAATTTTTTACAAAAAAATAGCCCAAACATTTCGATTCCAGACCTGAGTTTGGTGGTACCACTAAAACATTAACAAGTTGTGACAATAAGTACAGACAGATACAACTTTTGGAAAAGTTTATGAAGTAAAGATGAGTAGCACTGTGACTTTGCATTTGGTTGCGTGTCTTCCTTCGACTCTCATCATATCAGCTTATTTTGTAGTCATTCATGTTCAACAAGCATTCACACAAGACAGACTGCATACAATCATGCATTTATCAGTCCCAGTCCACCCATCCTACAAAAAGCAGAATGGAAGCATAAAGCTCCTGGTAATACAAAATACAATTTCCTCAGTTTTAACAATACAAAAAGCTATGTTTGAATACAATCTTGCTGGGATAAAGATTCAGTGCATTTGAAAGCATATCCATGTGTTTCTCTTCATATTTCATCATAAAGGCTTACCTGAGTGACAAGAATCAATGGTTGGGCTCAAGTACTGTAGAAACTGGGCAGACTGTAGAAACAGTAGAAATGTACACCTGTTCCCTTCATGCATCAGTTAAAGTACTAGGAAACAGCCCCCACAATAATGTCAACTCCTTCCTTTATATACAAAACCAATCAACAGCAGAACTACCACATCAAATCAGTATGCTCCAGCTGTGTTACATGATTTCCAGCCAATGAGTGGTCCATTGGCAGTTTATAGACTGGTTGGTTGTTTAGCAACAAAAACGACGCGTCTGCAACTATGGGGCAACACAGACGGGGTTGCCTTAGATTGTTGAAATGTAAACTATATTTAGTCTCCGATGTTTATTGAAAACAACTATATTCGCACAATGAGCACTTGCCTCTCAAATACATCGTTACAGTTGTTGGTTAGCTAGCTTGTGAATTTTATCCTTATTAGCATAGACGTGACATCAGCCAAAACACCTAAAAACAAGACACGGTATCAAGAACTAAATAAAACGTACTGAAACGAGCACCCTACGATTCCCCACACGGCAGCTTCTTGTAATGGTGCTAGCTATCTGGCCATGCAGAATCACAACAGACTTCTGCCCCATTGAAGCATGTGCATCGTTTTTGTGACGTTGTCAACTAATCCGTCTATTGGACGAAGAGAGTTCAGATAAAAACTTTATAAATACAACGGTCTGAAACATGTCAGAGCTAAGTTCTAGCCCATTTCCACTATCATACAATTTTAAACATGATTTAATGAGAGAGACTATACCAGTTTGACCAATAAGCATGACAAACAGCAAATCTGGGAAACGAAGGGGAAGATTATCTTAATGGAACAGGTCCTTCACACTGAAATGAAATGTTGACAGTGATGGTTGACACAGTGGTACCAGAGGTTTTCTTACCTTAAAACCTCTAAAGTCCCTCAGTTGAGTATGTGTGATCACCACAAGCAACCCTATGGTGTGCCATGAAACCAGAAATAATATTGACAAAAGATTATGCACCTTACCAAAATCTCAAAAGAGAATTTCAGTTGCATTCAAAATGTATGAGTGAAGACATCAGTTATTGTTAAAACAGTAGTTGAAGCAACAGTATGAATTCTGTTCAAAACACTAAAAGACAAAATCAGTCCATTATCAAAATGTGTATGAATATGTAGATAAGTACTGTAGTATAAACACTGTACGTTAGTGTAATTATTTGAGTATTATGACAAACATTTTACAACCATTTAAAACAATGACTGCAACACATTAAAATCTAGAAACTAAAATACAATCCTTAAGGGAAATGTAAAAAAATATTTGTCATCTCCATCACCACCCCAACATCAACATGTGAAAATGGCACATTTATGTTTTGCAGTAAAAAAAAGATAGAAGATAAGTGTTCCCAATGACGTCGATGTGCATCATTTGATTTGAACCAAATATGAGTAGGCATTGCCTACTAATTGGTTGACTTCATTGGAAACACTTCTCTTCCTGTATTTTTTACTCCAAAACATAGAAACGCACCATTTTCAAGTTGTTGTTAGGGTGGTGCTGGAGATTAATATGAAGTTGAAAAACTGAAATGTTTTCTTAATTTCAAGTATTTTTTGCAACTTTTAACTAAATGTAAAAATATTTTATGTCCACTTCAGTCATTTTACATTATTAATATAAACAAGTGATAACCAAATAATGCAGATACATAAAAATAAAAAAAACTAGAATTTACTAAACTGAGATTTCTTTTTTGATTCAGTGACCAAAAACATTTAAAACGATGGCTTTGAATACATGCATTCTCAAATAGACCTGTGTAAGGAGCACTCAACTATCCTTCAATTCAACAGGACACAGCAGAAAGGGCCAGGGAGGCAGTTGGCAAAAGAAAAGGAAAGAAATTGAGGAAATGTTCTAAACGCATTCAATACTAATAATAAATAGTATATTAAAAACATTCTGAAAAATACTAATTGTTAGCAAGACTTACACATTTTAAGAAGTGAATCAGACAAGTTTGTTTCTTCTACCGTGCATTCAAAATGACTTAAAAACAGCCATGTTTAAAATATAAGGTCCAGTCATTCCATGAAATTGGATTCGAGTTCATATCACAATACAAAATTGAATAACATCAAAAATAGTATTTACATTTTTCATAAATAAATTCATTTTGTTTGTTTCATTTTTTTGCAAGCTTTTCTTTCACACCTCCTGTTATTGCCCCACAGATAGATTGGATATGATGATGTAACAAGGGAGAAACTTATACATGCACCACTGGAAAGTATGTATTAGAAGTACATTTCTTTGCTGTCAAGTTGAAAACCACAAAACATGATTCATTCAAACACAAAGGGAACCAAAGTCACAGAGCAAATGTCTTATGGATGATGTGGAGGCTTCTACAGATACACTGTCAGTAATTCACCCCTTCATCAGGGATCATTTAGGTAGAGGGGGTAGCGGAGGTGGAGGTTCAGCAGGCAGGGGTGGAGGTCGAGAGCCCCCCCTCGACCCTGCGCTGTATCTGTACTCCCCGTACTGAGACCGGTAGTCAAACATGGGAGGCTGGGCAGGCTGGACCCCCTGAGCACTCAGTAAAGAGTTCAGCATCTCAAACGTGTCCTGGTACTCATTCGACTGGCTGCCCCCGCCTGCATTGTGTCCGTTAGTGTCAGCCTTGTCCCCCTTGGAGTGAGAGTAGTTTCCCTGGTGGAGGGAGGGGAGACCCAGGGAGGGGAGGATGTCAGTGGTTTGCACCCCTAGGGAGTGTGCACCAGAGGCGGCTAACAGAGCAGGCAGCTGGTGGGCTGAGTTCCTGGAGGACTTAGAGACTTTGGAGGGGTGGGATCCCTGGGACTCTGTGGAGTGTGTCCTCTTTCGAGACGCGGAGGAAGAGGAGCTCATTCTAGACGAGTCACTGGGGGCCTTTTTGCTGCTGCTTCCTCCTACAGCTCCAGCAGCACTGGCTGAGTGTTTATGTGACGAGGACGAAGAGACGGAAGCACCGCTCAAAGACGACGATGAATGATGGTGGTGGTGGTGATGGTGGTGATGGTTGGAGCGTTCTCGATGCTTGCCCTCTCTACTCTTGCCCCCCTCCTCTCCCGAGCCTCCACTGCGTACTTTCTCAGGCACCCGGATTCTCACTTTGATGTCCTGTTCTCCTCCTGCTCCTCTGTTCCCTCCTCCACTGTGCCCCCCAGTCCCCAGAGGGAGGCGCATCTTCAGGGAGCTGCGCTCGCCCCTCTCCTTTTCAAGGGGGATTTTGAGGATGATGGGCGAGGGGCTGCTGAGGTCAGAGGAGGCTGAGCTGGAATGGTGGGCGCTGGACTGCTGCTGGTCACGGTGGTACTTCTCCTTCCTCTGCTGTTGGCCTATCAGAGCTTGGGCTGCCGAGGCATACTCCCTCTTCACGCTGGCCTCCATGTTCTCCAGCTTCCTTTTCTGAGCAGCCAGGACGTCAGCGTGCTTGGCCCGGTACTCACTCAGTGACACCTTGGCTGGGGCGTGCAGCTCGACGTGGTTGGGCTGGTCGGAGCCACTGCCCAGGGTCGACTTGAGCTCCAGTAGTATGGGAGCCATGGAGGAGGAAGATGAAGAGGAAGGGTTGGAGAGGCTGGCCAGCGTGGTCTCAGACGATGACATGGAGATCATGCTCATCATGCCATCTGTCTGGTCCCCGTCCTCTGGCACCTTAGACTTCCCTCCCTTCACTGTCTGACCTGCCGCCTGGGATGAGAGACATTACTGAGTTAGGGAACGAAATAAGGAAATACCCTGAATGAAATGGACCTATGAGAATTTAAAATCAGTGCAAGTATGTTACAAACTACAACTTACTTTCCAGTTGCGAATTCGTTTTAATCGGCTTGGTGTCTTCTCCAAGATCTGCAGGAAGTCGTGAGTGAGCTCTGTGGGTAACAAAGTAAAAGTATTACAAGGGGCTCTGCAATTCACTTCCTTACAATATAACCAACATCTGCACAGACATGAACATTTTTATTCAATCAAACATACCGTCCAGCAGCTCAAGGGTGACAGTATTGTCCACATACTCCCACCAGTGCTTGCCGTCTGTGGAGACAGGGATCTCCCAGTTGGACCACTTGCAGGCCAGGTGGATGCAGACGCAGGCCACTATGGGCGGGCTGTACTGCAGGCAGAATGTGGTCAGGTGTAGGCTACACAGCAGGTTGGGTCCCAGATTAACCATCCAAGGGGGGTGGGGAGAAGAAACAGATTCAGTTCCAGAATACCATGAAAAGGAGGACTGTGCATCTCATCAATGGGTGGTGATTTCATTCAAATACAGGTCATAAGATCATCTTTTTCAGTTTAGACAACGTTGCATTGCATTTGTATAGAATAAAGTTGTATTCAATTGAAAAATGTAAAGCTCAAAGTAGCACAGAGTGGAGTGAACAGCATACCTGTTGGTAGCCATGAAGTATGATGTCTGGGCCAAATCCTTACTCGCTGGGACAACAACACGAGAAACAAGAAAATACAATTAAAACCTGCTGCGTTCAAAATAATGGCAATAAATACACGCGATAAAAATACTAATGAATACATCTAAATAGGTGAGAACCATTTATGCCATTTGTATAAGTACTAGGGTTCTCAAACTTCACCAGTCGCCTACACAGGGGGTTTGTTGAGGCTTACCTCTGACGAGCTGGGTGCACTTGACAACATGAGTATGTGGGTGGTCAATGGTGATTTCAAAGGCTGTAATGAAGGGGGTAGAAGGGAGACAAAAGGTTTCATGAGCAACAGAATGTCTAAGAACAATCTAGAATCTTCTATCCTGATTTATGGGAACCTGAGGGTGTTACGTCAAAATAGGTTCAGCTCAATAGTTACTGAATATTCAGTACTCTCACTGAGCATTAAAATAAATAATTCCCTGAAAACCAACGTCTTATGAAACTACAGTAAATAGTGAATGAATGCACTGCTTTAGATCTTCAGATGACAGGCCCTGTATAAGACAAATGTGAATGAGTGAGTTGAGACTTAAAGGTTTGGCATTAACATTTAAGCCAGTCATTGAGACAGGGGTTATAGGTGGTGAATGGGCATTTTACTGTGCAATCCCAATTCTATCAATACTGTACTAAATTCACAATCTCTAATGTGATTACAACCAACATATCTTCCATCACAACAATTACGTGACTCAAAAGAATGGCTTAAAGTCACGAGGAAAATGTGAAAAGAAAGTGCTGCACTGTAAAGTTAATGACGAAAACAGCGGGGAACCGAAAATGCAAGACAGTAGTGATAAAGTGAGCATGAAGGACTAGATGTGTGACCTTCCAATGGAATGGACTGCTACTCAAGACTCTGCTGTAGGCAAGAACAAAGATGTTTAATATTATCAGTAGGCAAGCAGCACATCTCTCTAGTTTGGGGTGAAATCAAAGACCCCATTCATTTGTCCATCCCAACTTACCCAGGGTCTGGAGTATAATGCTCTCAAGAATGACCAGGTCTTGGGCTTGTTGCAGGTAAGCCTGAGGTTGAGAGGACAGGCAGGAGACAGGCATTACTCACTAGGAGGCATTCTCTCACCCCTCATGTCTCACTCACACCTCTTGCTTTCCCTTTACGCAGTCTTACCTTCAAGGAGGTACAACCGCCTCAGAACACCCAATTTCTTACTTTGTTATAATAATTTAAGCACTTAAAAAAGGAGCATGATGGTAAAGGTAAGATTGAGAAAAAGGAAAACCCCAAAGCGCAGGTTAGCTTTACATTTTCTACAGATCAAAGCAGTGACTATGGACCAGGGGTTGGATCCGGTTAAGGGAATAGAACCGAAAACAACGACTTTTTCAAGGAACAGAAATGGAACCTGGAATGAAAATTATCCATACTGTTCCGGAACAGAACCGTTATTTTAAAAGCATGGGAACTGGTTAATAACACTATTTTACGTTCCAGATTTGTTTTACGAGTCCCCCAACAAAGCGCCTACGCAAAGCCCTCACTGTCACTCAGAAACGTATTCCAGTGTCTGTTCGCAACCTAAAAATCTTTGCCTGTGCAGGCTACCTGCCCCTCCCCCCTTTGAAGCATAGGCTATGGTACTAACGTTAGAAGCTTGATTCAGAAGATAGGGAGAAATATTTTTTATTAGCTAGAGAAGAATGGATACATTTTTTCAATGCTAGTTAAGGATACTATAGGCCTAGTTACCACGATGGATTTAACTACAAAAATAAACATGTTTTTAATTCTGGTGCCGCTCTGCACACACAACTTGTTAGCTAGCTAGCTCAAAGGACATTCAAAGTTCCTCCATAGAAGCCGCTCCTCCTAGGTATTATTTAGTGGACCTAATTCAGATAACTCATAACAAGACGTCCAGAGGTTCAAGCCTCCTCCACCCCCTCTTGCTGTCCCCACCCGCAAAAGTTCAGTCACATCTTGCATCATAGGCTACACTTGTCTGTCCATCATGCATGTAAACAACTAGATTGCCTGCTCTATCTGCACTGATTAGTGAAGTAATTGAATGAGATAAATGTAAAAAACGTGATTTCACAGGTTAAAAAAGGAACAGAATGGAACGACATACCAGCCCTTTTTTGGGGGTTCGAACCTATTCAGAACTTTATTTTGCTGAAACAATCAAAAAAAGTGGTTCTGTTCAGAACAAAACAATTGGAAAATAATTTTGCCTCCAACCCCTGGTATGGACAGAGCTGTTTACAGATCTCCCAGTCTGAAAGGAAGATGGTGAGTGTGTGGAGAATATCAACATCCACTTTGTGAAAGAGAATGCATTGAGGCTATGTGTTCTTCACAAAACATATCACAATACCACTTCAAATGTTTTCAAGAACTTGAAAGTCACGTTGCATTAAGAGTTATTGCTCCATTTCTTGCCAGACCTTGTATCAAATAAAGCAACATCCAATCATATAAAAATAAAAAACTTGTTTCATATAACACCAACAGCCTGCAAGCGGAGAAATCAATGTCAAACAGTTATGATGCCACTACCATCATGCATACTGACACAAAAGCACATACTTTGGGTCTTTAAAAATACCAAAAGGTAGAGAACACTGGACCTACTGTTAAAATATTGAAATGTGTTTCCGACCACTGAGACAACATACTCCAACACAACCACACCCAAATCAGTTTGTGGTCAGAGGATCACACTGCAAGAGCCATAGTGAGTTTGAAGTGGTCAGACCATCGAGACTTACATCACTGCGGACGTCTGGTGAAGGGTCCTGAGGGTTGAGGCATGCATGGGTCACCTTGATAACATGCTCCAACTTGCGGGGCTGTTCCTCAACCTTTGCAGCCAGGAACAGTGTTGCTGGAGCTATGACCTAGGAGTAAAAAAATTGAAAATTTTGATCAAAACTGGTGTCTTGTTAGTGCTATGCAGGATGCATTTCACACAAGACTTAATTCAAACTTAACAAGACCAAATTGTGCAAAAGAGCCTGTTAGTGTGTGCAAAAGTACTTACATTTCGGTGGAACCTGGTGAAGGACTGGATCATGTAGAATCGGTGCATATACACAATAGCAGTATTAATTGTTAGCTGGGACCTGATGCATAAGGGTTAAGGGTTATAACATAATATCTCAGTGAGACTTAACTCACAAAAAGTATATTTTTGATAAATTACAGTTTATGTTATGCAAGAGCAGCTACCAACTTATTTTCGACAAAACTAGCTAGTTGTGGATGTAGCTAAGTGATCTGCTGTAACTACTCCTAGTGTTGACCGGTGGTACATAGTAGGATAACATTATTTTTATTTATTTATTTTACCTTTATTTAACTAGGCAGGTCAGTTAAGAGCTACACGGGCCCCAGTTGGTAGAGCATGGCGCTTGCAACGCCAGGGTTGTGGGTTCGTTTCCCACGGGGGGCCAGTATGAAAATGTATGCACTCACTAACTGTAAGTCGCTCTGGATAAGAGCGTCTGCTAAATGACTAAAATGTAATGTAAATGTAAGAACCAATTCTTATTTACAATGACGGCCTACACCGGCCCAACCCGGACGACGCTGGGCCAATTGTGCGCCGCCCTATGGGACTCCCAATCACGGCCGGTTGTGATACAGCCTGGAATCGAACCAGGGGGTCTGTAGTGACGTCTCAAGCACTGAGATGCAGTGCCTTAGACCACTGCGCCACACGGGAGCCCGAGTGCTAGAACAACATACTAGCTGGCTAGAACAGCATTCCCAACCTGCTCTCAGAGTTTTCGTATTATTCTGTATGTAAATCCGACACACTCCATTTAGTATATGTTACATTTGGTGGGGTTGGTTGGGTGGACGTATAACGCAAGCGTCTAGCAACCCAAAGGTTGTGAGTTCGACTCTCATCACGGACAACTTTAGCAACTGCTTTTAACCTAACTCCTAAACTCAACCCTAACCCCTAGTTAACACTAGTGAGCTAGCTAACGTTAGCCACATAGCTAGAATTCGTAACATATTGTACGTTTTTCTAAGAATTGTGTTCAGTACATATCATACGAAATGGATGATGGACATTCACAAATGAATACATACCATACGAAACATATCATACTAAATGATGCCGCTCGGATTTAAGTACAGAATAATACAAAATGCTCTGAGACCAGTTTGGCATTCTGGGTCAGAGTTTGTTGTAGTTAAGGGGGTAGCAAATGGCCACGAAAAAGCCAATGACATGTTATCAGAAATAAGAAACTAACGTTAAGGTAACTAGCTTGCAAGCTTTAATACACAGGGACATTTTATCACAGAACAGCATTGGACCTCTCACCAATAACATTTCTATTATGTAGCTAGTTAACATAACTTCAGATAACGTATGCTTGCCCCAGGATGTTTTTAGCCTACTAGCTAGCTAGCCACTCGGTAGAGCAGATAAATAGATTCAGCTTAGCTCCCACAACAGCGCCACAGATCATTCATATCACCTTAACAATGTGGCCAACAAAACCAATGTCAAGAACGTGTTTGATACACCAGAACCCCGTTTATAATAAATAAATAACTTAGACAAACGGCCCGTGCTCGGCTTTTGTTCTCCACAGGAAGCGTAGGCCTAGGCCGCAGAGGCCTACACAACGTTAGCTAACTGGCTAGGCTAACTAGCTAGTTATGCTAATCGAACGCAATGCCCTGGCCCGCGCGAGTAACAGCATTCAGCAGAAAGTCTGGGCCGCTTGTGGCAAATATCTAGTAACTACGCCAGTCTGTACACACCACAGATTAATAAATAGGCTAAAATGAATACAGTATCAGCAATAACACCAACTATATACAGTATCCATATAACCTAGCAGATATAAGCTAGCAACTAGCTATGCCGCCAAACCGGCTTCAATCTCTGTAGCTAACTAGCCGTTAGCAGGCGCAAGTCGTCCCCGGCCCGACAAAAGATACACATTGAGTCGCTGTCCCATATCCTGTAGAAGGTTCGCGGCTTGTTGTCTGTAGGACAATTCCTTGTCTGGATCAAGCCCCGCACGACGAGACGGGCTATTCTCGATCTGTTCTCGGGTGAAGTACCATTTGTTGTTTGTTCCAGAAGGAGAAGGGAACGAAGCCGCCATTACTGAGAAGGACAATATTTTAGACTTTTGGTACGTCACAGGAACTGACGTCAATGGTGTGGATGGCATAAATATGCCATGTGTCCCCAAAGCATCATTTCAGCACCGCCGTGCTGTGAATGGGTCAGATATGGTAGGAGAGGAAAGTGAAGCAAGTATGGAACATGGTGGTACAAATAGAGGAGGGAGTAAGAAAAAGGGAGAGAAAGGGAGTAGGGGAGCGAGAGGTCTACGGAGGTAGAGAGGAGGCAGAAAAGGGAGTTTGAGGAGAGCAACCTAGCTTCCAACGCTAGCGGAAGTTCGGAGGTAGAAAGTGCAGAGGAAGGGCAAGATAAGACACGAGAGGAACATGGAGGTGAGGAGGAGCATAAAGTAAGAGGGAGTTTGGGCGATGAGTCCGATAAGGTTGACGGCTGTGATAAAATAGTTGATTGGGGAAGTTGTTAATGCTAAAGTGTTAAGAGATGGGAGATTGTTGGTGTGCTGTAAGGACATGGCGCAGAGGAAAAAGCTATCGGAGTGAAGCAAATAGGGAAGTGTAAGGTGGAGTCAAGCAGGGAAGCAGTGGAGTAAAGGGGTGATAACAGGAGTGCCTGTGAGTGTTAGCGCTAAAGAGGTAAGGGAACATTTGCGAGGAGGCGTTCTAGTGAATGTACACAGATTGCAAGTAACAAGGGGTGGAGATAGTGAGGGGGAAAAAAGTATTTGATCCCCTGCTGATTTTGTACGTGTGCCCACTAACAAAGACATGATCAGTCTATAATTTGAATGGTAGGTTTATTTGAACAGTGAGACAGAATAACAAACAAAACATCCAGAAAAACACGTCAAATGTTATAAATGTATTTGCATTTTAATGAGGGAAATAAGTATTTGACCCCTCTGCAAAACATGACATAGTACTTGGTGGCAAAACCCTTGTTGGCAATCAGAGGTCAGACGTTTCTTGTAGTTGGCCACCAGGTTTGCACACATCTCATTTTGTCCCACTCCTCTTTGCAGATCTTCTCCAAGTCATTAAGGTTTCGAGGCTGACGTTTGGCAACTCGAACCTTCAGCTCCCTCCACAGATTTTCTATGGGATTAAGGTCTGGAGACTGTGCTTCTTCTTGAGCCACTCCTTTGTTGCCTTGGCCATGTGTTTTGGGTCATTGTCATGCTGGAATATCCATCCATGACCCATTTTCAATGCCCTGGCTGAGGGAAGGAGGTTCTCACCCAAGATTTGATGGTACATAGCCCCGTCCATCGTCCCTTTGATGCGGTGAAGTTGTCCTGTCCCCTTAGCAGAAAAACACCCCAAAAGCATAATGTTTCCACCTCCATGTTTAACGGTGGGGATGGTGTTCTTGGGGTCATAGGCAGCATTCCTCCTCCTCCAAACTCGGCGAGTTGAGTTGATGCCAAAGAGCTCGATTTTGGTCTCATCTGACCACAACACTTTCACCCAGTTCTCCTCTGAATCATTCAGATGTTCATTGGCAAACTTCAGACGGCCCTGTATGTGTTTTCTTGAGCAGGGGGACCTTGCGGGCGCTGCAGGATTTCAGTCCTTCACGGCATAGTGTGTTACCAATTGTTTTCTTGGTGACTATGGTCCTAGCTGCCTTAAGATCATTGACAAGATCCTCCTGTGTAGTTCTGGGCTGATTCCTCACCGTTCTCATGATCATTGCAACTCCACGAGGTGAGATCTTGCATGGAGCCCCAGGCCGTGGGAGACTGACAGTTATTTTGTGTTTCTTCCATTTGCGAAATGTCGCACCAACTGTTGTCACCTTCTCATCAAGCTGCTTGGCGATGGTCTTGTAGCCCATTCCAGCCTTGTGTAGGTCTACAATCTTGTCCCTGACATCATTGGAGAGCTCTTTGGTCTTGGCCATGCTGGAGAGTTTGGAATCTGATTGATTGATTGCTTCTGTGGACAGGTGTCTTTTTATACAGGTAACAAGCTGAGATTAGGAGCACTCCCTTTAAGAGTGTGCTCCTAATCTCAGCTCGTTACCTGTATAAAAGACACCTGGGAGCCAGAAATCTTTCTGATTGAGAGGGGGTCAAATACTTATTTCACTCATTAAAATGCAAATCAATTTATAACATTTTTGACATGAGTTTTCTGGATTTTTTTGTTGTTATTCTGTCTCTCACTGTTCAAATAAACCTACCATTAAAATTATAGACTGATAATTTTTTTGTCAGTGGGCAAACGTACAAAATCAGCAGGGGATCAAATACTTTTTTCCCTCACTGTAGGGTAGATAGCACGTCTCTTCTGTTACATTTTAAGGACCGGGTACTGCCAATTAAGGTAACAACAGGATATGAGTTATGTGAGGGCTTATGTACCGAAGCCTTTAAGATGTTATAAATGCCAGAGGTTTGGGCATGTGGCAACAGTCTGTAAAGAGAAAAAGAGGTGTGCCAGGTATGGAGGAGAGCATGAGTATGGGAAGTGTGGAGATGGTGTACAACCAAAGTGCTGCAACTGTGGGGGTGCTCATAGTGTGGCATATAGTGGGTGTGAGGCAATGAAGAAGGCAGTGGAGGTGCAACAAGTGAGAGAAGGGTGTCATATGCTGAGGCAGTGCGGGTGGTCCATGAGAGAAGGGTGTCATATGCTGAGGCAGTGAGGGTGGTCCAGGTCCAGGGAGATACAGGTTCAAGGGAGAGATGGGTAGGAGCATCTAGACCGGGGATTACGGGGCAGGTGTGCAGCGATATGGTATACATAGAAAAGAGAAAGCTAGTGACGTTCATAGCAGGAGCTATCAATAGCACTGATAAAGAAGAGTCTAAAACTGAGAGGATTAAACTAATAGTGAAAGCTGCTGGGAAACATTTGAGTATGACAGGGTTGACATGGGAAGAGGTTCGAGATGACCTCAATCAGCCGATGGTGTAGTCATGTATTACTGGAGCCTAGTTATGGTGGTAGTACTACAATGGAATGCTCGAAGCCTATTGGCTAATGGGCAGGAATTCAAGCAGTTCATTGTTGATATGATAGCTAAGCCTGATGTGATTTGTGTGCAGGAAACATGGCTCAAACCGAATGTGGAGTTTATCATACAGTGATATGTAGGGGCCGAGATATAGGGGGAGGGGGGGGGGGTGCCACCTTCATAAAGCAAGGAATTCCCTACAAGATGATAGGCAAAGGTATTGAACAGGAGAGTGTGGATGAGAGGAGGGGTGCTAGTGGTAGTGAATTACTATAATCCGTGTCAGGTGTTGGAAATGGAAGTGCTGGAGAGGGTGGAGGGCCAGGAAAGAAGTAAGGTAATGTGGTGTGGGGATTTTAACGTCCACAACACGCTTGGGGGGGGGGGGGGGGGGGAACGGATGGATGGAAATGGCCAAGTGATGGAAAATTTGATAGAAAAGAAAGATCTGGTGTGCCTGAATGATGGCCGAGGGACCAGGATTGATGTAGCCACAGGGAAAGAGTCTGCCTTGGACCTCACTCTGGTATCTAGTGCGATGGCAGGAATATGTGAGTGGCAGTATTCTTTACCAGGAGGAAGGTGGGAGATGAGGTATGCTTGAGGTTATATGGGAGAAACTTGGAGAGGGTGGGGGCCTTCAGGTTCCTTGGGGTATACTTTGACACTAGACTGACCTGGGCAGAACACATTGAGAGAGTGGTGGGAACGTGTAAGAAGGTGCTAAATGTGATGCGCTGTCTGACTTGGAAGGAGTGGGGGGCTTGGCGTTCCTCATTGAAGACCATGTATGTTGCATTGATCCGATCTGTAATAGACTATGGAAGTATAGCATATGGTTCGGCAGCCTGGACCTCACTGGAAAGGCTAGATGTCATACAGGGGCAAGGACTCAGAATATGTAGTGGGGCGTTTCAGACATCCCCAGTGGCTGCATTACAGGTGGAGATGGGGGATATGCCGTTGCAGATTAGGAGACAATCTTGAACAGATGGTTCAAAAGATCCAAGGACAGGACGTACTGGATCAGCATTTGTAGTGTGGGGTGGAAGTCAGGAAACGTATGACAGATCATCTGGCTGTATATACGGCGGAGCTGATGGCCATACTGTTGGCCTTGCAGTGGGTGGAGGAAGTTAAGCCAGACAGAATAGTTATTTACTCTGATTCATGTGCAGTGTTAATGAGTCTTCAGTCCTTTAGCTCACGTAGCAGACAAGACTTGCTTTATGAGGTTCTACAAACCCATGGCAGGATTAAGCAGATGGGTATTCAGATAAGATTTACTTGGGTTCCAGCACGTGGGGGTGGAGGGGAACGAGGCAGTAGATGAACTGGCTAAACAAGCACTTAGTAGCGAGGATGTTGAAGTGTCAATGAGCAAGGCAGAGGCAAAAATACTGATGTATACAGTGATGGTGAAGAGATGGCAGGAGCAGTGGAATAGAAATAATAAGGGAAGGCATTTATTTCAAGTACAGAGGAAAGTCGGGAGGGGAGGACAGCAGGAAGGGACAGAAGAGAGGAGGCTATTTTTACAAGATTAAGTGTGGGACACAGCCAGTTGAATAAGACATTAAACGTTATAGGAAAGCATCCATCAGGAAAGTGTGATTATTGTCAGGAAAGAGACTGTGGAGCATGTATTGCTACAGTGTGGGCAGTATCAGAGGGAAAGAGAGAGGATGAGATTTAGTGTGAGGGAGAAGGGGATACAGGAAATTAGTTTGAGTATATTGAGCAGAACGTCATTAGATATAGTCTCAAATATTTTCTTTTTTAAGAGAAATGGGGTTTGCAGGTAGGATTTAGTTTCTCCCCGTCTCTGGCCAACATTCCAGTATGGTAGGTGGCGGTAATGCACCATAATGTTGGATGCCAACCGCCGATAAACCTCACTGAAGAAGAAGAAAGCATAATTTCTAAACATCTGTGGCAAATAAACTAAACCCATCTGGTGTCCATGGCATGACAGAAAAGTAACTGCAAAGGGCCTACACTCAGCAGACAAGGGTGAGTGAATCTATAACATATTCCCGGTTTGGACGTGGACTGCAGTGTGAGGCCGGGGATGCAGTCTCGCCTCGAATGGGGACTGTTTTGGATTATTGCAGGTGTGGTGGTCTGGTGCTTTTACAGTCGCGGAATAATCACCCAGGAGGATGCTACACTTCAGTACTGGACGAGTCAGCCTACCAACGGAGGAGGAGCTGTGAACGTCAGACGACCATGTCCCCAATGAAGAGCTCCGGGGCCTGCTGTGTGTCCGATGTTTCTACCTCCATGCCTGGCTGTATCAATGCTCCCTCCGCTCAAGATAATGCCTTTCCGAACCGCCCAGCATCTGAAGGTGTGGAAGACATGGCCCAAGAAATCCCTAATGTTTGTTTTGATTTTAAAAGCAACCGAGATTCTTATTGTAATAAATTGCTATATAAAATAAATCCATTAATATTCTTATTACTACTCAGCAGTATCACCCAACACTCACAAACCTGGTCTCAGAGCATTTCGTATTATCCTGTACGTAGATCCGAGTCACTCCATTTTGTATGATATGTTAAATTTAGTATGGTACGTATTAATTTTTGGATGTCCATCACCCATTTCGTATGATATGTTACGAACTCTATCTAGGTGGCTAGCGTTAGATGGCCAACGTTAGCTAGGGTTAAGGTTAGCGTTAGGGGAAGGGTTAGCTAAGTAGTTCAAGTTGCTAAAATGTTAATGTTGTCCGTGATGAGATTCGAACTCTCAACCTTTGGGTTGCTAGACGTTTGCGTTATACTCCCACCCCGACCAACCACCCTACAGGTCTGGCAATGTAAGCACATGGTCCAACATGCTGTTCCAGGCCGCTATCTGGGGGACCCAATGAGAAGGGTGCCCTGCTACCAGGCCGTGTACTCCACTTGGTACAACTAGATGATAATCAAGTAGCAAACCCATGGAAAGAATCATAGCAACTCTGGAAAATAATTGAAAATGACTTTAATGACAAAGAGTAATGCAACTGATAATTGACAACAAGCTATATATACACAGTACATTTTCAGTTCTGTTTGCAACAAAATAAAAAAGCATAAAACATCATTGTAAATACCACAATTTACACAGTCACATTTCCAAATCGTTCAGAACGCCTCCGTTTCTTTGCCTGTCGGAAAACATATTTGTTTACATCTTTACGGTATTAAGTATGAAAGAAATTGTATAATATACCTGTATCGATTCGATACATAGAATCTGAAAACATACCTCGACATCAGGTATGACAGCAGCGAGGATCCCAAATCTTTCTTTCCGCTTCTTCAGCTTTTCATCTTCCTCAACCTGTAACACACATATGGTCTTAAATATGTAACATGGAGGTGGCTTAAATCAGAAATGCTGAAGTACACTGCTCAAAAAAATAAAGGGAACACTTAAACAACACAATGTAACTCCAAGTCAATCACTCTTCTGTGAAATCAAACTGTCCACGTAGGAAGCAACACTGATTGACAATACATTTCACATGCTGTTGTGCAAATGGAATAGACAACAGGTGGAAATTATAGGCAATTAGAAAGACACCCCCAATAAAGGACTGGTTTTGCAGGTGGTGACCACAGACCACTTCTCAGTTCCTATGCTTCCTGGCTGATGTTTTGGTCACTTTTGAATGCTGGCGGTGCTTTCACTCTAGTGGTAGCATGAGACGGAGTCTACAACCCACACAAGTGGCTCAGGTAGTGCAGCTCATCCAGGATGGCACATCAATGCGAGCTGTGGCAAGAAGGTTTGCTGTGTCTGTCAGCGTAGTGTCCAGAGCATGGAGGCGCTACCAGGAGACAGGCCAGTACATCAGGAGACGTGGAGGAGGCCGTAGGAGAGCAACAACCCAGCAGCAGGACTGCTACCTCCGCCTTTGTGCAAGGAGGAGCAGGAGGAGCACTGCCAGAGCCCTGCAAAATGACCTCCAGCAGGCCACAAATGTGCATGTGTCTGCTCAAACGGTCAGAAACAGACTCCATGAGGGTGGTATGAGGGCTCGACGTCCACAGGTGGGGGTTGTGCTTACAGCCCAACACCGTGCAGGACGTTTGGCATTTGCCAGAGAACACCAAGATTGGCAAATTCGCCACTGGCGCCCTGTGCTCTTCACAGATGAAAGCAGGTTCACACTGAGCACATGTGACAGAGTCTGGAGACGCCGTGGAGAACGTTCTGCTGCCTGCAACATCCTCCAGCATGACCGGTTTGGCGGTGGGTCAGTCATGGTGTGGGGTGGCATTTCTTTGGGGGGCCGCACAGCCCTCCATGTGCTCGCCAGAGGTAGCCTGACTGCCATTAGGTACCAAGATGAGATCCTCAGACCCCTTGTGTGACCATATGCTGGTGCGGTTGGCCCTGGGTTCCTCCTAATGCAAGACAATGCTAGACCTCATGTGGCTGGAGTGTGTCAGCAGTTCCTGCAAGAGGAAGGCATTGATGCTATGGACTGGCCCGCCCGTTCCCCAGACCTGAATCCAATTGAGCACATCTGGGACATCATGTCTCGCTCCATCCACCAACGCCACGTTGCACCACAGACTGTCCAGGAGTTGGCGGATGCTTTAGTCCAGGTCTGGGAGGAGATCCCTCAGGAGACCATCCACCACCTCATCAGGAGCATGCCCAGGCGTTGTAGGGAGGTCATACAGGCACGTGGAGGCCACACACACTACTGAGCCTCATTTTGACTTGTTTTAAGGAAATTACATCAAAGTTGGATCAGGCTGTAGTGTGGTTTTCCACTTTAATTTTGAGGGTGACTCCAAATCCAGACCTCCATGGGTTGATACATTTGATTTCCATTGATAATTTTTGTGTGATTTTGTTGTCAGCACATTCAACTATGTAAAGAAAAAAGTATTTAATAAGATTATTTCATTCATATCTAGGATGTGTTATTTTAGTGTTCCCTTTATTTATTTTTTGAGCAGTGTATAATCACAAGGTTTCAATTGAGCATTTATTTCAGGATGCCCTGTAGTCTAATACACACACCATACAGGTCATTAGGTACACCACCCCGTTCACGAAAATGGATCGCCCCTACAGACAGTGAGTCACGTGGCCGTGGCTTGTTATATAAAGCAGGCAGAGGCATTCAGTTACTGTTCGATTGAACGTTAGACTGGGCAAAACGAGTGACCTAAGCGACTTTGAGTGTGGTATAAATTGACAGTGCCAAGCGCGCCGGATTCAGTATCTCAAAAACTGCCGCACTCCTGGGCTTTTCACGCATGACAGCATCTAGGGTTTACCAAGAATGGTGCGACAAACAAAAAACATCTGGTCAGCAGCAGTCCTGTGGGTGAAAACAGCTTGTTGATGAGGTCGAAGGAGATGGCAAGAATGGTGCAAGCTAACAGGCGGGCCACAAACAGGCAAATAACAGCGCAGTGGTGTGCAGAACGGCATTTCGGAACGCACAACTCATCAATCCTTGTCACAGATGGGCTATTGCAGCAGACGACCACACCGGGTTTCACTCCTATCAGCTAAAACCAAGAAGCGGCTCCAGTGGCAACACGATCACCAACACTGGACAATTGAGGAGTGGAAAAACATTGCCTGGAACATGACAGCGAGTTCAGTTTACTTGAGTGGCCTGCACAGTCACCCAGACCTCAACCCAATAGAACATCTTTGGGATGAGATGGAACGGGCTGTTCATGCAGCGGCAGTACCGCCTTCCAATCTGCAGCAACTGCGTGATGCCATCGCGTCAGCATGGACCAACATCCATGTGGAACGTTTCTGACACCTTGTAGATTGCCCTGAATAATTCAGGCTGTTCTGGAGGCAAAGGGGGGTCCGAGCCGGTACTAGATGGGTGTACCTAATAAACTGTCCAGGGAGGATAGAAGCTGCCCTATCCCTAGGCGCTCACCTTCTTGGAAACTGAAGAAACGTTCCCGCCAAATCGCTCTGCTCGCTTTTTTAGCTGTTCAACGCTGACCAGCTACACACAACAGAGGGAGATAGACGTTTCATTAAATATTCTGGGTCACTTATGGTTACATTAATTAAATGAGGGGAGGTCACTGCTTATCACAGATATTTGGATTACTCACAGTGGATTTATTCACAGTAACACCTATGATAGAAAGAAAAGAGAAACACTGATTAAAACCAGAGAGCAAATACAGGAGAAAACATTACTTGTGACAATGATGTTGTTCAACCCTTGTTTATAAACTGACTGCAGGTTATGGTTCTTGGAAAAAATAATATTAAAACCACACAAGACCTGTGAAAATGACTGGAAGATTGACACTGACCTGGGGTGGAAGTTGGCGGTGCAGCAGCGGGCAAACCAAACCTGAACACAAGACATATATTTAATAAATGTCAATATAGTTTCATAGATATGCCCAATCAATAGTGTGGGGAATATGTCTTCTACAATTTTGAAGAATGGTTGGATACTTGTGGGATACTGACCGGGCAGCACGTATGGCCTTCTTGCCATCAGCTGACGCAGGGACATTGAAGCGTTCTGCTCTTTTCTGTACCCTCTGGGAATACAGGATAAAAAATGTTAATTATAAGGTTAGCACACCACCATTGCATTGAAGACCTGTCATGACTGGCGAGAGTGCAGCAAGCATTGTATTACCTCATCCACAGACGCCGGGGGTGTGATCTTTACCACTTTCTTTTCAGCCGTCCTGAAACACATTAAAATCGCATTGGATTAACATATTTCAATAGGGACATCAGATCATCAGGAAAATGGAGAGAAAATGTCACTCTTCAATGTTTGTTTGCATAAAAGGAAAAACTTACTCCTCAGACACTGTTACGGGTTTCTTGTCATTAACCTCAGTGACAACATCCTCTTTCGTGAGGTCCTACATGTTCAAATGCATAAAGCATAATCAAGAAATGCACCTATGATTTTACATTTTCACCAAAGCAATTGCAGTATGTACAAAGTGACTTTATACTGTATGATCAAAATCATACTGGACATGGTGGAACCCATCTAATCCATACATGAAGTGCCATTGGTGCCATAATGGTTTAAAACCAGGCTTACCTCTGGCTCTTCTCCCAGAACGTCATCTTCATTTAGGCCCATGTCATCCTCTGTTTAGGAAAAAAATCATAGACTTATGATTCACCTTACCATTTCATAGGCTTGGTGGAATTTGCCATATTGCTCACACCTTTTAAATATAAATGGGTGTCAAGGGGTAGGGGCTAATAGAAGTCAATTTGGAATTCAGCAAGTTACACTTTCCACTCCATAGGCCAACTCAATCATAATAATATCAAGTTTGCAGATGATAACAGTGATTACTAACAATGACGAGACAGCCTACAGGAAGGAGGTGAGGGCCCTGGCGGAGTGGTGCCTGGAAAATAACCTCTCCCTCATCTTCAGGAGAGAGCAGAGGGAGCATGCCCCCATCCACATCGATGGGGCCGCAGTGGAGTAGGTGAAAAGCTTCAAGTTACTCAGCATACACATCACTGACAATCTGAAATGGTCCACCCACACAGACGGTGTGGTGAAGAAGGCGCAACAGCGTCTCTCAGGAGGTTGAAGAAATTCAGCTTGGCCCCTAAGACCCTCACATTTTTACAGATGCACCATTGAGAGCATCTTGTCGGGCTGTATCACCGCCTGGTACGGCAACTGCACTGTCCGCAACCGCAGGGCTCTCCAGGGGGTGGTGCGGTCACCCCAACACATCACACTGCCTGCCCTTCGGGATATCTACAGCACCCAGTGTCACAGGAAGGCCAAGAAGATCATCAAGGACCTCAGCCACCCGTGCCACGGCCTGTTCACCCTGCTATCATCCAGAAGGAGAGGTCCGTACAGGTGCATCATAGCTGGGACCGAGAGACTGAAAAACAGCTTCTATCTCAAGACCATCAGACTGTTAAATAGCCATCACTAGCCGGCCTCCACCCAGTATCCTGCCCTGAACTTAGTCACTGTCACTAGCCGGCTACCATCCGGTTACTCATCCCTGCACCTTAGAGGCTGATGCCCTATGTACATAGACATGGAACACAGGTCACTTTTTAATAAATGTTAAATACTGTTTTACATTTTAGTCATTTAGCAGACGCTCTTATCCAGAGCGACTTGCAGTTAGTGAGTGCATACATTTTCATACTTTTTACCCATTTCAAATGTATATACTGTATTCTAGTCAAGGCCATGCTATTCAACTATTGCTGTACATATACTATTCTATCCACGTATTCTTCAGATATACTACATATTCTATCCATAATTTCTATACATCCCATCACACACACCCTCGACTCAAACATTGTTTGTCCTAATATTTCTATATTTCTTAATTTCACTCTTTTACTTTTAGAATTGTGTGTATTATTGTTAGATATTACTGCACTGTTGGAGCTAGGAACACAATCATTCCGCTACATCCGCAATAACATCTGCTATACCTGGGAGACAGCAGGGCAGTTCTCTGTCAGATGGAACAGGAAATGAAGGGCAGGGCATACTGGCGCTCAGTAAGGAACACAACCCCACCATCAGTATGAAAAATGTATGCACTCACTAACTGTTAAGTCGCTCTGGATAAAAGCGTCTGCTAAATGGCTAAAATGTAAATATGTGTATGAGACCAATAACATTTCATTTGATTGGAAACTGCACCAGGCTTTATCAGAGTATGGGAACCTGACCCCATTTGTATTTAGTCCATCCATTATTGCATGCTCACCATGTTCCTCCAGATAAGCCTGTAGTCGTGTGATCAGTTCCACTTTGTTGCCCTTCACATCCAGACCCCTGGTTTCACACTCTTGCTTCAGTTCAGCAAGCTGTGGGAGGCCAGACATGAGTGTAGATTCCTGGTTAGATTACATTTTAGATGAATTCCCACTAATTGGCAATTTTTGCAATTCAAATGTTACTGCCAAACAGCCAAGTTAGGCCTAACATTCTCAAGCACATCCTGTACAATATAGTTAATTCATCCAGTCACTTGTAGTCGCGCATGCGCCGATGTTATCCGTTGCCAACTTCACAGCCGTAGCAGAGCAAACTTTGGCCCTCGTTGAGATAACAAAGCCACGCCAACCCAATACACGCGTGGATATCGCAAACTTCATTGTTAGCTAGCTACACCGTGCAGCAAGCATGGGCTGTTTCCCTTCCCGTCCGCTAGCATCTGCTAGCTAGCTACCTACGACTCTTTGTGTCCGGGGATCCCCAGCGTGCTAGATCCTGATTTACAAAGTAAAGGTAGCTGAAACATACAATACATAATCTCCACAAAATATAACACCGATATTAGACGTTTTAAATTTAGCTAAAACGGATTAACAACCTTTAGTTTATGGAGCTCCACAACTTCAGCCATCTTGCTTTGTTGTAGTGGTGGGTAACGAACGACTCATTTTGAACGGCTCTTTTTGGTGAACGTCGGGAACCGAATCGCAACTGTGAAAGAGACGTTTATTTGGCTCCCTGATTTGCATAGCCTACTGTTATGACTTTTTGAACGCCAGAGTCCAGGCATCGATTATCTGCTGACAAATTATAAAAACATTCACTGAAGATGGTAATTCCTCAATGCAGGAACAATATAGCGAGGAGCCTCATTCTGGTCCGTGCTTATTATTTCAGTGCATCATTTTTTTTTCTCAATTTGTTTTTGCAGGCCATCTAATAATTTTTTCAGGTAAAAATGTATTTGAACTCAAATGTCAAGATCTGGTAGGCAACCTTTTAGGCTTTACATGATCGATTGACAATTTTATCATGTTTTTAGGTACATTTCTAAGCACTACTTAACGAAAAGCACTTTGGGAGCAAAATTAACGGCTCCTTAGGTGAATGAAGCCAAATGATATGGCTCACCGAAAAGACTCGGAATGCCCATTACTACTTGGTTGATTAGATGCGGAATCTGTTTCTTCGATCAGAAATTGACCTGTCTACTTCTTCAGTAGAATCCCAACCGCTTTGAGTTGGTACATTGTCATCTGCTGCTGTACTAATGGATAGGTTGCATAAATAGTTTTTTGTTTTTGTGTGTAAATTCGGTGACACTTTAGTAATTTGCGTTGACACATCAATGAAAAGTATAGCCCAGTTTTTCATGTAAAATATCTTTATTGATAGGCCTAAGTCGTTCGTTATATACATTGAACCTTACCTTTCTAATCCAACAGATTTAGAAGGGGAAAACAACACAATTGGACTCCAATACATGCGATAGAATCAATGGAATTTTGGATAAGCCAATGCATTGCGTCACAGATGGTACAGTATTCAAACTACATTATGATGTATGATGTATTGACAAATAATTATGTTCGGAGGCATGTTGCTCTTTCCTGTCATGCTGTGCTATGGAGAACAACGTTTCTAAAAGCAGTCAGGTAAACAGTTTGCTTTCACCTTTGCATTTTGTTAAACTTGTAAACAATTGTGTAGCCTAAGTATTTTGTAATTGAAAAGGTAAAATAGGCTATTGTGTACTCCAATACTATGAAGTCTGAACAAAAACAGTAGGACTATGTGAATCAAGCCTAATTGCCATCAAAGTTTACAAGTGCCATGCTCTGAACTGAGCTACAAAGGACTACAACATTAACTATTCTTGTGTGATGAGTAACCTTGCCTGAGATTTGTGTTAGCTGCCTGAGCTAATGCCTAGATTTAAGCTCAGTGGGCTAACACAGTCTTGTGACATGTTAGCAGAACAGCGCCGGAGAAGATGGCTGCCGTTTTACAGCCCTCTAACCAATTGTACTATTATGTGTGTTTTTCCGCGTTATTTGTAATTTATTTTGTACATAATGTTTCTGCCATCGTCTCTTATAACCAAAAAGAGCTTCTGGATATCAGGACAGCGATTACTCACCTCGTATTGGACTAAGATTTTTTCTTCAACGAGGCGGCCGCGAAGGATATCATACAGACACCCGACAAGGCCCAAATCCCCGTCATTCGCGTGAGGAAGAGACGGAGATATCGGGGACGGAGATCGGGGTGCCTTGTAAGGATCCGACGGCGAGCGAGTAAACTGCCTCTTCCATCAATCCTATTAGCCAACGTTCAATCTTTTGAAAATAAAGTGGATGACTTAAGATTACGGTTATCCTACCAACGGGACATTAAAAACTGTAATATATTATGTTTCACCAGTCGTGGCTGAACGACGACAATGATAACATTCAGCTAGCAGGCTATACGCTACATCGGCAGGACAGAACGGCTGACTCCGGTAAGACAAAGGGTGGCGGTCTGTGTATATTTGTAAACAACAGCTGGTGCACAAAATCAAATACTAAGGAAGTCTCGAGGTTTTGCTCGCCTGAGGTAGAGTATCTTATGATAAGCTGTAGACCACACTATTTACCAAGAGAGTTTTCATCTATATTTTTCATAGCTGTCTATTTACCTCATCCAGATGCAGCGCTCCTAGTGGCCGGGGACTTTAATGCAGGGAAACTTAAATCCGTTCTACCTAATTTCTACCAGCATGTTAAATGTGCAACCAGAGGGAAAAAAACTCTAGACCACCTTTACTCCACACACAGAGACGCATACAAAGCTCTCCCTCGGCCTCCATTTGGCAAATCTGACCATAACTCTATCCTCCTGATTCCTGCTTATAAGCAAAAACTAAAGCAGGAAGCACCAGTGACTCGATTAATAAAAAAGTGGTCAGATGACGCAGATGCTAAGCTACAGGAATGTTTTGCTAGCACAGACTGGAACATGTTCCGGGATTCTTCAGACAGCATTGAGGAGTACACCACATCAGTCACTGGCTTCATCAATAAGTGCATCGATGATGTCGTCCCCACAGTGACCGTACGTACATACCCCAACCAGAAGCCATGGATTACAGGAAACATCCGCACTGAGCTAAAGGGTAGAGCTGCCGCTTTCAAGGAACGGGACTCTAACCCGGACGCTTATAAGAAATCCCGCTATGACCTCCGACGAACCATCAAACAGGCAAAGAGTCAATACAGGTCTAAGATTGAATCGTACTACACTGGCTCTGACGCTCATCGGATGTGGCAGGGCTTGAAAACTATTACAGACTACAAAGGGAAGCACAGCCGCGAGCTGCCCAGTGACACAAGCCTACCAGACGAGCTAAACCACTTCTATGCTCGCTTCGAGGCAAGCAACACTGAAGCATGCATGAGAGCACCAGCTGTTCCGGATGACTATGTGATCACGCTCTCCGTAGCCGATGTGAGTAAGACTTTTAAGCAGGTCAACATTCACAAGGCCGCAGGGCCAGACGGATTACCAGGACGTGTACTCTGAGCATGTGCTGACCAACTGGCAAGTGTCTTCACTGACATTTTCAACATGTCACTGACTGAGTCTGTAATACCAACATGTTTCAAGCAGACCACCATAGTCCCCGTGCCCAAGGACTCTAAGATAACCTGCCTAAATGACTACCGACCCGTAGCACTGACGTCTGTAGCCATGAAGTGCTTTGAAAGGCTGGTCTTGGCTCACATCAACAACATTATCCCAGAAACCCTAGACCCACTCCAATTTGCATACCGCCCCAACAGATCCACAGATGATGCAATCTCAATTGCACTCCACACTGCCCTTTCCCACCTGGACAAGAGGAACACCTACGTGAGAATGCTATTCATTGACTACAGCTCAGCATTCAACACCATAGTGCCCTCTAAGCTCATCACTAAGCTAAGGATCCTGGGACTAAACACCTCCCTCTGCAACTGGATCCTGGACTTCCTGACGGGCCGCCCCCAGGTGGTAAGGGTAGGTAACAACACATCTGCCACACTGATCCTCAACACGGGGGCCCCTCAGGGGTGCGTGCTCAGTCCCCTCCTGTACTCTCTGTTCACCCATGACTGCATGGCCAGGCACGACTCCAACACCATCATTAAGTTTGCCGACGACACAACAGTGGTAGGCCTGATCACCGACAACGATGAGACAGCCTATAGGGAGGAGGTCAGAGATCTGGCCGTGTGGTGCCAGGACAACAACCTCTCCCTCAACGTGACCAAGACAAAGGAGATGATTGTGGACTACAGGAAAAAAAAGAGGACTGAGCACGCCCCCATTCTCATCGACGGGGCTGTAGTGGAACAGGTTGAGAGCTTCAAGTTCCTTGGTGTCCACATCACCAACGAACTATCATGGTCCAAACACACCAAGACAGTCGTGAAGAGGGCACGACAAAGCCTATTCCCCCTCAGGAGACTAAAAAGATTTGGCATGGGTCCTCAGATCCTCAAAAAATTCTACAGCTGCACCATCGAGAGCATCCTGACTGGTTGCATCACCGCCTGGTATGGCAACTGCTTGGCCTCCGACCGCAAGGCACTACAGAGGGTAGTGCGTACGGCCCAGTACATCACTGGGGCAAAGCTTCCTGCCATCCAGGACCTCTATACCAGGCGGTGTCAGAGGAAGGCCCTCAAAATTGTCAGACTCCAGCCACCCTAGTCATAGACTGTTCTCTCTGCTACCGCAAGGCAAGCGGTACCGGAGTGCCAAGTCTAGGTCCAAAAGACTTCTCAACAGCTTCTACCCCCAAGCCATAAGACTCCTGAACAGCTAATCATGGCTACCCGGACTATTTGCACTGCCCCCCCACCCCATCCTTTTTACGCCGCTGCTACTCTACCCACATGTACATATTACCTCAACTACCTCAACTAGCCGGTGCCCCCGCACATTGACTCTGCAACGGTACCCCCCTGTATATATAGCCTCCCTACTGTCACTTTATTTTACTTCTGCTCTTTTTTTTCTCAACACTTTTTTTGTTGTTGTTGTTTTATTTTGACTTTTTTGTTTAAAATAAATGCACTGTTGGTTAAGGGCTGTATGTAAGCATTTCACTGTAATGTCTGCACCTGTTGTATTCGGCGCATGTGACCAATAAAATTTGATTTGATTTGCAGATTGACCTCGGTTCAAACCCAATCAGTGCCATAGTTGTTGCTAGGCGGTATCCTTGGGACATCCTATGGGTCCCACCTAGCAACAACCATCTGGCCAACACACAGAGAGGGAGTTATATTACGCTGGACCGGGTTGAACCGGGCAATGGCCGGTCACATCATTGGTTGAAAGCAGGGAGGATGGAGCGCCCTTCTCAAATCAAACAGTAATCTGCGCTGCTCGGTCATGTTGTCAACAAGGCAGCATGGTGCATCTTCCAGAAACATACATCTCTTTTGCATAAAATAGATGTTTGAATTTTCAAACAAGTTTTCATTGGGAAGGAAGATAAAGTGTTTTTATCAAAGCAATCACTACTCATCACTCCATGAGCTTAATAATTACGTCACTTTTGTTTTGAGCCGACTTTGCTGTCGGCCAGAGCGGGGCACCTGGCTCACCCCCGGGAGGCAGCGCGGTTCCAAAACGAATGCAATCACTTTTCACCCGGTTCAAACTCTGGCCAGATAAACTAACCCCCTCAGTCTTGTGGCGTGCATATGATCTGGGTTCAAACACAGTCAGTCTCATTGGTGCCATTGGTCCTTGATCGCACAGTTGATGGGGTGTTGTGAGAGGAGGTCAAGGGAGGGGTGAAGTCCAGTTCCAACTCAGTCAGACACAGTGGCGTGTATTCATAGATGCCAAGGGAAGCCAGGCTTCCCCAAATATTTGACCAATAAAAATATAAAATAATTTATCTTTAGTCTCTCTGTGTTTTCATAATTATCCGTAAATTCGCAAGTGGCTGAATCTCACCAGAGAAATCATCCATGTAGCCCATGTATCCGATGCTGTGTGGAACAAAAGAGTATGACATGTTGCCGCTGTAGCATTTGATTGATTGATGCCAGCAAGCATTTGGCCTCCCTTGATAAAACAAATTTAATTAATACAAATTTGCCAATCAGCGTTGAGCTGAGCTCAACTGTGGGTTGTCCTGGCGCAGCAGAACGCCCCCCCAAGGGAGGCCAATTTGGATTTGGCTTCACACCAATCAAATCACGAAAAACGTCATCATTGTCAGAAAAAGGTGTTGGTTTCCAGTCTTCTTGTGTTGATATCTTGCAGTAGCTACTTTGCTAAATCGGCCCTTTCCTAAGCCATGGATGGGGATTTGGACTTGAGGTGATGGAGATGGGGATTTGGACTTGAGGTTTTGACTTAATTCTCTCTACAGGCCAATAATTATAACAGCGATTCTGATCTAGCCATAAATTAATATATTGTGCCGCTGGCCTGAGACGATTGAAGTTCAATATGTAGCCTAGTAGACTCACATTAACTAGCTAGCTAACTTAGCTGGTTCATTGTTGCCCATGCGAGGAAGTTAGGATAGCAATAATTTTTACTAGGTAGCCAATGAAAACAAAAACTAAAAGCGTACAGAGCCATATATCGTTTTGCCAACATGAAAGAGAGGAGGACGGCACTGGCGTTCAACTAGTCTACAAGTAGGGTGAGTCCTACAAAACATTTTTTCCATACACAGACAGATATAAATCAGTACTATGGACAGCCACATTATATTTAGCAACATTGGACTAAATTGTTTTTGGTATCTTTAAAGCCCCGTTTACACTGGCACTTAAAATTAGGGCCAAATTCGAGCTGGGTCGAGGGTAACCTGGGCCAGCGCAGCTCAGTTTCACAACTGGTGCCAGCTTGATTAGAATTAGGGCTGGTGACGCCGTTACTATACAACCACCAAGCAGATCACTGCTGGATGCTGACAACGGTTTGCTAGCTAGTCTGGGCTTGTTGCTGTTAGCTTGTACATGGACAAGCAGAACTGCAGTAGTCAGACATGACACAAATTACCACCATAGCTGGATCCTTCATTCATTTTTGCACTATACAATAAACTTTTATGAGAACAGTCAGCCCTCAAATGCTAGCTACCTAACATTAGCAAGCTAAATACATGGCTCTGAGTCTGGCTGGCACTGACAGGAGTATGGGGTAATGTTAGTTACAGCATGGTGAGGGTGAATTAAATTAATCAACATCTTGCTAGCTAGCTAACAACATTTGCGAATCCAGCTGCAGTCACATATTGGCTACCTAGCAACATGACATCATTTCACATTTCTGGGGGCAGTGGAAACGCAATTTGAGCTAGCCCACCAAGGCCAGCCCAACCTTGTTGACTTCAACGTGCCAATGGAAACATTTTCAGTGTATTAAACTAAGCATATATAGCCTTGTTGATTTGATGATGTTTAAATGTTTAAGTTGAAATAGTGCGTGAATAGCAGAGGCAGTGCTCCCGTTGTCTTTGTGCAGACTTGCGGTAACTCTGTGGTTCTACATCAGTAGCTACTTGTTTAGTGAACGTGAACTTGCTTGACCATGCTGCAGGTCATATAACTGTTTTGTTATATACAATATTTGCTTTGTGGGCTTCACCAGACAGATGTTGCTTTCTGGTTTTGTGATGAAACAAACGTATATGTAGTTTAATTTATTCCGCCACTGTATAACTGTTGTCTTTTTGTTGTCATGGCCTTATTGTATATCAGGGTGGCTTATGAACTGATGGGTTATAGAGCAAATATCACAACATAGGTTGTAATATGGCTTTTTTACTGTCTTGGCTTCCCCAGGGATTCTACCCACACACCACTACTGGTCAGACACAGGTCACATAATTAGGATCTCTATTGCAATAGTAGTCTGGTCCCAGATCTGTTTGTGCTCTTGTCAACTTCATTGCTCTCATAGCTAAGCCAAACATCATGTTTGGCATGACAGTGAGTGACCGGGAAATGACATAAAAGCACAAACAGACTGGCACTCGGGCTATGGCCACAGTAGTTCATTGGGCGTCAACCTATGATGACATATCAGGCTTGCGCCATGTCATAATGGTCGGGTGGACTATCACAGGTGAGTTAGTAAGAAATACATTATTGCTATGTTGCTGTTTTCAGGAGAAGACCTCAGAGCCCCCGAGTCAGATACCCTCGCAACCAGAGAAGCAACCTCTTCCACCGAAAGGAAAGCCTCCTCAGATCATGATAGAGACAAATCCGTTAGTGAGCAGCAAATTGCCTGCGATGACAAAGCTTCCGGTCCTACCTGGGGTTGCCTTTACATTTTTTAGAGCCAGCCTGGGTAAAAAGGTAAGCAGAACATACATTTAACAGGATACAGTATAGCATTTAAAAAAAGAACAAGCATACAGTAGAATGGAAGAAGGGTCCAGTAGAATGGAAGAAGGGTCCAGTAGAATGGAAGAAGGGTCCAGTAGAATGGTGCAGTAGAATGGAAGAAGGGTCCAGTAGAATGGAAGAAATTAAGAAGGGTCCAGTAGAATGGTGCAGTAGCATGGAAGAAGGGTCCAGTAGAATGGTGCAGTAGAATGGAAGAAGGGTCCAGTAGAATGGTACAGTAGAATGGAAGAAGGGTCCAGTAGAATGGAAGAAGGGTCCAGTACAATGGTACAGTAGAATGGAAGAAGGGTCCAGTACAATGGTACAGTAGAATGGAAGAAGGGTCCAGTAGAATGGTGCAGTAGAATGGAAGAAGGGTCCAGTAGAATGGTACAGTCGAATGGAAGAAGGGTCCAGTAGAATGGTGCAGTAGAATGAAAGAAGGGTCCAGTAGAATGGTGCAGTAGAATGAAAGAAGGGTCCAGTAGAATGGTGCAGTAGAATGGAAGAAGGGTCCAGTAGAATGGTGCAGTAGAATGGACGAAGGGTCCAGTAGAATGGAAGAAGGGTCCAGTAGAATGGAAGACGGGTCCAGTAGAATGGTGCAGTAGAATGGAAGAAGGGTCCAGTAGAATGGTACAGTAGAATGGAAGAAGGGTCCAGTCTAATGGTGCAGTAGGATGGAAGAAGGGTCCAGTAGAATGGAAGAAGGGTCCAGTAGAATGGTGCAGTAGAATGGAAGAAGGCTCCAGTCTAATGGTGCAGTAGAATGGAAGAAGGGTCCAGTCTAATGGTGCAGTAGGATGGAAGAAGGGTCCAGTAGAATGGTGCAGTAGGATGGAAGAAGGGTCCAGTAGAATGGTGCAGTAGAATGGAAGAAGGGTCCAGTAGAATGGTGCAGTAGAATGGAAGAAGGGTCCAGTAGAATGGTGCAGTAGAATGGAAGAAGGGTCCAGTACAATGGTGCAGTAGTATGGAAGAAGGGTCCAGTACAATGGTACAGTAGAATGGAAGAAGGGTCCAGTACAATGGTACAGTAGAATGGAAGAAGGGTCCAGTACAATGGTACAGTGGAATGGAAGAAGGGTCCAGTAGAATGGTGCAGTAGAATGGAAGAAGGGTCCAGTAGAATGGTACAGTAGAATGGAAGAAGGGTCCAGTAGAATGGAAGAAGGGTCCAGTACAATGGTACAGTAGAATGGAAGAAGGGTCCAGTAGAATGGTACAGTAGAATGGAAGAAGGGTCCAGTAGAATGGTGCAGTAGAATGGAAGAAGGGTCCAGTAGAATGGTGCAGTAGAATGGATGAAGGGTCCAGTAGAATGGAAGAAGGGTCCAGTAGAATGGAAGACGGGTCCAGTAGAATGGTGCAGTAGGATGGAAGAAGGATCCAGTCTAATGGTGCAGTAGAATGGAAGAAGGGTCCAGTATAATGGTGCAGTAGAATGGAAGAAGGGTCCAGTACAATGGTGCAGTAGAATGGAAGAAGGGTCCAGTAGAATGGTGCAGTAGAATGGAAGAAGGGTCCAGTAGAATGGAAGAAGGGTCCAGTAGAATGGTGCAGTAGAATGGAAGAAGGGTCCAGTACAATGGTACAGTAGAATGGAAGAAGGGTCCAGTAGAATGGTGCAGTAGAATGGAAGAAGGGTCCAGTAGAATGGAAGAAGGGTCCAGTAGAATGGTGCAGTAGAATGGAAGAAGGGTCCAGTAGAATGGTGCAGTAGAATGGAAGAAGGGTCCAGTAGAATGGTGCAGTAGAATGGAAGAAGGGTCCAGTAGAATGGTACAGTAGAATGGGAGAAGGGTCCAGTAGAATGGAAGAAGGGTCCAGTAGAATGGAAGAAGGGTCCATTAGAATGGTACGGTAGAATGGAAGAAGGGTCCAGTAGAATGGTACAGTAGATTGGAAGAAGGGTCCAGTAGAATGGTGCAGTAGGATGGAAGAAGGGTCCAGTAGAATGGTGCAGTAGAATGGAAGAAGGGTCCAGTAGATTGGTGCAGTAGAATGGAAGAAGGGTCCAGTATAATGGTGCAGTAGAATGGAAGAAGGGTCCAGTACAATGGTGCAGTAGAATGGAAGAAGGGTGCAGTACAATGGTACAGTAGAATGGAAGAAGGGTACAGTACAATGGTACAGTAGAATGGAAGAAGGGTCCAGTAGAATGGTGCAGTAGAATGGAAGAAGGGTCCAGTAGAATGGAAGAAGGGTCCAGTAGAATGGTGCAGTAGAATGGAAGAAGGGTCCAGTAGAATGGAAGAAGGGTCCAGTAGAATGGAAGAAGGGTGCAGTAGCATGGAAGAAGGGTCCAGTAGAATGGAAGAAGGGTCCAGTAGAATGGTACAGTAGAATGGAAGAAGGGTCCAGTAGAATGGTGCAGTAGAATGGAAGAAGGGTCCAGTAGAATGGTACAGTAGAATGGAAGAAGGGTCCAGTAGAATGGAAGAAGGGTCCAGGAGAGTGGTGCAGTAGAATGGAAGAAGGGTCCAGTAGAATGGTGCAGCAGAATGGAAGAAGGGTCCAGTAGAATGGTGCAGTAGAATGGAAGAAGGGTCCAGTACAATGGTACAGTGGAATGGAAGAAGGGTCCAGTAGAATGGAAGAAGGGTCCAGTAGAATGGTGCAGTAGAATGGAAGAAGGGTCCAGTAGAATGGTACAGTAGAATGGAAGAAGGGTCCAGTAGAATGGTGCAGTAGAATGGAAGAAGGGTCCAGTACAATGGTACAGTAGAATGGAAGAAGGGTCCAGTAGAACAGTGCAGTAGAATGGAAGAAGGGTCCAGTGGAATGGTGCAGTAGAATGGAAGAAGGGTCCAGTAGAACGGAAGACGGGTCCAGTAGAATGGAAGATGGGTCCAGTAGAATGGTGCAGTAGCATGGAAGAACGGTCCAGTAGAATGGAAGAAGGGTCCAATAGAATGGAAGAAGGGTCCAGTAGAATGGTACAGTAGAAATGAAGAAGGGTCCAGTCTAATGGTGCAGTAGAATGGAAGAAGGGTCCAGTAGAATGGAAGAAGGGTCCAGTAGAATGGTGCAGTAGAATGGAAGAAGGGTCCAGTAGAATGGTACAGTAGAAATGAAGAAGGGTCCAGTCTAATGGTGCAGTAGAATGGAAGAAGGGTCCAGTAGAATGGAAGAAGGGTCCAGTAGAATGGAAGTAGGGTCCAGTAGAATGGTGTAGTGGAATGTTTATTTTTGAACCATTGTTATCTTGATTCCTTCAGTTGTATCAGCCTACATCTGATTTCAACCTCAGTGACCCAAACTGTCACATTATGAGGCCGACATACAACAGTTTGCATGACCCAAACCTCAATGAATACTACCATCAGAAGGAAATGCATGACAAGCTTAAGAAGCGAAACTTCATCACTAAAGAAGACAATGTAAGTTTTAAGTTAATATTGTTGTTTCTGAACAGTGTAGTTGAAGACTGTAAACTTTACTGATAGTTAACTCCAGGAAATAGTATTATAGCAGGATACATTTTGATTCTCTCTCTCTTCTCAAGGTTGTATGCTCATTAAAGGAGTATAACACATACAAACATTACCTAGATACGGTCAAGACTGACCATCACAAAACCTACAGCAAAAATATGGTATGTGGGCAGTATGACTGTGTTTTTAAATGTGAATTTCTGTGAAGGTCACACGTTGAGATCACACATTATTTTCACGAGGAAATGTGAAATGATCACTCATCACTCTAAAAGCAATGTTAATGTAACATGTATTTAATCAAGTAGATAAGTGTTTAAAATGTACAAAAATGTTATTTATCCTATTTAAGAAGGAACAGATGCTGAGAATGGTTCAGTTGCAAGAGGAAGGCCATATCCCTAAGGATGTTACCCTGGAAGCTATTAGAGAGTACTTACTGAAAGAAGGAGCTCAGAACCTGAAGCATCTGCAGTCAACCATTGGTTCCAGGTAGGCAAGAAGTGCATGAGGTAATAACGTAGAGTTATATAGGCTCACTCTGTGTTGGCAATGTCATGACTCATCTGTTTAATGTATTGATAGGGACAGGGGACAGAAATATGCCCTGCAAACTGCATGTAAATGTAAAGAGGATTGGGTTTTTAAGGAGCGATCCAGGCTGAAACTCATTGAAAAGGATGTGAGGCACGACATCAACAAGGCCAAGTATCTGAAAGAGGCCAAAGAAAAGCGCATCAGAAAGGTACAAATGTCACACTTTCATCATACTTCACAAAACTACCAACAATTATTTTCAAGTTTGAATAATTCAGAAAATTAAGAAATAATTTTACCTCAACATTTGTGGGTGCTAAGTTACTATTTTTGCTATTTTGGGATTCTATATTATGTTCTTCACAGAAAATTAGCATAATTGAACAAAAACAGGCTATTCAGTTGAGGAAAATGGAAGAGGAATTGAAAAACCTCCAGGATTTTGAGAAGTTGAGAGAGGCCACTATCAAACCAAATAAGCTGCTGGAAGAAATATTTGAAAATACAGGTAAGATTTCATTTGAATTCATCACACAGTTAAGCAATGTTTAAATGACTATGCCAAATGCAGCATACAAGGAGCAGTTGAATGTGTTGTGCTGTATATCATTTTGTATTTTTTTCTGAATTATAGCTTCTGCTCAGCCTGCTCTCCCACCTGCTCACTCCAAAACTGTAAAGAAAACAGTTTATTTGTCAGGTAAGTACATTTCCTTACTAAAGAACCATCATTTCATTATGAAAGATCTTTCGGAGTATTGTTTGTTCATAGACAGTGAATGCTATATTAAATCCAATGTAATATTTTGTGTGTGTTAGTAACAGGGAAATCTAAGGAAAAGCCAGCCATGCTACAGAGGAGACCAAGCCTTGCACCACTCCAGAGGAGACCATGCCTGGATGGTCTGGCACCGCTGAAGGGTTTCCAAGAACCTGTTTTGAGGATCTTCAAAGCTATCGAGGGACAAAGCATCCCAGACAGAGCTCAGCTGAAATCTGTGATCCTCGACCACTTGGGCTCCAAGCTTGTCAGGAAGCAGCTGGCGGAGTCGATCAGGGATGAGGTCAAACTGACGATTCCAGGGTCTACGCCAGTGGCACAAAGGGCTCTGAGTGCCAGAATCGCTTACGACGTGTTGAAGTGCGTCTCTCGAGCGGCCAATCCTAGCAATGAACCTGCCTGCAGACTCCGTGGGGGAAACCCAATCAAACCCAACGCTAAAGCAGATGATCCAGAACCAGAGGAGCAGATGGCCAACGGAGAAGACATAAACACATATGTGACAATGTTGATCACTGACGTTCTGGAGGAAGTCCAGGAGCAGGTTATCGTAATGATCCGAAAAGACTCCCCTACCCAATTCAGAGTTGTCTCTGCAAAGGCCAGCCAAACAGCCATTGATGTGGTAAGCAATGTTTTGGAAGACATTAGAGACTTATTAAATGAGGAAAACATTGAAGAGCTTGCACTAGAAAGTGATGCTGAAGAAGGCACCTCAGGGCTTTCAGACAGCCAGCCACCTGCAATGACTGCATTAAAAAAGGCAGACCCCGAGAACCGCCCAGATTCCTGTACAAAACTAGAAGGTGTCGCCTGTGACCTTATTAGCACTGCATATGACAGCCTCCTATTCGAGCTGGCTTTTCCTGAGCTTCAGGGTGAAAGAGATGAACAACCAAGTACCTCAAGGGCTATCAGAAGTAACATACAAATCTCTTTTGTAGAAAAAGCTCCTTCCCTGACTCTGGAAATACTTCCCACGGAGCCAGTGATCTCATCTTTCTCCAACTCTCCCAGTTATGGAATGGTGTTTTCGTCTGACACTTCAGAGGTTGCAGAAAACAACAGTAAGACAAGCATACCAGAGGCCTCTGCAGTTGCATCAACCTCGTCCCAGGAGACGTATACCACAACCACTGTGGAATGCAAAGAAGAAAGAATAGAGAATGGTAACACCATTGACACAGACAACGCCCTTTCTGTCCCCTCAGTCAATACTGAAGAAGTTGTTTCAAGGCCTATTCTCATACACAAGGTGAAGAAAGAAAATGCAGCCACCAGAAGCGGTTCTCTTCCTAACCTGTATGGACTTGTTGTGGATGCAGTTATGGACCACTTCAGCAAAGAACCCTTCAGAGACAGACTGGCCCAATCAGTGAAGAATGAGGTGAGACGCACCCTTTCTATGCCTGAATTTGGATTGTTAAACCTTGAAATTGATAATTACTTTGAGAGGAAAATACTAGAGGATATGCTGAAGGAAGTATCCCGAAAGTGCGGAGGACAAAGCTCTAGCACCGTGGCTGAAAACGCTACAGATGAAGAAGAGTTCTCCAGACTAGAATCTGCTGCAGCACAACTGATACAGAAAGTTATCCAGGAGGTCAAGACAAAGTTTGTCGTCAAGATCAGGAAGGGTTCTCCCAAGAGATGTCTATCCCCAAAAGTAAGCCAATATATTAATATGTTGTATGTACTGTGAAATGTATGCAACATTTTGTATGTGCTGTGTGATGCTATGACACTTTTCCTACAAGGGAAGTCATGTACACTGAGTATAATAAACATTAGGAACACCTCCAATGCTTCCCACGGTTGTCAAGTTGGCTGGATGTCCATTGGGTGGTGGACTATTCTTGATACACATGGGAAACTGTTGAGCGTGAAAAACCCAGCAGCGTTGCAGTTCTTTACACAAACCGGTGTGCCTGGCACCTAGTACCATACCCCATTCAAAGGCAATTAAATGTTTTGTCTTGCCCATTCACCCTCTAAATGGCACACACATACAATCCATGTCTCAATTGTCTCAAGGCTTAAAAATAGTTATTTAACATGTCTCCTCCCCTTCATCTACACTGATTAAAGTGGATTTAACAGGTGACATCAATAAGGGATCATAGCTTTCACCTGGATTCACCTGGTCAGTCTGTCTTAATATTTTCTATACTCAGTGTGTATTTGTATTGATGTTGATGTATTTATCTGTGTTGATGGTGATCTGATTGATTGTTGATGTACACTGCTCAAAGAAATAAAGGGAACACTTAAACAACACAATGTAACTCCAAGTCAATCACTCTTCTGTGAAATCAAACTGTCCACTTAGGAAGCAACACTGATTGACAATACATTTCACATGCTGTTGTGCAAATGGAATAGACAACAGGTGGAAATTATAGCCAATTAGAAAGACACCCCCAATAAAGGACTGGTTTTGCAGGTGGTGACCACAGACCACTTCTCAGTTCCTATGCTTCCTGGCTGATGTTTTGGTCACTTTTGAATGCTGGCGGTGCTTTCACTCTAGTGGTAGCATGAGACGGAGTCTACAACCCACACAAGTGGCTCAGGTAGTGCAGCTCATCCAGGATGGCACATCAATGCGAGCTGTGGCAAGAAGGTTTGCTGTGTCTGTCAACGTAGTGTCCAGAGCATGGAGGCGCTACCAGGAGACAGGCCAGTACATCAGGAGACGTGGAGGAGGCCGTAGGAGGGCAACAACCAAGCAGCAGGACTGCTACCTCCGCCTTTGTGCAAGGAGGAGTAGGAGGAGCACTGCCAGAGCCCTGCAAAATGACCTCCAGCAGGCCACAAATGTGCATGTGTCTGCTCAAACGGTCAGAAACAGACTCCATGAGGGTGGTATGAGGGCTCTTCACAGATGAAAGCAGGTTCACACTGAGCACATGTGACAGACGTGACAGAGTCTGGAGACGCCGTGGAGAACGTTCTGCTGCCTGCAACATTCTCCAGCATGACCGGTTTGGCAGTGGGTCAGTCATGGTGTGGGGTGGCATTTCTTTGGGGGGCTGCACAGCCCTCCATGTGCTCGCCAGAGGTAGCCTGACTGCCATTAGGTACCGAGATGAGATCCTCAGACCCCTTGTGAGACCATATGCTGGTTGCGGTTGGCCCTGGGTTCCTCCTAATGCAAGACAATGCTAGACCTCATGTGGCTGGAGTGTGTCAGCAGTTCCTGCAAGAGGAAGGCATTGATGCTATGGACCGCCCGTTCCCCAGACCTGAATCCAATTGAGCACATCTGGGACATCATGTCTCGCTCCATCCACCAACGCCACGTTGCACCACAGACTGTCCAGGAGTTGGCGGATGCTTTAGTCCAGGTCTGGGAGGAGATCCCTCAGGAGACCATCCGCCACCTCATCAGGAGCATGCCCAGGCGTTGTAGGGAGGTCATACAGGCACGTGGAGGCCACACACACTACTGAGCCTCATTTTGACTTGTTTTAAGGACATTACATCAAAGTTGGATCAGCCTGTAGTGTGGTTTTCCACTTTAATTTTGAGGGTGACTCCAAATCCAGACCTCCATGGGTTGATAAATTTGATTTCCATTGATAATTTTTGTGTGATTTTGTTGTCAGCACATTCAACTATGTAAAGAAAAAAGTATTTAATAAGATTATTGCATTCATTCAGATCTAGGATGTTATTTTAGTGTTGCCTTTATTTTTTTGAGCAGTGTATTTGGATTGTTGATGTGGATGCTTCTATGTTCAACACCAAGATACATTTCTAGTGTCATTAGTTCAGTGGTGGAAAAAGTACCCAATTGTCATTCTTGAGTAAAAGAAAAGATACCTTTTTTAATAGAAAATGACTCAAGTAAATGTGAAAGTCATCCAGTAAAATACTACTTAAGTAAGTAAAAGTCTAAAAGTATTTGGTTTTAAATATACCTAAGTATCAAAAGTAAAAGTAGAAATCATTTCAAATTCTTTATATTAAGCAAACCAGATGGCACCATTTTTTTGTTATTTTAATTTACGGATAGCCAGGAGAACACTCCAACACTCAGACATAATTTACAAATGAATCGTGTGTTTAGTGAGTCCGCCAGATCATAGGCAGTAGGGATGACAAGGAATGTTCTCTTGATAAGTGCGTGAATTGGACAATTTTCCTGTCCTGCTAAGCATTCAAAATGGAACGAGTACTTTTGGGTGTCCGGGACAATGTATGGAGTAAAAAGTACATTATTTTCATTAGAAATGTAGTGAAGTAAAAGTTAGTAAAGTACAGATACTCAAAAAAGCTACTTAGGTAAAAATACTTTAAAGTACTACTTAAGTACTTTACACCACTGCATTTGTTACATGGCGATAAAGTATTCTGATTCTATCTCCAAAGGCAAGCAGAACAGCCATCAATGCTGTGAGCAGTCTTCTGGGTGACATGGAGACAACTGTGATGGCCAGTGTTCCACGGTCTCATACTACTTCCAGAGCAGGTATGGAAGGAATGCTCTCTGAGGCATCAGGCGAGCACCCAGCGAAATCAATGGCCTCTGCAAAAGTTGAGTTGATTGCTGATGATTTAGTGGAAGATGTCATTGATATGTGCAGTGAAATGATTTTAGACGGCCAGCCACTAGGCCTACTACATGATGATCCTGAAGAAGGTCCATCAAATGTTGTTGTTCCTGGACCAATTCAGAGCAGCCTATCTGGATCTGATGAATGCCACACAAAATCACAGGTCCCTGCAGTAAAGATTGAAGACCATGAGGTAAAGACAATTTTGATCCAAGAGCCAACGCTCATATCTCCAGGTGAGAAGAATACTGATGAGAAAAGAGTCATTAGAGTAAGTTATGTATTTGACTCATCCCCTAGAAGGAAAGCTCACCAGGCCACCAGAAGGACCACTTTCCCTAACCTCTATGTCACCCTTGTGGATGGAGTTCTGGACCAAATTAGCACAGAGCCTTTCAAAGAAATCCTGGCCCAATCTGTGAGGAATGAGGTAAGACGTTCTGTCTCTTTGCCTCAATTTGGATCGGTGAACCTCGAAAGCAAGGATTGCTCAGAGAGAGAAATTATTGAGGATATGTTGAAGAGTGTATCCAGAAAACTCAGTAAAGACCAGGCCTGTCAGCCGACCAAGAAAGCCAGTGAGCCCATGAATGCCAATGTAAATGCCATTTCACCTACCCCCAAACTACAGTCTACTGCCAAAGACCTAATCATCAATGTTCTGGAGCATGTCAAGACTAAAATAATCGATATCATTAGACAAGATTCTCCCAACAGGGCGATTTCCCCCAAGGCAAGCCAGACTGCCATCAATGCTGTCAGCAACATTTTGGGTGCTATGGGAACCTCTCTCATGGCAAGCAACAAATCGTTTTTTCCTGATGTGGCTGGACTCCAGCCTGACCTAGATGATGTACAATCTTACTCAACTGAAGCTTTTGAGGGATATCCAGGGATCTGGATGTCATCCCCAAAGATGGAATATATTGCCTCAGGCCTCATGGACACTATCTGTGAGGACCTACTGGATGAGGATGGTTTCCTCAGATGGAGCGCTGGTGCAAGATCCTCACAGCAAGACCTTGATCTTCAGAAGGTAATTACTTCAAAACCAGCATCCCCAGTCAATTCCATGCCTGTCAAAAGATGCCTGTCAATGTCCTACCTTGATGCTTTGAAGAATCCTGAAGACACTGACAATGCTACTCACCACAGTAGAAGCCTTGATTCTCTCTCCGTAATTGGTGTGCCTACTTCAACCTTAGAGGAAGTTTCATATGGCACAGAATTGAAACTGACTCAGTCGCGAAAGGATGTCTCTGCATCATCCTCACTTTATGCCATGAGCAACTGTTGGAGCGCATTGGAGTATACCTCCAGTGTGTCTGATATCCCAATTTACGAAGAGGCCGAAAGGATTTCCTCCACAGACGAAGAAGACGGTGTGTCCAAATCCCCAGTACCAATCCTCCTGACCTCTTCCAAATCAGTCTTCAATGTCTCTAGCCTCGTCCCTACTCCTCCAGAGGTAAAGCCGAAGGTGAGGCTGCCATGGCGCCCAGTGCTTTGCCTTAAGAAGGTTCCACAGCAGCCCCCCAACAAGATGCACATTTACACAGTTTACAGGGATCCTTTTCATTTCCCCCCTGAGACAATGCGATCGACCAGTCCATCGTCATCCGAGGGAGGCTCCTCAACTCCAGAGTCCCAGAGGCCAAGGTAAGACTGTCTTTCTCATAGTCCTAATCTGAAAAGCTTTTTAGCACCTAGCCCCACTGTTGATATTTTAACTGCCTTGATTCTAAATGTTTTTATTTTGGTATTTTAAGTAGAGTTTTGAGAACTCTGTTATGAAAAGCGCTGTACAAATTAAATGCATTTTTTATTTTTTATTAAGAGTGGTCGACAGCTCAGACAAGGAGTCCATCTTTAAGATAGACTCGTCCGAAAGACTCGTCGCAGAGATAATGCTGTCTGTTCGTGAGGATGTTGTTGAGGCAAAGCGGAGCGAATTAGCCGGACATTTGGCTGCGCTGTCGTCTGACAATGAGATGCCCAGCACTTTGGCTCAGATTCGGAGGACACCCCGTGCCGATTCACCAACTGCCTCCAACACCTCTCCTCACAGCAAGAGTGATAACTGAAGAGAGAATCACATGTTTACTTGGACATACATGATAGAAGCATTTGCTTACATTATTTTGAATCGCATTGAGCTATTAAAGAATGCATTTATTTTCTAAAAAAGACATAAGCATTTACACTATGTAGTTTTTCTTAGATGTGAGGGTTAAGTTAGGAATAATACATTGAAAGTTAGGAGAGAGTAATTATATAGCTTTGCTCTGAATGGTGACATTGTTTAAACAGGCTATTTTATTTTATTGTACTTAGTTTTTTACCCCTTATTCTCCCCAATTGGTAGTTACAGTCTTGTCCCATCGCTGCAACTCCCGTACGGACTCGGGAGAGGCGAAGGTCGAGAGCCATGCGTCATCCGAAACACGACCCCGCCAAGCCACACTGCTTCTTGACACACTGCCCGCTTAACCCGGAAGCCAGCCGCACCAATGTGTCGGAGGAAACACTGTACAGCTGGCGACCGAAGTCAGCGTGCATGCACCCGGCCGCCACAAGGAGTCGCTAGAGCGCGATGGGACAAGGACATCCCAGCCGGCCAAACCCTCCCCTAACCCGGACGACGCTGGCCCAATTGTGAGCCGCCTCATGTGTCTCCCGATCGCGGCCGGCTGCGACACAGCCCGGGATCGAACCCAGATCTGTAGTGACGCCTCTAGCACAGCGATGCAGTGCCTTAAACCGCTGCGCCACTCGGGAGGCCCAACAGTCTCACAATTTGACCAAAAAATATTAATACAAAAAAAGTTTTACACTGTGACTTATGGTTCTAAAGGGAGGGGAGGACAAAGCTGGATGAATTTAGGAGTCACAAGCGCCCCAGTAATCCTTATTAACTTTACATTCCTGCCATTTTTCCTGCCTGTAAGCAGTCTCTCTTAACAGAACCTATTGTTCTGTTGACACAGAAACGCTTCACTAATCAGTACAACTTCCTCTGTATTCCAGGTATTATACCTCAGGTAGTTGAATTTATACATCAAGAGTGTTTTGGTATTTTATTCACTGTTTATTCTGGCAAGATTTGATCATTATTGCTCAGATTGTCAGAATATTTTAAATACTGAATAGCCTCATTAGAATAGAGCTGCAAGTATTTGAGGGTAAATCCCCAAATCATTAGGACTACTTTGGGACAGATTGAGTCCCGATTGGCCTAAATGCAATGGGTTAGGTGGTATTTTAAGATGGCTATTCACTTATTAGCACGAGTTTTCACATGTGACACTGTAATCACCAATGATTTACATATAGGCTACACTAGATGACTAATTAGGGGTGCTGTGTTGAAGCCACTGTGCCTCCATCTTGGCACTCCCTCACCATTGTAAAACATATTTTGAAAGCTATAGAAATGCATTTATTAATGTCTACATTAGTTTCTGACATGTTTATTCTATTACAGACACCTTAATGCATACTTTTAAATTATATTATGTGAGCTAAACATACACATTTTCTTTTTACCTCAAGTATAATTTTTTAGAGATTACGAAGGTTACTGTCCCCACTACAGAATACTTAAATACATGTAATTTTGTCCTTATCTCCATTCATTCCTATGGAGGATTGCTTCTACTGGGGAGTACCAATATGGCCGACCGGTGGCTTCAAAGCCTCTCAATAGCCAATACATAGCATCAGCAATCCAGGGTTTATACAGTGAGGGAAAAGTATTTGATCCCCTGGTGATTTTGTAAATTTGCCCACTGACAAAGACATGATCAGTCTATAGGTAGGTTTATTTGAACAGTGAAAGACAGAATAACAACAACAAAAATCAGAAAAACACATGTCAAAAATGTTATAAATTGATTTGCATTTTAATGAGGGAAATAAGTATTTGACCCCCTCTCAATCAGAAAGATTTCTGGCTCCCAGGTGTCTTTAATACAGGTAACGAGCTGAGATTAGGAGCACACTCTTAAAGGGAGTGCTCCTAATCTCAGTTTGTTACCTGTATAAAAGACACCTGTCCAGAGAAGCAATCAATCAATCAGATTCCAAACTCTCCACCATGGTCAAGACCAAAGAGCTCTCCAAGGGAGTCAGGGACAAGATTGTAGACCTACACAAGGCTGGAATGAGCTACAAGACCATCGCCAAGCAGCTTGGTGAGAAGGTGACAACAGTTGGTGCGATATTTCGCAAATGGAAGAAACACAAAATAACTGTCAATCTCCCTCGGCCTGGGGCTCCATGCAAGATCTCACCTTGTGGAGTTGCAATGACCATGAGATCGGTGAGGAATCAGCCCAGAACTACACGGGAGGATCTTGTCAATGATCTTAAGGCAGCTGGGACCATAGTCACCAAGAAAACAATTGGTAACACACTATGCCGTGAAGGACTGAAATCCTGCAGCGCCCGCAAGGTCCCCTTGCTCAAGAAAACACATATACAGGGCCGTCTGAAGTTTGCCAATGAACATCTGAATGATTCAGAGGAGAACTGGGTGAAAGTGTTGTGGTCAGATGAGACCAAAATCGAGCTCTTTGGCATCAACTCAACTCGCCGAGTTTGGAGGAGGAGGAATGCTGCCTATGACCCCAAGAACACCATCCCCACCGTCAAACATGGAGGTGGAAACATTATGCTTTGGGGGTGTTTTTCTGCTAAGGGGACAGGACAACTTCACCGCATCAAAGGGACGATGGACGGGGCCATGTACCGTCAAATCTTGGGTGAGAACCTCCTTCCCTCAGCCAGGGCATTGAAAATGGGTCGTGGATGGTATTCCAGCATGACAATGACCAAAAACACACGGCCAAGGCAACAAAGGAGTGGCTCAAGAAGAAGCACATTAAGGTCCTGGAGTGGCCTAGCCAGTCTCCAGACCTTAATCCCATAGAAAATCTGTGGAGGGAGCTGAAGGTTCGAGTTGCCAAACGTCAGCCTCGAAACCTTAATGACTTGGAGAAGATCTGCAAAGAGGAGTGGAACAAAATCCCTCCTGAGATGTGTGCAAACCTGGTGGCCAACTACAAGAAACGGCTGACCTCTGTGATATCCAACAAGGGTTTTGCCAACAAGTACTAAGTCATGTTTTGCAGAGGGGTCAAATACTTATTTCCCTCATTAAAAAAAACAAATCAATTTATAAAATTTTTGACATGCGTTTTTCTGGATTTTTTAAATTTTTATTCTGTCTCGCACTGTTCAGATAAACCTACCATTAAAATTATAGACTGATTATGTCTTTGTGAGTGGGCAAACGTACAAAATCAGCAGGGGATCAAATACTTTTTTCCCTCACTGTATACATCTTTGGTAATTACCCAATTTTAATAAAAGCTATTAACATTCTCAATAGGGTTGCACGACATTGGAAATAACTGACATTGCGATATTTTGTTTTTCTGCAATATATATTGCGATATGAAAAAATACAGGATGTCTTCACCAGATGACTTGAAAAGCTCTATTTGAGAATAATTAATTATTCTAGAATGATTGGGGTGATTTTGTAGGGAACTGCATCTTCATGGAAAATAAAAATGAAAAAATGAAACTGAAAATGACTTTTGACTTATTTTGGGTAGTTTAATTCATTATATTAATTAATACACTGTTTAATTCACCATGGTTCTATTGTATTCATGTAATACTCTTCTATCAACTCAGGCTAAAGTCAATGATCTAACATGTTATGATATTAATAATGCATGTTGCTTACCCTAAAATAAAGGGGCTCCTTTGTGAATGAAGAGGTGTGGTGTATATAAGGGATCCAGGAGATTACAGGAGGCTGTATCTCAGTACTCCAACCAGGTTAAAACAGAGCATTCTCTACGGAGGAAGTTTCATTATCACAATAGGGAATTCATGTGAATGACAAAATCAAATCAAAAAGTCATTTAACATTTTAATACATTACAAATTAAATTACAAACCTCCTTTTTGAAAATAGAAACATATATATTTTAATTTAAACCATTAGAAAAATAGAGGTGCGGCAGGTAGCTTAGTGGTTAAGAGCGTTGTGGCAGTAATCGAAAGGTCGCTGGTTCTTATCCCAGAGCTGACTAGGTGAAAAATCTGTCGATGTGCCCTTGAGCAAGGCACTTAACCCTAATTGCTCCTGTAAGTCGCTCTGGATAAGAGCGTCTGCTAAATGACTAAAATGTAAAATGAGCAGCTATACACCAATCCTGAGTGGTTTACAAAAACAAAATACAGTGTTTATAAAACAAATCATTTGTAATAATAAAAGCAAAACCTAACTAATAAATACCAATGAACTTAACATGAATAACAAATATCAACACAGAACCATTTGTATTTCACAAACTTCTGTTTTTAAAATAAACTTTTCTTAGCAACAGTGCCAAAGGAAAACAGTGTTGATCATCATGGCTAGACAAATGCTGATTTTAAATTAAACTTTTCAACTGTATAAAATCTGGTTTCTTTCTAAACAGAGTACCTAGTAAAATAAATAAATGTATTTCTCACAACTGTAGAATAATATAGTAAATCTAAATTCTATTCAAATATAATAACTTGACTTTAAGCATGTATACATTGCTCACTCAAACTTGAAGGTTTTTGGCCAAGAATACCAGTCTATTCACTATTACAGGCTTGAGACATGACCGTTGGCAAGTGACAATGTTGCCACTGAAAAGCCTCTCTGAGGGGGAACTTGTAGCGGGAATGGATAGATACTTGCGGGCAAGCTTGGCGAGATGTGGAAAGCTTACTCTATGTGTTTTCCACCATGCAAGTGGATCTTCCTCTTTGTCTTAGGAAGGTGTTAGCAGGAAGTTGTTTAATTCTGCTTCCACAGCATCCTTGTGGGTCAGAGAGGAATCACCCTTTGCTGCAGCTCCGCTCTGTTTAAAGAAACTTCCCAAGGACTTCTTGGCTTTCTTTGCATGGGACGTATCAGCAACTTCAGGCTCCACTTCAGTGCTGCTGCTTGACGTCTCCTCCTGGCATTCCATCATTTCTGATGCCACTCTGGCCTTGACTTGGGGCTTGTTGTCTTCACTGATGAAGTCCATCTTGAACCGGGGGTCCAAACAAGAAGCCGCATCTAGCAGCTGCTGAGTGGCTTCATCTATATATTTCTCGTTGATGTAGTGTAACATCTCAGTTTTCAAGGTCTTGGTCAAGTCTGTGTCTCCCTCTTGTATTAGCAGCATTGAAGTGTTGAACAGGTGAAGAACTGGCTTCACATATGAGACACTAACATAGTCTTCTCCTGAGAGTGCATCTGTGAAGTCCAGCAGTGCATCTCAATGCCCTCCAAAGCAAAAATCTATTTCGGATGCCTTTGCCAGTATTACACCATACGAGAAAGGTTCCAAACGGCAGAGAGAAATCACATTTACATTACATTTACATTTTAGTCATTAAGCAGACGCTCTTATCCAGAGCGACTTACAGTTAGTGAGTGCATAATTTTATTTATTTATTTTTCATACTGGGAATCGAACCCACAACCCTGGTGTTGCAAACGCCATGCTCTACCAACTGAACTCCCCCCAATTGTTTTTAATGCATGCATGCAAAGCCACTACACAACACTAAACAATACATTAATTGCACTATAACGGTGACAAACGGTGCCCACAAACTGTTAGGGCCTGCATAAAGCTGTCCCAACAGCAGAGCTTTCTTTTCAGCACCATGGAGTGAATCCTTACCACTGCTACACCTGGCTATCAGCAGAGCCTTGTCTGGCAGCGAAACAATTCATTCAGCCTCAATTACTGCCTTTTAAAAAAACATAGCTGATATGGCTGACTTGCTTAAACAAATGTGGTTTCTACTGACAATTGAGATGTACAAACTATGGCATAAGGGAACGATGAGCGGATAAGAGGAAATCCGTAATTTTGATTAAGACATTAATGAGCGAGCTAAGACGGACGTAGTCAATATAACTATTTGTTCAGCACTTTTGAAAATGTACAGCAACAGAATTCATAACATGGGCCGTTCGTACAGTATTCTCCCTGTACACCAAGTCAGAACCGTAGGCCCGAGTTCCTGACTTGGAATTCCGAGTTGGATGACCGTTCGAAATGTATTTTCCTAGTCGGAGCTCGTTCTTTTCCGAGTTCTCAGTTGTCTTGAACGCGGCAGAAGTCATGCTGTATGTTTATCCTTTTAAGCTTGGAAAAGAGACCCTTAAACCCGGACTTGGACCACACACCCTCTCCACGAATAGCAGGGGAAGTAATAGTGATTGCTTTGCAACGCTTGCAGATGTCCACTGATTCCTTCCAAACCACTCATGTTGAATTTGTGATTTCCAACTTGCTGTGTAATGTTTATGTCCAATGGCCGATGAGCACTGATACGTTTTATCTATAATTTATCTTCATATGACAAGGATTGAAAACCCCTACGTTCTGTATTTTCCACTCGCTGCCCCTCCACCACAGAAAGCACTGAGCTAGGCTGAAACACCTGCATTTTGGAGCTGTCTTAATCAAGAAATCAAAAAAGAGAAGAATTTTGTACGCGACTTTATTAACTCAATGTTTTTTTATATTGTTTGCAAACTGTTATGTGACACGTATTAATGCCCAAATAACATGCAAAACAGGCTTGGCTCTGCCCCACCTGCCCTGAATGACAGTATTACCCCCAGTGGCGACCCGTCACAATTCATTCACAAGGCAGCATAGCATGACCCTTATGCCACCCTTTGGCGCCCTAACCTGAGACTAGCAAAGCCCCACAGCCTTGGGAAGGTAGACTGCTGATTTCACAAGTTGTTGCACCCATCCGTAATCAGAGTAACAAATACTGTATGAGTCTAAGTTCACTCATGAGGATGTGTAGGTAATAGTGAGTTTATGAGGCTACAGTATGGAAACAAACTAAGATAAAGAAGACAGAAATAATTCCCAAGTCTTTGCACAGCCTAATGGGAAATAATCACAACAGGTGTGGTCTTTTTTTATTCATGTCTTATTTTTTAACTCGATTGGTGGACATCACTCCCCAGATAATATCACTCTCTGTGTCACCAGACAAGTTAAACGTCTTTCTTACACTCAGGTATCTTCTGAAATGGTCTACAAAGGTCAACACAAAATGTGCATGTAAAATACATTTGAATCTCCATTTCATTGTGTGCCTTACATAAGTGAGCCCTCATTTACTGTTCTAGGAAAACCCCATAGGTCACAAGGGCCTTTGGGGAGGTGGGATCACGGTTTCAGTGGGTTTAGGAGGGGTTTAGTACTACTGCTGTGAGGTCAGATTAGAGCATTTATAAAGCCAGGAATAACAATGCTTTTGTGAGTTTGTTCTGACCTGCAGTGGAGGAGAAGAAAAGGGATATTCCATATTTAAGGTGGAAAGGAAGTGTGCACATTTAGGACATGAGGACAGGGACAGCTCTTGCAGTGTTGGTGCTGACACTTTTTTCATCTGCTACAGCAAGTAAGTACAGCCACTCTGGATATCATAATGTATACCAGATAATGCAGGAATATCTAGATAATATATTTTCAAAATTTTCAAAAATTGTCTTTTGATGTTACAAAAGGGAGTTATTCTTCACTTCAGGCTGTGGTGCACCAGGATTTCCCAATATGATAATAATTTTAGCAGGGGCGGACGGGACAAAAAATTTGCCCTGGCATTTCTAACACACCTGCCCATTTTTTCCCCTTGAGGCCCCCACACTGGACCATTTTTTCCCCCTTGAGGCCCCCATTATTAGCCAGATAATGATCATATTGCACAAAAAAATAAATCAAGTTAGACAGGCCCACTGGGCAAAAAATGGACCAGCCCATCTGGCATTTCAGGCAACACTTGTTTTATTCAAACCTTTCAGTAATGATGTGTATTGAGGAACACTGCATTTGGTTTTGTCTTAGATGCTCTTATGACAGAGGCACCACAGTGCAGCACTATGTGCCCTTTGCATGACCAAGGGTCAGATTCCCAGACACAGATTAAGCATAGTCCTGGACTAAAACCCTTTCAATGGAGATTATCTGTTTTGATAACGAAATGCTTTGCAAACACTGCACAAATTTGAATCAAACATGAATTGACACTCTTAATTTTATGGGGAAGCATCATTGCAGTCATAGGGCCTGTAGTAAGATTAAATGCAGTAATGCACACTATCTTCAACATCGTGCAAGTAGCATGAGATGGCATGAGATTTAAATGAATTATTAAAAAGCACAAGAGTCTCATTTGTCACCAATAAGCAGTTTGCATGAATTACAAACAATGTAGAGAGTATCAGTCAGCGGCTGTTAGTTCTTAATTTAACAGTAAATTGTACCGTTGGTGGGATCATTGCACAATACAGTAGCCTATTGTAACAATCATACTCTTGATAAGCGCCTTACGGGATATAAGTATTGTGATTTTGACTAGGGTGCCGTGTATGGATGACCGGGGTTCAATCCCAACTCAGGATTAAAAATAAAACATACTACTACTGCATATATGAAAATAATCAGTGCTTATCAGTGCAATGGAATATTAATTGTTTGACCTGCATGGTCCTTATGTCAAAGACAATCCCCTCCCACCCTTAGACCTAATCTGTAGTAAATGTATGGTACAAATTCAGCTGCCATTCACATGAGTAGGATTGAGGGAGATTGTATAGTTTTTGAGATAAGCAGTCCCCTAGGTTAGAGCTGAGCACCCTCCTTTAAGGTTGCAACCTAAAGTGTGGCCAGCTCCTTCCTTTTCAACTCTAATGGATGCATGCTCTGCTTACTTATGTCATTTCTATGATTATATTCCAGAGCCCAAAAGTCGCTTCACACGATATCCATCATGGAATACGAAAATGTATCCGGTCTGGAAGGATGAAGATCCTCAGTACAAATACTCTTGGAAAGGTATGCACAATTATCCTCTGTCTCAACACAATGTGTATACTCTGATGGTTACATAACATTTTCATCTTATTTATCAGGAATATCTCTGTGAAATGTGTGGCCATTTGTGGATGACCTCTGCTCCTCATATAGTAAAAGGGTGTAAAGGCCCAATGCAGTCCAACATTTGATTTTTCCTGTGTTTTATATATATTTCCACACTATGAGGTTGGAATAATACTGTGAAATGTGTGGACATTTGTGGATGACCTCTGCTCACTTGACGTAAAGTAAGTCAAATATCTCTGTGAAATATTATACTAATGATATTCACTTCAAAGTGTACATTCTTCCCAACAGGTGGCAAGGTGAAATTCATTGTGGGTAATGACGCACCAACCCTGACTGGAGCCAAGGTAACCTTTACCATCGAGCTGCAGTTCCCACACAACCAGAAGATCATGCCGGATGGAGAGGTGGTGTGGGCTGAGAACTGCACTGTCAATGGTAAGTCCTCCTCGAGAACTGACTGGGTTTTGGTAACCTCATCCCATGTCTGGTGAACAAGATCAGGGTTTTGGTAACCTCATTCCCAAGCTAATTGGGAGGAAGTGTCTTGGGAACAAAATCAGAGTTTTGGCCATATGAGGGTCTTTTGTCACTTATACAGAAATCTTGGCTCCCTGAACTAAATCTTGCACGAATGCTGGTTTCTGGCCAGCTATTGTTAATTAAGTATGTCACGGGAGAGACTACAGTATTTGTATTGTTCTTTCCCTTTGGAGACTACAGTGCATTTTGAGGTTAAATACTACGTACTCTTTTTCTACATACACTACCTGACCAAACGTATGTGGACACCTGCTCGTGGAAGATCTCATTACAAAATCATGGCCATTAATATGGAGTTGTTCCCCCCTTTGCTACTATAACAGCCTCCACTCTTCTGGGAAGGCTTTCCACTAGATGTTCGAACATTGCTGCGGGGAATTGCTTCCATTCAGCCACAAGAGCATTAGTGAGGTTGGGCACTGATGTTGGCCGATTAGGCCTGGCTCGCAGTCGGCATTCCAATTCATCCCAAAGGTGTTCGATGTGGTTGAGGTCAGGGCTTTGTGCAGGCCAGTCAAGTTCTTCCACACTGATCTCGACAAACCATTTCTGTATGGACCACGGGGGCATTTTTATAAATATTTTGTAAATGTTTTATTTAACCTTTATTTAACTAGGCAAGTCAGTTAAGAACAAATTCTTATTTACAATGACAGCCTACCAAAAGGCAAAAGGACTCCTGCGGGGATGGTGGCTGGGATTAAAAATACAAATATAGGACAAAACACACATCACGACTAGAGACACCACAACACTACATAAAGAGAGACCTAAGACAACAACACAGCATGGCAGCAACACATGACAACACTAATTGACTAAAAAAGGTATAATCTTCGTAAATGATATCATCGGTAGGACTGGTGGAGTTATGTCGCACATGCAGCTAACAAAAACATATGGAAATGTCTGCTCTACCCAAAATTACAACCAAATAATTGCAGCCTTACCGCAAAAATGGAAGAGGAAAGTGGAAGGGGGAGAAAGTAAGGAACTTGTCTGTCGGCCTTGCATTAAAGAACATAATTGGTTAAGGAAACTGTGATAAATAAAAAAGTATATCAGTTTCATTTAAGGACCAAAGGATTGACAGCCGTCCCATATAGATTGCAAAATAGTTGGGAAGAGATTTTTGACGTACCGATTCCATGGCATAGTGTTTATGAACTGATACGCAAAACGACACCGGATTCAAAACGTAGAATCTTTCTATTTAAATTATTATATAAAATTCTTGCTACCAATAGAATGTTATTTATATGGGGGATACTATCTTCCCAGCTCTGCAGATTTTGCTGCGAAGAGACAGAATCATTAGATCATTTGTTTTAGTACTGTCCATTTGTAGCTTGTTTTTGGACACAGGTCCAGGAATGGCTAAAGGATTGCAATATTTACCTGGAGCTAACCTTGCAGATAGCATTACTGGGTGATCTGAAAAGTCATAGTCAATCGATCAATAACATAATAATACTTTTAGCAAAAAAAAATATTTTCAATTCACAATCTGTAGAAACAATGAGAATAGAAAGGTTCAGAACTTTTGTAAGACATCACAGTACAGTTGAAATATATATGGCAAATAGAAATCCTATATGGATGGTGTTAAAAGATAGATGGGAGGTGTTGAATGGAATTGAAGGATGGGACTAATAACAACAAATAATAACAAGATAACTAATAATGTAAGCATACTGTGTCCATAATAAGTATATAGGTTGTAGGTTTGGAGCTTTTGTGAAAGAGCACAGTTAGAAAGATATGGCATATAGAAGCAAACCAGATGGACATCATGAAAATGATCGGAGAGGTTGAGAGTAGAGGAAGTTCAGGAGAAAGGATATGTGTGTGTGTGTGTATGTGTATATGTATATATATATATATATATATATATATATATATATATATATATATATATATTACACACACACATATATATATATATATTACACACACACACACACACACACACACATATATATATATATATATATATGTGTGTGTGTGTGTGTGTGTGTGTAATATATATATATATGTGTGTGTGTAATATATATATATATATATATATATATATATATATATATATATATATATATATATATATATATATATATATATATATATATATATATATATATATATATATATATATATATATATATACACTGCTCAAAAAATAAAGGGAACACTAAAATAACACATCCTAGATCTGAATGAATGAAATAATCTTATTAAATACTTTTTTCTTTACATAGTTGAATGTGCTGACAACAAAATCACACACAAAATTATCAATGGAAATCAAATTTATCAACCCATGGAGGTCTGGATTTGGAGTCACCCTCAAAATTAAAGTGGAAAACCACACTACAGGCTGATCCAACTTTGATGTAATGTCCTTAAAACAAGTCAAAATGAGGCTCAGTAGTGTGTGTGGCCTCCACGTGCCTGTATGACCTCCCTACAACGCCTGGGCATGCTCCTGATGAGGTGGCGGATGGTCTCCTGAGGGATCTCCTCCCAGACCTGGACTAAAGCATCCGCCAACTCCTGGACAGTCTGTGGTGCAACGTGGCATTGGTGGATAGAGCGAGACATGATGTCCCAGGTGCTCAATTGGATTCAGGTCTGGGGAACGGGCGGGCCAGTCCATAGCATCAATGCCTTCCTCTTGCAGGAACTGCTGACACACTCCAGCCACATGAGGTCTAGCATTGTCTTGCATTAGGAAGAACCCAGGGCCAACCGCACCAGCATATGGTCTCACAAGGGGTCTGAGGATCTCATCTCGGTACCTAATGGCAGTCAGGCTACCTCTGGCGAGCACATGGAGGGCTGTGCGGCCCCCCAAAGAAATGCCACCCCACACCATGACTGACCCACCGCCAAACCGGTCATGCTGGAGGATGTTGCAGGCAGCAGAACGTTCTCCACGGCGTCTCCAGACTCTGTCACGTCTGTCACATGTGCTCAGTGTGAACCTGCTTTCATCTGTGAAGAGCACAGGGCGCCAGTGGCGAATTTGCCAATCTTGGTGTTCTCTGGCAAATGCCAAACGTCCTGCACGGTGTTGGGCTGTAAGCACGACCCCCACCTGTGGACGTCTGGCCCTCATACCACCCTCATGGAGTCTGTTTCTGACCGTTTGAGCAGACACATGCACATTTGTGGCCTGCTGGAGGTCATTTTGCAGGGCTCTGGCAGTGCTCCTCCTGCTCCTCCTTGCACAAAGGCGGAGGTAGCAGTCCTGCTGCTTGGTTGTTGCCCTCCTACGGCCTCCTCCACGTCTCCTGATGTACTGGCCTGTCTCCTGGTAGCGCCTCCATGCTCTGGACACTACGCTGACAGACACAGCAAACCTTCTTGCCACAGCTCGCATTGATGTGCCATCCTGGATGAGCTGCACTACCTGAGCCACTTGTGTGGGTTGTAGATTCCGTCTCATGCTACCACTAGAGTGAAAGCACCGCCAGCATTCAAAAGTGACCAAAACATCAGCCAGGAAGCATAGGAACTGAGAAGTGGTCTGTGGTCACCACCTGCAAAACCAGTCCTTTATTGGGGATGTCTTGCTAATTGCCTATAATTTCCACCTGTTGTCTATTCCATTTGCACAACAGCATGTGAAATGTATTGTCAATCAGTGTTGCTTCCTAAGTGGACAGTTTGATTTCACAGAAGTGTGATTGACTTGGAGTTACATTGTGTTGTTTAAGTGTTCCCTTTATATTTTTGAGCAGTGTATACAGTGGGGGAAAAAAGTATTTAGTCAGCCACCAATTGTGCAAGTTCTCCCACTTAAAAATATGAGAGAGGCCTGTCATTTTCATCATAGGTACACGTCAACTATGACAGACAAAATGAGAAAGAAAAATCAAGAAAATCACATTGTAGGATTTTTTATGAATTTATTAGCAAATTATGGAAAATAAGTATTTGGTCAATAACAAAAGTTTCTCAATACTTTGTTATATACCCTTTGTTGGCAATGACACAGGTCAAACATTTTCTGTAAGTCTTCACAAGGTTTTCACACCTGTTGCTGGTATTTTGGCCCATTCCTCCATGCAGATCTCCTCTAGAGCAATGATGTTTTGGGGCTGTCGCTGGGCAACACGGACTTTCAACTCCCTCCAAAGATTTTCAAACCCAGATTCGTCCGTCGGACTGCCAGATGGTGAAGTATGATTCATCACTCGAGAGAACGTGCTTTACACTACTCCAGCTGACGCTTGGCAATGCGCATGGTGATCTTAGGCTTGTGTGCGGCTGCTCGGCCATGGAAACCCATTTCATGAAGCTCCAGACGAACAGTTATTGTGCTGACGTTGCTTCCAGAGGCAGTTTGGAACTCGGTAGTGAGTGTTGCAACCGAAGACAGACGATTTTTACGCGCTATGCGTTTCAGCACTCAGCGGTCCTGTTCTGTGAGCTTGCGTGGCCTACCACTTCGCGGCTGAGCCGTTGTTGCTCCTAGACGTTTCCACTTCATAATAACAGCACTTACAGTTGACCAGGGCAGCTCTAGCATGGCAGAAATTTGACTTGTTGGAAAGGTGGCATCCTATGACGGTGCCACGTTGAAAGTCACTGAGCTCTTCAGCACAGGCCATTCTAATGCCAATATTTGTCTATGGAGATTGTATGGATGTGTGCTCGATTTTATACACCTGCCAGCAACGGGTGTGGCTGAAATAGCAGAATCCACTAATTTGAAGGGCGAATCCACTAATTTGAAGGGGTGTCCTTATACTTTTGTATATATAGTGTAATTCATAATACAGTGGGGGAAAAAAGTATTTAGTCAGCCACCAATTGTGCAAGTTCTCCCACTTAAAAAGATGAGAGAGGCCTGTAATTTTCATCATAGGTACACGTCAACTATGACAGACGAAATGAGGGGAAAAAATCCAGAAAATCACATTGTAGGATTTTTAAGGAATTTATTTGCAAATTATGGTGGAAAATAAGTATTTGGTCAATAACAAAAGTTTCTCAATACTTTGTTATATACCCTTTGTTGGCAATGACAGAGGTCAAACATTTTCTGTAAGTCTTCACAAGGTTTTCACACACTGTTGCTGGTATTTTGGCCCATTCCTCCATGCAGATCTCCTCTAGAGCAGTGATGTTTTGGGGCTGTCGCTGGGCAACACGGACTTTCAACTCCCTCCAAAGATTTTCTATGGGGTTGAGATCTGGAGACTGGCTAGGCCACTCCAGGACCTTGAAATGCTTCTTACGAAGCCACTCCTTCGTTGCCCGGGCGGTGTGTTTGGGATCATTGTCATGCTGAAAGACCCAGCCACGTTTCATCTTCAATGCCCTTGCTGATGGAAGGAGGTTTTCACTCAAAATCTCACGATACATGGCTCCATTCATTCTTTCCTTTACACGGATCAGTCGTCCTGGTCCCTTTGCAGAAAAACAGCCCCAAAGCATGATGTTTCCACCCCCATGCTTCACAGTAGGTATGGTGTTCTTTGGATGCAACTCAGCATTCTTTGTCCTCCAAACACGACGAGTTGAGTTTTTACCAAAAAGTTATATTTTGGTTTAATCTGACCATATGACATTCTCCCATTCCTCTTCTGGATCATCCAAATGCACTCTAGCAAACTTCAGACGGGCCTGGACATGTACTGGCTTAAGCAGGGGGACACATCTGGCACTGCAGGATTTGAGTCCCTGGTGGCGTAGTGTGTTACTGATGGTAGGCTTTGTTACTTTGGTCCCAGCTCTCTGCAGGTCATTCACTAGGTCCCCCCGTGTGGTTCTGGGATTTCTGCTCACCGTTCTTGTGATCATTTTGACCCCACGGGGTGAGATCTTGCGTGGAGCCCCAGATCGAGGGAGATTATCAGTGGTCTTGTATGTCTTCCATTTCCTAATAATTGCTCCCACAGTTGATTTCTTCAAACCAAGCTGCTTACCTATTGCAGATTCAGTCTTCCCAGCCTGGTGCAGGTCTACAATTTTGTTTCTGGTGTCCTTTGACAGCTCTTTGGTCTTGGCCATAGTGGAGTTTGGAGTGTGACTGTTTGAGGTTGTGGACAGGTGTCTTTTATACTGATAGCAAGTTCAAACAGGTGCCATTAATACAGGTAACGAGTGGAGGACAGAGGAGCCTCTTAAAGAAGAAGTTACAGGTCTGTGAGAGCAAGAAATCTTGCTTGTTTGTAGGTGACCAAATACTTATTTTCCACCATAATTTGCAAATAAATTCATTAAAAATGCTACAATGTGATTTTCTGGATTTTTCTTTCTCATTTTGTCTGTCATAGTTGACGTGTACCTATGATGAAAATGACAGGCCTCTCTCATCTTTTTAAGTGGGAGAACTTGCACAATTGGTGGCTGACTAAATACTTTTTTTCCTCACTGTACATACTCCTCGGTCTAAAGACGAATCAGAAACCAACACTCGCTCTGTTTTCCTCCAGGAACAAATTACCATCAGTCTGAGCCAGTGTATCCTGCACAAAACATGGAGTGGAATGGTGTCTTTCCCGACGGAACACCCTTCAAGAAGGGCGGTGACAAGCCCCCTGCATATGTGTTTGTATGGAAGACATGGGGTAAAGTGCAGCTGCAAGCACTCACTTATTAGGGCCTACATTATTAATGTTTTACTTTGTCTGCTAATGATATTGTTATAAACCTGTAATAACATGTTATAAGCATGTAATAACACTGTAATAAGCATGTAATAAGCCAATTTCTTTGCTTTGCTTTACAGGTCAGTACTGGCAGGTGTCTGATGGCCCATCCTCCTCCCTCACCATTGGGACAGACGATGTCCCTCTGGGTTCCTACATCGTGGACATTGTCATCTACCACTACCGTAGCCATGAGAAGTTCATCCCTCTGGGATACGCCTCAACACAGTTCTCCATCACTGGTTAGTGTCATAAATGGATGAATGAATGGACGAACTAATGAATGAATGGATGAATGAATGAGTAGCTGTCTTGAAAAAGAAGATGAGTGTTTTTCTCTATCTCTATATCTTTAGATCAAATCCCCTTCGCAGTCTCGATGACCCAAGTGAATGACATCAACGAGGCAGACCTGAGCTTCGTCCAGAACAGAGCCATAGCCTTCACCATCAGCCTCCACGACCCCAGCGAGTACATGAGTGACGCCGACATCACCTACAACTGGGACTTTGGTGACAGCAGCGGGGCTCTCATCTCCAGAGAGCTGACTGTCACCCACACCTATATAGTGGCTGGTGGCTTCAAGCCCAAGGTGGTCGTACAGGCCTTTATCCCTGATAAAGCATGTGCCACACCAGCTGGTGTCGACCCCACTGGTAATGCTGTCACCATCGGGCCCGCAGACCCGGCCGGCACAACAGGTCATTCCCATCTTGAAGCGCTTTAGTCCACAAGGCAATTTCTAAAGTCTTAACTTGGATTCCTTGCAACCTTAGTGTCCTCAAGAAGAGAGGATGTGGGGAATCATGGAAAATACTTTTGAGATTCACCCAATATGTAGGCTATGCCAGAATTGACAAAGAAAATAGAAAATTGAATTGTCTTGTTTCTCCCTCCAGTGAGAGCTCCTGCTGCTGATGCGTCAGCTGCTCCAGTGATGGTGGCCACACAGGAAGCTACAATAAATGTAGGCCCATCAGCTCCCGCTGAGACTGACACAGAGGACATGACTGATGAGGGAGCCTCCACCGCTCAGGACACAAAGATACCTTCTCCAGTTAACCCTGACACTCCAACTGTCCCTGCTGCCATGGCAACAGCTTCCTCTGAGGAAGTAGAGCCAGCAGGTACTGTATGTTCTAAACATGTAACATATTCATTTTAATTGATTAATTAAGCGAATTAACTGTACATCTAATGTGCTTTAGATTGTTGGATTTTCAATTTAGTAACTGGAATCCATTGTTGTTTCTCCTGATACAGGACAGACCGCTACAGGCCAAGCTCCCGTGGTGATAGTTGTTAAGCGTGAAGCCGGTGACAAACGCAAGGATGATGACTGTGTGATCTATCGCTATGGGTCCTTCTGCACTGGCATTGACATTGTTGGTAAGTCCACTGTCTAAATAACATGTAAATCTCCATCCTAATACTGTATTTGATTTAAATTGAGGATTATTTTACGGCCCGTCTTTTTGTGTTTTTCTTCAGAGGGCATTGAGAGTTTGAAGATAGTGCAAGTGGACAATGCTGTGATCAAGACAGATGAATCTGAGGTTGAACGAAACGTGGTGGATCTAACTGTCACCTGCCAAGGGAGGTGAGTATTCCTTCTCCAGACCCAATTAAAGGGAGACTTCTCAGACAATGACACCATTTATTATTTCCCTTAGCAGAATCATGATCCACAGACAAATCCACTAGGTATGTAGGCCTATATTCCACCATTTAGGCACTAGGATCAGTTTCATTGCCCATATCACAGGAGGCTGCTGAGGGGAGGACGGCTCATAATAACGTCTGGAATGGAGTAAATGGAATGGTATCAACCACATGGAAACCTTGTGGTCCCGTGTAGCTCAGTTGGTAGAGCATCGCGCTTGCAACGCCAGGGTTGTGGGTTAGATTTCCACGGGGGGCCAGTATGAAAAATAAATAAATGTATGCACTCACTAACTGTAAGTCACTCTGGATAAGAGCGTCTGCTAAATGAGTAAAATGTCAAATGTAATTACTATGTTCCCTTCCTCCCCGATTTAAGGTGCAACCAGCTGTTTGTGCCTCAGATTAATCCTAGTCCTGGATTAAAAATTATTATTGCATTTTAGTCCAGTATTAGTCTGGCCCTTAGTGTTTCACTGAGTGTTTCTGACCCTGTGTCTGTTCTCCACCCAGCCTTCCCACAGAGGTGTGTATGGTGGTGTCCAACGCGGACTGTTTTATGCCCTTCCACACCATGTGTAACACAGTGGCGCCCTCTTCTGAGTGCCAGCTGGTACTGCGTCACTTTTTCAATGACTCTGGCATCTTCTGTATCAACGTGTCCATGACCAACGATGTCAGTCTGGCAATCACCAGCGCCAAAGTTAGCGTGACTGTGGGTATGTACTGTAAGATGTCTGCTCTGCACATCTGCCCCGCCACGTCTCGAACCTGGGTCCCTGGGACAATCAGTCCAACACCTATTGTTATTGTTTAGAATATAATTAATATATTGTAATATGATGTTATATGAAGTTGTTTTACATAAATTATTGTCTGGGTTCTTTGGTGGCAGGTTCCAGTCTGTCCTCAGCGGGCACTGTAGCCATAGCAATGGGGGTCCTGATCGTTGCTCTGGTCTCAGGAACCGTGGCCTACACTTACAAGTGAGTCACAAATCAACATTGGTCTACTCTAGTCACAGCTCTCTGAAGAGTTCCATATCACCACAATAACCTTTTCAGCTTGCTTGAGACATGACCCTTATGGTGCCTGTGTACATGGCAACTGTATGCAGCATATTGTACCATTGATAACAGTTTTATCCTTTATTTGACCAGAGGAGTCACATTGAGATTTACATATTTATAAGTGAGCCTTGGAAAAAACTAATGTAAATAATTGTTCTCCTTTTGTTCCACAGACGGTTCAAAGCCTACCTTCCTCTGAAGGAGGAGTCTGAGGTTGGCTCCGCCTCCCAGAGCGCTGAGAGCAGTCCTGGTTGGAGCTATGGGCCTCTACTGTTCTGGAACCTTCTGAGTCGACAACGGGGCCTTGTAGAGAACAGCCCACTGCTCGATGACAGGCTGGTGTGAATGGACAAAAAACCAAATACACAATACACAACAGCATAGAAACATCTTATTTTCGCATATAGTCATCCAAAATGTTTTGCTTTTTCTTTTATAGTTTTTTATACATTTATTTTTTAACTGAAAGTTCATGAATGTGTATAATTTGGCTTATTTCCCTCAAACAATTTTTTTTCTAAGCGCATATGTGCATCCTCATATTTTTATACTGGAAGTTTTATCAGTGAATAATATTGGAAACATTTGACATTAGTATGTCTTTTCCCCATTAAAATCCTCCCAAAATTGTACTAGTGTCTTTCTTTTTGTCAAGATAAGGTGGTGAATAAAGTCAAAGAGCACAAATAGCTAATTTAATTCAATGTTTTATTAGGTATCATAATAAGATCATGCAACAGTAACAGTGTTTAACAATGGCTTGCCTGCAGGGGCATCTCAATACTCTTCTCCCTCTTCCTCTCCCTCACCCTCAATGGAGTCAACCCCTACCTCTTCATAATCTTTCTCCAGGGCTGCCATGTCCTCTCTGGCCTCAGAGAACTCTCCCTCCTCCATACCCTCACCCACATACCAGTGCACAAAGGCACGTTTGGCGTACATCAGGTCAAACTTGTGGTCAAGCCGAGCCCAGGCCTCTGCCACAGCAGTGGTGTTGCTCAGCATGCACACAGCCCTCTGGACTTTAGCCAGGTCTCCACCAGGGACTACAGTGGGGGGCTGGTAGTTGATGCCAACCTTGAAACCAGTTGGACACCAGTCAACAAACTGAATGGAACGTTTGGTCTTGATGGTGGCAATGGCAGCATTGACATCTTTGGGCACCACATCACCACGGAACAGAAGGCAGCAAGCCATGTACTTGCCGTGGCGAGGGTCACATTTCACCATCTGATTGGCCGGCTCAAAGCAGGCATTGGTGATTTCAGAGACAGAGAGCTGCTCATGGTAAGCCTTCTCTGCAGAGATAACTGGGGCATAGGTGGCCAGAGGGAAATGGATACGGGGATAGGGCACCAAGTTGGTCTGGAACTCTGTCAGATCAACATTGAGGGCACCATCAAATCGAAGGGAAGCAGTGATGGAGGAAACGATCTGGCTAATGAGCCTGTTGAGGTTGGTGTAGGTAGGACGCTCAATGTCGAGGTTCCTACGGCAGATGTCATAGATAGCCTCATTATCCACCATGAAGGCACAGTCAGAGTGCTCTAGGGTGGTGTGGGTGGTCAGGATGGAGTTGTAGGGCTCCACCACAGCTGTGGACACCTGGGGAGCTGGGTAGATGGAGAACTCCAGCTTGGACTTCTTGCCGTAGTCAACCGACAGGCGCTCCATCAGCAGGGAAGTGAAACCAGAGCCGGTGCCACCTCCAAAGCTATGGAAAACCAGGAAGCCCTGAAGGCCTGTGCACTGGTCAGCCTAAGGAGAAAGAGGAACATGTCAATAAATGGACAGAAGAAGATGTCCACATTATGATCAGATAGTTGATAAAATATTGAATTTATTCATTCTGAAATACCCACCAGTTTGCGGATCCTGTCCAGTACCAGGTCAATGATCTCTTTGCCAATAGTATAGTGTCCACGAGCGTAGTTGTTGGCAGCATCTTCTTTGCCAGTGATGAGCTGTTCAGGATGGAATAACTGGCGATAGGTCCCAGTGCGCACCTCATCTGAGGAGAGAAAATTAACAGCTCGTTAAGGAGCTCAATAGCAAGAAAGCAGAGGAAATCCTCTTTGACATACTTTTATTTCAATTAAATGAGAAACAGAAATCTTACCAATGACTGTTGGCTCCAGGTCCACAAACACAGCCCTGGGGACATGCTTTCCAGCCCCAGTCTCACTGAAAAAGGTATTGAAGGAGTCGTCTCCTCCTCCGATGGTCTTGTCACTGGGCATCTGTCCATCTGGCTGGATCCCATGCTCCAGGCAGTAGAGCTCCCAGCAGGCATTGCCAATCTGGACTCCAGCCTGACCTACGTGGACGGAGATGCACTCACGCTGTAAAATAAATGGAAAAATATTGAATGTAACAGAATTACATTTAATTTGACAAAAATGTACAATTGTCAAAAACACCACCTAGTGGAAGAACGGGTAGGTTACATGTAGACTGAAGAACAGTCACAATATAGACAAATCAACTGATGTGCAGGAATCAGCCATTTACACCTATGACCATTACTTAGCTGACAAGGAGGTCATATTACATCACTAAGGAATTAAAAGGCAGCTGGAGTGGAATAGGTTTATTTTCAGGGTTAAACTAGACATATTAATATTGACATATGTTAAGGTGTACAACTGTAGAGATACATATATTCCCCTTCTGTCCCCACCTAGTCTGCCTTCCCCCATCTAGCAACACAATGGATGACCTTAAGAATATGATCCCATTTTATTCCAATTTTATATCCATTACCTGAATAAATAAATGCTGCTGTCTGTGATGAATATTGTACAATTCATCTGTGTTCAATAGCTACCAAAAAGTATGCATTCTAAATATAGTGCTTTGTTCTTTCATTCCATTCCCATACAATTAGCCTACCAATTTATGTAATAGCCTTGTAATAAACCGAAATAGCATGCAATACCTATTCCAAACGCGTTAATTCAGTCTAAGCAAATTCCTCATTTGAAAATGGGTTAACAACACCAAGATGTTCCAAATTCGCCCCTATCTCGAATTCATTGACCTATACATTAAAAATCGACCCATAACAGCCACCATACGGTCGTGTAGTGATTGTCTCATCATTTGAGAAATTCTCAACAGAAAACATCAAACACGTAATTATTTCAGGCTTATTATTGCTGAAAAACTACATGACTTACCATATTTTCTGAGGAGGATCGAACAATATGGGAAAATACAAAGAAATAGTCTACGCAGAGAGATCTCTATTTGTGTCTGAATGAATGGGTGTACTGTATGCTCTGCCCGTCAGAGTCGACGCAACAACTGCTGATGGAGAGGGGCGGCGCTCCCAGATTTATGCACAGCCAGTGCACACTGTGTAATACGCCTATATGAGGCTGAATGTACGTTTTTAAAACGAAGCTTATTTGTTCAGTTGATATTTTTTTCATTCTGCATTGCGATTGAAAAAAGTAAGAAATGTTATGTAAGGAGAAAACATATTTTCTCCAATTCAGGGAATGCATGGGATGATAGTGGATTTACCTTAAAGGATGTCCTCTGTCACCTCGTTTAAAGGGATAGTTCACCCCAATTAAAAATGCATCTTATCATGGATAACACTGAAAGTGAGCAATCCAATATTTAGATGTAGGGACAGCTTTATCATTATAATTGATGACAAATCAATGGCAGTGACCGTGGAAGCCATGTCAGAATACTCAAAAAACCCTGCCAATATCACCATACCTAAAACACATACCCACATCTTCAAGTATGGTTATATGTAGATTTATGTCCAAAGTCATTTTGTGGAACAGTACCAGATAAATCATGTAGAATGGCAGAAGTAGGAGCTAATCCTTCTCACTATCCTCCTCCTATCTCTCCTTCCTCTTTGTCTTAGATTCTCTGCAATGATGATGTCATCCATCTGGGCTGATCACATGATCACAGTGTCTTGCTGCTGAATGCACTGTGCTGGCCTTAGTGTAAGCATATTAAGGAAGTAAGCCGTTTTTCTTTCAACCCATCTATCCAATTGAATACCCATGATGACCAAACATGTATTGACTTTTAGGGCTCAGGTCTCTGCAAGTGCATTTTGGTAATCTAAGCTTCCTGATAAAGCCAGAGCGTACATCACCATACTCATGTTCCGATGAAGGATTACACAACATCCGATGCTTGAAAAGCCTGCATTTTGTCAGACTATCCTGAATACTGGAATTTGTCTGGCAGCTATTTAAATTAAAGCTTACATCAGCTTGTGCTACAAAGTCATGTACTACAAAGTGAATTGTCGCCTCGATACAGTCTCTCTGCAAAATCCACTCAAAAGCATCTGTGACACAAACTATACTAGTTGTATAGGTCTTTAGAGCTTTATTTTGAAATATTCTAAATATAGCCCACCCAGTGAGCAAAACTGGTTGAAATGACGTCTTTTCAATCCGTTTTGCTCACTGGGTGGGTTACCAAGGAACAAAGATGTCAATTGTGGGGTAATACAGTAAGTGTGAGTGTGATTTAGGCCTACTGTAGAAGGGGCTGAACAAGATGTATGGCCCCATGCCGACTGTTCCAGGAGGTCCTCATTCCCCAACAGCTGAGGGACAAGGAGGAGCCTGACATTAAACAGCTGCAGGCGAGAAGATGGTGGAAGTGTTTGAGATGGGAGTGGTCCTCCAAGAATGAGCACACTTTTCCTTTAAAGGTCCAATGCAGACGTTTTTAGTATCTCAATATCAAATCATTTCTGGGTAACACTTAAGTCTTTTTGTTAATTTTTGACCATTTTAATTGAAAACAATCACAGTAAGGGATTGTTTTCAATTAAAATGGTCAAAAATTAACAAAAATGGCTTCTTAGATAGAGCAATTTATCAAGCAAGAATTTTGCTAGGACTGTCTGGGAGTGGTCTGAGCAGGGAAACCTGAAAACGAGCTGTTATTGGCAGAGAGGTTTGTAACTCTCTTTCTTATTGGTCTATTAATGAATTTACCGCCTGGTGACATCACCAGGCAGGCCAAAACTCTATCCCACCAAAACAGGCTGAAATTTCAGGTGGTCTTTTCTACACTAAAAGGGCATTATCATAATTTTCACGATTTCACAGTATTATTCCAACCTTATAGTGTGGAAATATACAGTATATAAAACACAGGAAGATCATGTTTTGGACTGCACTGGGCCTTTAATGGAATACAAAGCCTTCAATGCAGTCACAAAGCAGTTATAGGCCTACTCAGGGACGCAAACTGAATGACTAAAAAGCACCCTAAGCTTAAAAGGTGTGTTTTAAGATCTCTTTAAAAAATGTTCACAGTGTTCCTCAGGTGGCAAAAAGTTATTTTGGTCAAATTACTAATGTGTGATTCGAAATTGAGTTCAGAATCTAAAATAACACCTAGGTTTAATACCTGGTGTTTATCTTTATTGCCTGTGAATTAAAACGTGCCGGCCAGATTCTCTCTCTGTGCTTTGGCTCCAACAATAAGTACCTCGGTCTTGTGTTGATTTATCTGGAGGAAGTTGTGAGCCATCCAAGTATTTAAATCACTAAAAAAGTCTAATAATTTATCCGTAGAACTAAAATCCTCTGGTGACAAAGAAATATAATGTTGTGTATCGTCTGCGTAGCAGTGAAAATCAATGCTGTGCTTCTGATAATGTTGCCAAGGGGTAACATACAGTTGAAGTCGGAAGTTAACATACACCTTAGCCAAATACATTTAAACTCAGTTTTTCACAATTCCTGACATTTAATCCTAGTAAAAATTCCCTGTCTTAGGTCAGTTAGGATCACCACTTTATTTTAAGAATGTGAAATGTCAGAATAATTGTAGAGATAATTATTTATTTCAGCTTTTATTTCTTTCATCACATTCCCAGTTGGTCAGAAGTTTACATACACTCAATTAGTATCTGGTAGCATTGCCTTTAAATTGTTTAACTTGGGTCAAACGTTTCGGGTAGCCTTCCTAAAGCTTCCCACAATAAGTTGGGTGAATTTTGGCCCATTCCTCCTGACAGAGCTGGTGTAACTGAGTCAGGTTTGTAGGCCTCCTTGCTCGCACACGCTTTTTCAGTTCTGCCCACACATTTTCTATAGGATTAAGGTCAGGGCTTTGTGATGGCCACTCCAATACCTTGACTTTGTTGTCCTTAAGTATTTTTGCCACAACTTTGGAAGTATGCTTGGGGTCATTGTCCATTTGGAAGACCCATTTGCGACCAAGCTTTAACTTCCTGACTGATGTCTTGAGATGTTGCTTCAAAATATCCACATAATTTTCCTTCCTCATGATGCCATCTATTTTGTGAAGTGCACCAGTCCCTCCTGCAGCAAAGCACCCCCACAGCATGATGCTGCCACCCCTGTGCTTCACGGTTGGGATGGTGTTCTTCGGCTTGTAAGCAACCCCCTTTTTCCTCCAAACATAACGATTGTCATTATGGTCAAACAGTTCTATTTTTGTTTCATCAGACCAGATGACATTTCTCCAAAAAGTATGATCTTTGTCCCCATGTGCAGTTGCAAACTGTAGTCTGGCTTTTTTATGGCGGTTTTGGAGCAGTGGCTTCTTCCTTGCTGAGCGGCCTTTCAGGTTATGTCGATATATAGGACTAGTTTTACTGTGGATATTGATACTTTTGTAACTGTTTCCTCCAGCATCCTTTGCTGTTGTTCTGGTATTGATTTGCACTTTTCACACCAAAGTACGTTCATCTCTAGGAGACAGAACGTGTCTCCCTCCTGAGCGGTGTGATGGCTGCGTGGTCCCATGGTGTTTATACTTGCGTACTATTGTTTGTACAGATGAACGTGGTACCTTCAGGCGTTTGGAAATTGCGCTCAAGGATGAACCAGACTTGTGGAGGTCTACAAATTTTTTTCTGAGGTCTTGGCTGATTTCTTTTGATTTTCCCATGATGTCAAGCAAAGAGGCACTGAGTTTGAAGGTAGGCTTGAAATACATCCACAGGTACACCTCCAATTGACTCGACTGATGTCAATTAGCCTATCAGAAGCTTCTAAAGCCATGACATCATTTTCTGGAATTTTCCAAGCTGTTTAAAGGCAGAGTCAACTTAATGTTTATAAACTTCTGACCCACTGGAATTGTGATACAGTGAATTATAAGTGAAATAATCTGTCAGTAAACAATTGTTGGAAGAATTACTTGTGTCATGCACAAAGTAGATGTCCTAACCGACTTGCCAAAACTATAGTTTGTTAACAAGAAATGTGTGGAGTGGTTGGAAAACAAGTTTTAATGAGTCCAACCTAAGTGTATGTAAACTTCCGACTTCAACTGTATATAAACTGAACAGTACCGGAGCCAAAATCGAACCTTGTGGAACACCACATGTGATATTTATTTTCTCTGAGCTATGTTCACCAAGGGTGACAAAACACTCTCGACCTGTTAAATAGGTCCTAAACCAATTTAGAACTGGACTGGAGAGGCCAACCCACCTCTCCAGCCTGTCCAGAAGGACATCATGGTCAACAGTGTAGAATGCAGCACTTAAATCTAAGAGTACAAGGACAGAGTGCTGTTTGGCATCTGTGTTGGCTCTAAGATCATTTACCACTTTAACTAAGGCTGTCTCTGTGCTGTGTTGGGCCCGAAAACCAGATTGGAGTTTTCTAAAATACAGTTGGCACTTAAAAAAACAATTTAGCTGTTTAAAAAACAATTTTGCCAGAATTTTGCTTAAGAATGGAAGGTTGGAGATTGGCCGAAAAATTGCTAAGAGCTGAAGAGTCTAGAATCTAGATTACTTTTCTTCATAAAATTGCCTGGTGGCTAGTAGGATTACAGAGAAACAACAACAGCAAAAAATAAATATATATATTATTAAACAGGACAAATCTGAGGGGGCACGTGCCCCTGTGTCCCTTATGGGCATGACGCCTCTGGGCCTACTGATGATCTCTGTGAACAAGTTGAAGCTTCTCTATTGAATTCTCACCAGAAAAGACAGAATGATACAAGCCACTTTTGAAAAAGAAGCATATTGTTGGCTGTGAAAATGTTTATTTGCTTACTGATTGTTGTCATTCCACTGCAGGGCATAAATCTTAAAGGGATACTTCTGGATTTTGACAATGAAGCCCTTTATCTACTTATCCAGAGTCAGAGGATCTTGTGGATAAATGTTGTATGTCTCTGTGCCCAGTATGAAGGAAGTAAGAGGTAGTTTCGCAAGCCAATGCTAACTAGCGTTAGCGCAATGACTGGAAGTCTATGGGTATCTGCTAGGATGCTTGTTTTTCACTACATTTTGTTCTTTTCCAGCACATACTATGTAGAGAAAACCGGATTGTCCCTGTTTCATTGAACACAGGATGAGAGAAAATGAAAACAAGAAATGGAGCAGGGACTGTCTGGGAGGGAAGCCTCAGTCACAAGCCCCACTGAGACAGCTGCGTCCTCCTCCCAATGACTGCTGTTGTTCAATCTTGGTCATGTGACTAAGAGATAAAGAGGCTTTATGTGGATACTAGGCCTGTATCCACGCAACTTATTCATTACCTAGCAACGGATGGAGCCAGGGAGGAATGGGGGTTGAGTGTCTGTTGCTCCCTGTCCTAGATCTAGAATTGAGTCATTTGACCTCTATCACAGACAGTAGTTCTATGACAAGCAAGAACTCACGTTAAGTTGGTGCAGTCTGTAACATTTTATCAATAATGTCAGCTATTGAAATCTACCCCATTTGAAGATTCTACCCCTATTGAATAATACTTTTTACAGCTGGATGTGGTCATGCTGCAACAGACACTAAACATTAAAACAAATAACTTCATAGCTTGAAATGAATATAAATCATCAAAATGACACTTGTGTACTACATAGGCCTACATTTCACTAACAATCCATGAAGATGTCAGTGGATCTCTCTCAGTGGATAGGACCGGGATGCCTGCATTCTGCAAGGTTGATTGTATCACAAGAATACACTTAATATGTTGTGATATCTGTTGCGAATGTATTGTAATGTTTTAAAAGATGTATAACTGCCTTAATTTTGCTGGACGTCAGGAAGAGTATGGGGATCCATAATAAATACGAATACAAATACAAGTATTCTACATTACATATTTGCCACAGGGTTTATATGGTGTGCTCTATTTATTTATTTAATCTTTATTTGGACAGGGAGTCATGCTGAGACCAAGGCCTCTTTCACAGATGAGCCCTGTATACACATCAATACACATCAACACATAAATATATACATCAATATTCACATCAATTCACGAAATGCAAAACACAATTATAGAAACCAAACACATTCTTCAGTAAAATGCTAGGCATATTCATTAGATGTGTTTCTTTGAAGCAGCTTGGAGGTGGTGAGAAGATAATTAGGTTACGTGACAGATGGAGTGTAACATTGTATTTGTCATGCTTTTTTCTGCAGATCAAATAAATGGAGTAGGCTACGATGGAAACGTTTTCAAGGCATTCTCTATGCAGGATATATGCGACTTTTTCTGCAGATCAATATGAATGGAGTAGGCTACGATGGAAACGTTTTCAAGGCATTCTCTATGCAGGATATATGCTACATTAGATTAGGCTACAGAGTTCAAATCAGTGTTAACATGAAACTCAAATTCAGTCAGCAGTGAGCATAAATATATATATGTTTTGTGTGGATATGCCTGTAGGCTTAATGAGATAATAAAATAATCTACTGTATATGAAAATGAAAATTCCATTACTGAAACAGGGATATGCAATAAAGGCTACTGGTGTATGTATTCAGTTAAAATACTGAATTTGACGCACAATGTGCGCATAAGCATTTATAACAGCTGGGTACGGTAAGGGATAGGTGCTTTTTTTTTTTTTACGATGCTCTAGTTTATCCAATGGAAAAATGCAGAGTTTTCTTTACTGGGCAGATTTACCATGACTTGCCCAATAGCGATAAAGGAGACGCAGTCGTTAGGCCAACACTTGTATATATATTGAGCTGTAAGTAGTCATTTGCATAGAATTTTACATCGACTCCCTTGCGGTCCTATTGTAAGACGCCCTTTCGAGGAGCGGACAAAAAAAAAATGGTAAGATAGTTTTTATTTTATTTACATTTGTTTACTGAATCATTTGAAATTGTATATCTGAACAATGTGACATTTATATCAACTATTTAATAAGAACCTGATTTAGAACCTTTTATGCCTAAACAGCTATTTTTTAAGTGTTTAATTTGATTTTGTAGGCTATTTTAATTATAGCATTAGTCTTAAATAGATATCCAAGGCAGACTTCTGTTCTGCTCAATTTATGTCTGCACCTGATATAACATGAAATACCAGATTCGAGTACAGGGTCGAATAATGGCGCAATGGCGCAATGTCCCAGACAAAAAAGGGGCTTAGGAAGGTTGTGATGTGAACGGAATTCCATAGAACGTGCCAACCACTGGGAGGTGCCAACAATATAATTAAATAGGCTAGAGAGAAACATTATTCAGGATAATGTAGCATATTATTATAGAGCTAGATACATACAACATTATTTGAGAGATTCTGATACTGTGAAGGCTGTAACAATGTAACTACCATATCAAGTATACACTGATACATGAATGGCTAGCACAGAGCAATTCCTAAGGCGTTGCCTTTCTTTCAAATCAAACCTACAAGAAAACATAACTCTCTTACAACTTCCTTTGAAAACATTAAACCTCTGGGTGATTCTTTTCAATATTTAGAAGATGTTCTGAATGTATAGAATAGTTGTCCAGACTATTATTTTAGTATTGATTTTTATTAAATAGGCCTATGTTTTCTCCCCAGCGTGAGTGTATCTCAGTTCATGTGGGTCAGGCTGGAGTCCAGATGGGCAATGCCTGCTGGGAGCTCTACTGCCTGGAGCATGGGATCCAGCCGGATGGACAGATGCCCAGTGACAAGACCATCAGAGGAGGAGACGACTCCTTCAATACCTTCTTCAGTGAGACTGGGTCTGGAAATCATGTTCCCAGGGCTGTGTTTGTGGACCTGGAGCCCACAGTCATCGGTAAGATGTTTCTCATTTAATATGAATTGAGTCAAAGCGGGGTTGTAGAAATCCCTTATTGATCTGCTGCTCATGCTCTCTCCTCAGATGAGGTGCGAACTCTGACCTATCGCCAGTTATTCCATCCTGAACAGCTCATCAGAGGCAAAGAGGATGCTGCCAACAACTATGCCCGTGGGCACTATACTATTGGCAAAGAGGTCCATTGACCTGGTGCTAGAGAGGATCCGCAAACTGGTGGGTTTAATGAACAAGTGAATTACAGCATTTTATTTGTATTAACTAAATATATAATATTATGGATTATGAATCTTGTGTTGTCCTTGTTTTATGTGTTCCTCTCTCCTCAGGCTGACCAGTGCACAGGCCTTCAGGGCTTCCTGGTTTTTCACAGCTTTGGAGGTGGCACCGGCTCTGGTTTCAAGCTGGAGTTTTCCATCTACCCAGCTCCCCAAGTGTCCACAGCTGTAGTGGAACCTTACAACTCCATCCTGACCACCCACACCACCCTAGAGCACTCTGACTGTGCCTTCATGGTGGATAATGAGGCTATCTATGACATCTGCCGTAGGAACCTCGACATTGAGCGTCCTACCTACACCAACCTCAACAGGCTCATTAGCCAGATCGTTTCCTCCATCACTGCTTCCCTTCGATTTGATGGTGCCCTCAATGTTGATCTGACAGTTCCAGACCAACTTGGTGCCCTATCCCCGTATCCATTTCCCTCTGGCCACCTATGCCCCAGTTATCTCTGCCGAGAAGGCTTACCATGAGCAGCTCTCTGTCTCTGAAATCACCAATGCCTGCTTTGAGCCGGCCAATCAGATGGTGAAATGTGACCCTCGCCACGGCAAGTACATGGCTTGCTGCCTTCTGTACCGTGGTGATGTGGTGCCCAAAGATGTCAATGCTGCTATTGCCACCATCAAGACCAAACGTTCCATTCAGTTTGTTGACTGGTGTCCAACTGGTTTCAAGGTTGGCATCAACTACCAGCCGCCCCACTGTAGTCCCTGGTGGAGACCTGGCCAAAGTCCAGAGGGCTGTGTGCATGCTGAGCAACACCACTGCTGTTGGCAGAGGCCTGGGCTCGGCTTGACCACAAGTTTGACCTGATGTACACCAAACGTGCCTTTGTGCACTGGTATGTGGGTGAGGGTATGGAGGAGGGAGAGTTTGCTGAGGCCAGCGAGGACATGGCAGCCCTGGAGAAGGATTATGAAGAGGTGGGGGTTGACTCCATTGAGGGTGAGGGAGAGGAGGAGGGAGAAGAGTACTAGGTGCTACTTTTTCAGGAAGCAGAAGTTGTTCTGGACATGATGCCAAAAGCATTTCTAGCGAAATGCAAGTGTATCAACTAATTGAGAGAATAAAGTTATTGAGGACAAATTTGCATTATGTTGTTTCTCTTTTTTATATTCTTACTAATTGCATTTCAGCTACAGTAGATAAAGCAGAGAGATGTTAATCAGGCTTTGGTAACACTTTACATGAATTTGTTCTTATACCTACATGTATGTATAACGCTGTAATAACACTTTATTTACACTGTAAAACAATATTGTGTTAACATTTTGTTACATAATTATTTAGAAACGTAATTATAATTTCCTAGAAGGGTAATCAATTCGAAAGCTACCCTGGGTGAGTGAGAAGATGACTTACCCTACTACCCTGACTGTACATTTGGATTTTCTTACAATGAATGAATCACATAATGTAATCCTCCTGTCCTGTCCACCGGACGTGTCTGCCTTCAAACACATTCAGGTGTACAGCTTCAAAATAGCCTATAACGTTTTTGGAAAAAATAACCTATTCAAATAAAAAAATGCCTCTAGCAAGAAATCAATGCTCAAGTCTATGGGAGCTTTTCCCCAGCCCAGACATAATACTGTAGTCGACTCGGTTGCGTCATAAAATAATCTTCAGACATCGCACACCTCAAGCTGCAAGCTTCTGAATCGAGCTCTTCCTTGTTTTTATTACTTCTCCTAATCCCCTGCACAAAGACATATCATGGTGAGCAATATTCTATTTATTTTTTGTGGTGTATTATCGAACGTAAAACTTCAACAATTTTATTCAGATATTTTTGTGAATTTTGTGTGTGTGGAAGTCCTGCACCCGGTAGGCCATAGATCCCACCTGTCAATAGGAACAAGTTATAGCTCATCAACTGACTAGATATTTCATTTCTCAAATATTGTGTTTCAAAAAATGTTCGGAGTTGAAAGCCGGGAAATATTATGGGGTTGATCCAAAATAAAAATAATTGTGGGGACCGGCAATTGAATGGAGGCTGCGCGGTACTTCTCCAAAATCCTTTGGTCAGTGTCAGTGCAGACAGTAAATCAGATTAGACATGCTTAACTCTGGTAAACGTGGACAGTCTGTTCACTGAGCTGCCATATCGCAGACAAAAAAAGAAATACAACTTTTTAGACTATTTGCAAATATTTTCCACCGTTATTTAGAATAAATCATTTCCTCACTTGCTGTGAGATTTTGGATAAATACATAAATAATTGCAGATAACTGTTTGGTTTCTCCTATCAGCCTGCTGTAATTATTGATATTGGAAAAATACGTATTATTGTAGCCTACAAATCAGAATATAATCAAACACTGTAAATTAATTTCAGCAGAAATGTGGAAGTGGTCTGACAAGTTTCATAACATTTTAAAGAGACAGCAGCCCTAAAACTGTCTGACCTAGATAATCCTCTCCATATGCTGCACTGTCAGAGGAATACAACACTAGAACACACAGGGGGTTGGTGGCACCTTAATTGGGGAGGATGGGCACTTGATAATGGCTGGAGCGGAATTAGTGGAACAGTACCAACAACATTCCATTCTAGCCGTTCCAGACATTTTTATGAGCCGTCTTCCCCCCAGCAGCCTCCACTGCTAAAACACATCAGTAGAACACAACACTATAACACACCACTAGAACACAACACTAGAACACATCAGTAGAACACAACACTAGAACACATCAGTAGAACACAACACTAGAACACATCAGTAGAACACAACACTAGAACACATCAGTAGAACACAACACTAGAACACATCAGTAGAACACAACACTAGAAAACATCAGTAGAACACAACACTAGAACACATCAGTAGAACACAACACTAGAAAACATCAGTAGAACACAACAGTTGAGCACATCAGTAGAACACAACACTAGAACACAACATTAGAACATCAGTAGAACACAACACTAGAAAATATCAGCAGAACACAACAGTCGAGCACATCACTAGAACACAACACTAGAACACATCAGTAGAATACAACAGTATAGAACACATCAGTAGAATACAACACTAGAACACAACATTAGAACACAACACTAGAACACAACACTAGAACACATCAGTAGAACACAACACTAGAACACATCAGTAGAACACAACAGTCGAGCACATCAGTAGAACACAACACTAGAACACAACACTAGAACACATCAGTAGAACACAACACTAGAAAGCATAAGTAGAACACAACAGTCAAGCACATCAGTAGAACACAACACTAGAACACATCAGTAGAACACAACACTAGAAAACATCCGTAGAACACAACAGTCGAGCACATCACTAGAACACAACACTAGAACACATCACTAGAACACAACACTAGAACACATCAGTAGAACAAAACACTAGAACACATCAGTAGAACACAACAGTATAGAACACATCAGTAGAACACAACACTAGAACACAACAGTAGAACACAACACTAGAACACATCAGCAGAACAAAAATATGTTATTATTCCATAATAGAATAATAGAATAGAATAGATAGAACAGCAATAAAGAAATGTCCACATCAGAACAATGTAACACTTGGCTGCAGGTATCATCTTTGTTATTCTATTCACACACTTTATTTTACAGTAGATTATACAGTACACCCCTGGTATAGAGTATAGACTGTTTTGAGCCATTGTGGTCCTCCTATCACAAGGGGGTGTACATCTGAAATTATCAGACAAAAAATGGCTCCCCCTTCACCCTAGCGCGAGTGCATCTCTATCCACGTGGGTCAGGCTGGTGTCCAGATTGGCAATGCCTGCTGGGAGCTCTACTGTCTGGAGCATGGGATCCAGCCGGACGGACAGATGCCATCAGACAAAGCCATCGGAAGAGCTGACGACTCCTTCAACACCTTCTTCAGTGAGACTGGGGCTGGAAAGCATGTCCCCAGGGCTGTGTTTGTGGACCTGGAACCCACAGTCATTGGTAAGCTTTCCCTCTCAGGCAAAAAAGTTATACCTAGAACAATAAAGGGTTCATTGGATTGTCCCTGTAGAAGAACGCTGGTTCCAAAGCCTTTTCCAACAAGAAATAACCCTTTTAGAACCCTGTCTTCCATAGAGAATGTTCTCAGATGAAAAAAGTTCCATGTAGAACCCTTGCCCCTGTAGAATAACTATTTTAGAACACTCCTTTCTCTGAGTGTTCTGCTTCTCATGAGCTACTGATTTTCTCTCCTCAGATGAGGTGCGCACTGGGACCTATCGCCAGTTATTCCATCCTGAACAGCTCATCACTGGCAAAGAGGATGCTGCCAACAACTATGCCCGTGGGCACTACACTATTGGTAAAGAGATCATTGATCTGGTGCTGGACAGGGTCCGCAAATTGGTGGGTACCACATAATTAATCAATTAAATATTTTATCAACAAACTGATCAGAATGTGGGTATCTTGTGTTCTCCTTTTATTGACGTGTTCCTCTATCTCCTTAGGCTGACCAGTGCACAGGCCTTCAGGGCTTCCTGGTTTTCCACAGCTTTGGAGGTGGCACCGGCTCTGGTTTCACCTCCCTGCTCATGGAGCGCCTGTCTGTTGACTACGGCAAGAAGTCCAAGCTGGAGTTTTCCATCTACCCAGCTCCCCAAGTGTCCACAGCTGTAGTGGAGCCCTACAACTCCATCCTGACCACCCACACCACCCTAGAGCACTCTGACTGTGCCTTCATGGTGGATAATGAGGCTATCTATGACATCTGCCGTAGGAACCTCGACATTGAGCGTCCTACCTACACCAACCTCAACAGGCTCATTAGCCAGATCGTTTCCTCCATCACTGCTTCCCTTCGATTTGATGGTGCCCTCAATGTTGATCTGACAGAGTTCCAGACCAACTTGGTGCCCTATCCCCGTATCCATTTCCCTCTGGCCACCTATGCCCCAGTTATCTCTGCAGAGAAGGCTTACCATGAGCAGCTATCTGTGGCAGAAATCACCAATGCCTGCTTTGAGCCGGCTAATCAGATGGTGAAATGTGACCCTCGCCACGGCAAGTACATGGCTTGCTGCCTTCTGTACCGTGGTGATGTGGTGCCCAAAGATGTCAATGCGGCCATTGCGACAATCAAGACCAAACGTTCCATTCAGTTTGTTGACTGGTGTCCAACTGGTTTCAAGGTTGGCATCAACTACCAGCCCCCCACTGTAGTCCCTGGTGGAGACCTGGCCAAAGTCCAGAGGGCTGTTTGCATGCTGAGCAACACTACAGCTATTGCGGAGGCCTGGGCTCGGCTTGACCACAAGTTTGATCTGATGTATGCCAAACGTGCCTTTGTGCACTGGTATGTGGGTGAGGGTATGGAGGAGGGAGAGTTCTCTGAGGCCAGAGAGGACATGGCAGCCCTGGAGAAGGATTATGAAGAAGTGGGGGTTGACACTGTCGAGGGTGATGGACAGGAGGAGGGAGAGGAATACTGAGTGTTCATGCCAGGATGCCCCTGGCTCCCATATCTTAAAAAAGCACAATAAAAGATGCAATGCATTTATGTTTACGGTTTCATATTTTATTGTTGCTTGTTTAGGTTTAAAGCACAACTGGCCTGTTGTAGTGACAGTCACAGGGGGGAAATGAGTGTCTCATTGAAGATTCACCAAGAAAGTGTGTTTAAATTGATTCCCATGTATATGTTTTATTGTATACTATTTCATCAGTTACTTATCCATGTTTTCAAAACTCCAACATATTCACCAGAAGTAGAGGAATCTGTATTCGGTAGACCTAGGTGGCAGGTAGCCTAGCGATTAAGAGCGTTGGGACACTAAGTGAAAGATTGCTGGTTTGAATCCCAGAGCTGACTAGGCAAAAATGTATCATTGTGCCCTTGAGCAAGGCACTTAACCCTAGTTGTTCCTGTAAGTTGCTCTGGATAAGAGCATCTGCTGAATAACTAATATGTAAAAAATATACTGCAGTTACAACGTAGTAAAATAGTAATAATTTGGTGACATGAATTCTGAAATTGTAGTACTGCAGTTGAAGGGCAAAATCACTGGATGCAGCATACTACAGTGAATGGGAATATTTTGGACATATAACTGCAGCTATACAGTGTTACCTCAACTTGCACAAGTAGGCGCTAAAGATGCTTATGCTTATATCAGAGAAAAACCCTCATGCATAGTTTCAACAAGCATATGAGGTACTTTCAAGTATTCTCCTCTTATAGCCAATTGGGACAAAGCATATGATAAGATCTTCCAATCAGTTTCGACAAAGCCTGTCCACTGTATCGTGGAAGTATAAATGGCCCCACCCACCGAATTTGGTATCACACTGACTTCTTACTACAGACTCCTAAAGGTCTGCCTGTAAGTGTTGAACTAAAAGAAGATTCATTTTCTCCGCACCACATCTTGAATCTTCTCAACTTTAACATGGTGAGTATAAAACAAATAATATTATTGTTGCTTTCAATCATGTTGTATCAGTGTTTTGGATCAAAGCTGATTCTATTTAATTTCTTCAACACAATTCGTCAATTAGACTAAAATGATTTTTAAAGTCATACTCTTACAGAGATTTCGTTTTGTAGCCAACCTAAACCAAAATGCTAATCAATCCCAATTATTTTGATAATTCCAGTCAACTACTCTAACAAAACTTAATGTCAAAACGGATGTCTCTGCTCAGTGGCAGATTTGTCAGTGACATCTCTCTCTCTGCTTTGATGTCTGGATTGTCTGCATTAGAAGCGAACCAGGGATGATTACTTATTGTAGAGGCGAATGTAAACTCAGTCATTGGCACTCATAATATATTCAAATAATTGCCTCGTTTATGAACGAGGCTGAAAGTAATGAGTAGGCAGGTCTATCCTGTAAAATGTATTTAGAACTCAAATATTTCATGAGCTATTTCAGAACTTCTGATTATATCAAAGTTCAAACTGCTTTGCTGATATGCTATTACATTTCTTAGTGCAACATTAAATACCTTGATTTAACATTGCATATTAAAATAGATTTGGTTAGCATTAAAAGTCTACTAAATCCATTTGAAGTAAAATGCATTCCTTGAAATGTGTTGGTCAGATGGGAATGATTTGTCAAATTAGCCACCCACAGTAAGCTATGTCTGACATTTGGCTTCAAACACACTGTCTGTTTGTCTGTTCAACAGCTGATCACTTGTTTCTTCAGTCAGGTGATGCGTCCCCATGTGTTCTGGTTTAAGCTGGTAGCCTATCTTCTTCTACAATGAAAGCATTTTCTGTAATACCCCGTGCCCACACCTCTCCTCCCTCTCCTCCCCTACAGAGTTGCTATGAATAAAGTAGAACAAACAATCCTATTGCCATTTTTGAACAATTTAAATATTGTTGTTGCTATTCCAGTTTTAGATTAATGTTTTGGTACAATTGTCTATTGTGCCCAAAGATGTACTCAGGTATAACAGTTTTCCCACTGGGCACACACTGGTTGAATCAACATTGTTTCCACATAATTTCAATGAAATTACGTTGAACCACCGTGGAATAGGTGTTGAATTGATGTCTATGCCCAGTGAGTTCTTTCAGGAGATTGTACAGTAGAACTTGAAGGAGATATTTTCGTTTTGACTGTAACTAGGCCTATGTTTGAGAAAGTTGTAAAGAACTCTCTTTCCCCAGCGTGAGTGCATCTCCGTCCACGTGGGTCAGGCTGGAGTCCAGATTGGCAATGCCTGCTGGGAGCTCTACTGCCTGGAGCATGGGATCCAGCCGGACGGACAGATGCCCAGTGACAAGACCATCGGAGGAGGAGATGACTCCTTCAACACTTTCTTCAGTGAGACTGGGGCTGGAAAGCATGTCCCCAGGGCTGTGTTTGTGGACCTGGAGCCCACAGTTATTGGTAAGATTTTGTCACGGTTTCGGCCGAGGCTGCTCCTCTTCCTTGTTCGGGCAGGCTTCGGCGGTCGTCGTCTCCGGAGTACTAGCTGCCACCGTTCTATGTTTCATGTTCGTTTGGTTTTGTCTCTTTGTAACACCTGTCCCTTGTTTGTGTTTGATTATGTTCCCTATTTAGTTTCGTTTGTTTGGGTCAGGTGTTATGCGTGATTGTATTTTGTCAGCTTGCCACAGAGGAGTTTGTTCTCTCTCGTTGGTTGTCATTTTCGAGAGTTCGCACTGCGTGCGCTTTTTCTTGTTTTCCGCACTGTGTTTGTGCGTAATTGTTCGCGCCGCCCGGTTGGGTTGGCGACTCTTTACCTGATTTTGGATTTACTAAAGTCTGTTGAAGTCATCCTGGTTCCTGCGCTTGATTCCCTACACTCATCCACACACAGCACTCTGACAGAATCACGCATCATTCCATGGAATCAGCAGGAGCGACCGCGCCAACAGCAGGTATGGAGGAACGTCTTCGTGGGCAGGAGGATCGGATTAACCAGGTCTGTCATGCCCTGGAGGGGGGTGATGAACACTCTCCACCGATGGGAAACCAGCGGGGTACCCACGACCCCACCTACCGAACCATCCCCATCGGTCAGTCCTCCTGTCCCATCTCCGGAACCCAGTGGGATTCGGCTCTCGCTCCCGAGGGCGTACGACGGCTCCACTGCCGGGTGTCAAGGGTTCCTGCTGCAAGTGGAGCTCTACCTCGCCACCGTACACCCGGCGCCCTCGGGACACGAGAGCGTCTCAGCCCTCATCTCCTGTCTCACCGGCAAGGCGTTGGAGTGGGCCAACGTCGAATGGAGGAGAATGGACGCCGCTACCACTACCTATGCGGAGTTCTCCCCGCCGCTTCCGTGCTGTGTTTGACCATCCACCAGAGGGGAAGGCGGCGGGGGAGCGTCTGTTCTACCTCCGACAGGGGATGAGGAGCGCCCAGGACTTTGCCTTGGAATTCCGGACTCTAGCGGCCGATGCAGGGTGGAATGAGCGGGCCCATATAGACCACTTCCGTTGCAGCCTCCGGGAGGACGTCCAGCGAGAGTTGGCGTGCAGGGACACCTCGTTGACCTTTGACCAACTTGTCGACATGGCCATTCGGCTGGATACCCTGCTCGCCACCCGTGGACGTCCCGGGTGGGGTTCACCCATTCCACTCTCCAGCACCTCCGAGCCGAGCCCTATGGAGCTCGGGGGTGCTGGCGCTATAGAACGGAGGAGTAGGAACCCGAGGGGGGCCGTTCCCTGCACTAACTGTGGCCGTGGAGGGCACACCGCGGCTAGGTGTTGGGGAGGGTCCCCCGGTGGAGGAGAAGGCAGGTCACGCATTGGGGGGTCCCCCCAGGTGAGTAGGCGCCCTACTTACCCAGAGCTTTCTGTCGTGCACCTAACCTTGCCTGTTTGTTTTCCACAGGTTGCACCTCGTTCCCAGCATAAGGCGCTGGTAGATTCAGGCGCAGCTGGGAATTTTGTAGATCGCCAGTTTTGTATAGAGTTAGGGATTCCCCTCCTTCCAGTTGATAAGCCTTTCCCTGTTCATGCCCTAGATAGCCGTCCGTTAGGGTCTGGGTTGATTAGGGAGGTCACAGCGCCCCTTCAAATGATGGCGCAGGAGGGTCATGAGGAGACGATTCAGCTCTATCTGATTGACTCTCCTGCGTATCCGGTAGTGCTGGGCCTTCCCTGGTTGATGACCCATGACCCTACTATTATGTGGCGAGAGAAAGCTCTTAAAGGGTGGTCTGCCCAGTGTGAGGGGCGGTGTCTGGGTGTTTCCATAGGGGCGACCTCGGTGGAGAGTCCGAATCTAATGACAGCACTGCATATTCCCCCCGAGTATGAGGATTTGAAACTGGTGTTTAGTAAGACTAGGGCGGCGCAGCTGCCGCCTCATAGACGGGGGGATTGTGCGATAGATCTCCAGTCAGGAGCAGCTCTCCCGCGGAGCTATGTGTATCCCTTGTCTCAAGAGGAGAGGAAGGCAATGGAGACGTACATCGCTGAGTCTCTGAGACAGGGATACATACGGGCCTCCACTTCACCCGCTTCCTCAAGTTTCTTTTTTGTGAAGAAAAAGGATGGTGGTCTGCGCCCGTGTATTGATTACCGCGGTCTCAATCAGATTACGGTGAAGTATAGCTATCCACTTCCTCTGATTGCGACTATGACGGAGTCACTGCACGGTGCGCAGTTCTTTACAAAATTGGATCTCAGGAGCGCATATAACTTGGTGCGCATTAGAGAGGGCGATGAATGGAAGACAGCGTTTAGCACGACTTCCGGACACTACGAGTATCTAGTCATGCCATATGGGTTAATGAATGCTCCCTCAGTCTTCCAATCCTTCGTCGATGAGATTTTCCGGGACATGCAGGGACAGGGAGTAGTCGTGTACATCGACGACATTCTGGTGTACAGTCCTACCCGAGCAGAGCATGTAGCCCTGGTGCGCCGAGTATTGAGGAGGCTGTTGGAGCATGACCTATATGTCAAGGCAGAGAAATGTCTGTTTTTTCAGAAGTCGGTCTCCTTTCTGGGTTACCAGTTGTCTGCGTCAGGGGTGAAGATGGAGGTAGACCGGGTGTCAGCTGTGCGTAATTGGCAGACCCCAACCACTGTGAAGGAGGTGCAACAGTTCTTGGGTTTTGCGAATTATTACCAGAGGTTTATCCGGGGTTTTGGACAGGTGGCAGCTCCCATAACGTCTCTGTTAAAGGGGGGTCCGGTGCGCTTGCGGTGGTCAGCTGAGGCGGACAGGGCTTTTGGGAGACTGAAGGACCTGTTTACCTCGGCGCCGGTGTTGGCGCATCCGGATCCCTCTTTACCGTTCCAGGTAGAGGTGGACGCGTCAGAGGCCGGTATAGGGGCCGTTCTTTCCCAACGTTCTGGCACTCCACCTAAACTCCATCCCTGTGCGTTTTATTCTAAAAAGCTCAGTCCGGCGGAGCGGAATTATGACGTAGGAGACAGGGAGCTGTTAGCCGTGGTACAGGCCCTAAAGGTGTGGCGGCATTGGCTCGAGGGGGCTCAACACCCTTTCCTCATTCTAACTGACCATCGTAACCTGGAGTACATCCGGGCAGCTAGGAGACTGAATCCTCGCCAGGCCCGCTGGACTATGTTTCTAGCCCGGTTTGTGTTTAAAATCACATACATCCCTGGGTCCCAGAACGGGAAGGCAGATGCTCTGTCTCGGCGGTATGACGCGGAGGAGAGGTCCGTTGAGCCCACGCCCATACTACCAGAGTCTTGTCTGGTTGCACCGGTGGTGTGGGAGGTTGATGGCGAGATCGAGCGGGCGTTACGCACCGACCCAAGTCCTCCACAGTGTCCAGTGGGTCAGACGTACGTTCCGCTCGAGGTACGCGATCGCCTCATTTGTTGGGCTCATACGTCCCCCTCCTCTGGCCATCCGGGTATCGGCCGGACAGTGCACTGCCTTAGCACGAAGTACTGGTGGCCAACGTTAGCTAGGGATGTGAGGATTTATGTCTCCTCCTGTTCGGTGTGTGCCCAGTGTAAGGCGCCCAGACATTTGCCCAGGGGTAAGCTACAACCCCTGCCTATTCCACAACGACCCTGGTCCCACCTCTCGGTGGATTTTGTTACCGACCTTCCCCCCTCACAGGGGAATACTACCATCCTGGTCGTTGTGGATCGGTTCTCGAAGGCCTGTCGTCTCCTTCCCATGCCGGGTCTACCCACTGCCCTACAGACCGCTGAGGGTCTGTTTACCCATGTCTTCCGGCATTACGGGGTACCCGAGGATACGTTCCGTGGGCCGAAATGGCACAGAACTCTCTCCGCCACTCCTCCACCCAACTAACCCCTTTCCAGTGTGTGTTAGGGTACCAGCCGGTTCTGGCACCTTGGCACGAGAGCCAGATCGAGGCCCCTGCGGTGGATGAATGGGTACGGCGCTCGGAGGAAACATGGAACGCTGCCCACGTACATCTGCAGCGGGCCATCCGTCGGCAGAAAACGAGCGCCGATCTCCACCGCAGTGAGGGGCCTGTGTACGCACCTGGAGATCGAGTCTGGCTCTCGACCAGAAACCTGCCCCTCCGCCTGCCTTGCCGGAAGCTGGGTCGGCGGTTTGTGGGGCCATTCAAAGTCCTGAGGAGGTTGAACGAGGTGTGTTACAGGTTAGAACTGCCTATTGACTATAGGAATATTAACCCCTCGTTCCATGTGTCTCTCCTCAGGCCGGTGGTAGCTGGTCCACTCCAGGAGTATGAGATAGAGGAGACTCCTCCGCCCCCGTTGGACATCGAGGGGGCTCCGGCGTACACCGTGAGGTCCATCCTTGATTCGAGACGCCGGATGGGGGGTCTTCAATATCTCGTGGAGTGGGAGGGGTACGGCCCGGAGGAGCGGTGCTGGGTGCCAAGGAGGGACATATTGGACCAGTCCCTGCTGACCGAGTTCCATCGGGGTCATCCTGCGCGCCCTGCTCCGCGTCGTCCGGGTCGTCCCCGAGCCCCGGGTCGGCGCACGGCTGGAGCCGCGCGTCAAGGGGGGGGGGTACTGTCACGGTTTCGGCCGAGGCTGCTCCTCTTCCTTGTTCGGGCAGGCTTCGGCGGTCGTCGTCTCCGGAGTACTAGCTGCCACCGTTCTATGTTTCATGTTCGTTTGGTTTTGTCTCTTTGTAACACCTGTCCCTTGTTTGTGTTTGATTATGTTCCCTATTTAGTTTCGTTTGTTTGGGTCAGGTGTTATGCGTGATTGTATTTTGTCAGCTTGCCACAGAGGAGTTTGTTCTCTCTCGTTGGTTGTCATTTTCGAGAGTTCGCACTGCGTGCGCTTTTTCTTGTTTTCCGCACTGTGTTTGTGCGTAATTGTTCACGCCGCCCGGTTGGGTTGGCGACTCTTTACCTGATTTTGGATTTACTAAAGTCTGTTGAAGTCATCCTGGTTCCTGCGCTTGATTCCCTACACTCATCCACACACAGCACTCTGACAGATTTATGTTTCCTACATTGAGTCAAAGGTGTTTGTTAGATATTATTTTTTGCTTTTATGGTATTGAGCTCCTCCATGAGCTGCTAATTTTCTCTCCTCAGATGAGGTGCGAACTGGGACCTATCGCCAGTTATTCCATCCTGAACAGCTCATCACTGGCAAAGAGGATGCTGCCAACAACTATGCCCGTGGACACTACACTATTGGCAAAGAGATCATTGACCTGGTGCTGGACAGGATCCGCAAACTGGTTGGTTTGATGAATTAATATATCAGTAAAATATGTTATCAAATAAATGTCCTTCTATTGACGTGTTTCTATTTCTCCTTAGGCTGACCAGTGCACAGGCCTTCAAGGCTTCCTGGTTTTCCACAGCTTTGGAGGTGGCACCGGCTCTGGTTTAACCTCCCTGCTGATGGAGCGCCTGTCGGTTGACTACGGCAAGAAGTCCAAGCTGGAGTTCTCCATCTACCCAGCTCCCCAGGTGTCCACAGCTGTGGTGGAGCCCTACAACTCCATCCTGACCACCCACACCACCCTAGAGCACTCTGACTGTGCCTTCATGGTGGATAATGAGGCTATCTATGACATCTGCCGTAGGAACCTCGACATTGAGCGTCCTACCTACACCAACCTCAACAGGCTCATTAGCCAGATCGTTTCCTCCATCACTGCTTCCCTTCGATTTGATGGTGCCCTCAATGTTGATCTGACAGAGTTCCAGACCAACTTGGTGCCCTATCCCCGTATCCATTTCCCTCTGGCCACCTATGCCCCAGTTATCTCTGCAGAGAAGGCTTACCATGAGCAGTTAACTGTCTCTGAAATCACCAATGCCTGCTTTGAACCGGCCAATCAGATGGTGAAATGTGACCCTCGCCACGGCAAGTACATGTCATGCTGCCTTCTGTACCGTGGTGATGTGGTGCCCAAAGATGTCAATGCTGCCATTGCCACCATCAAGACCAAACGTTCCATTCAGTTTGTTGACTGGTGTCCAACTGGTTTCAAGATTGGCATCAACTACCAGCCGCCCACTGTAGTCCCTGGTGGAGACCTGGCTAAAGTCCAGAGGGCTGTGTGCATGCTGAGCAACACCACTGCTGTGGCAGAGGCCTGGGCTCGGCTTGACCACAAGTTTGACCTGATGTACGCCAAACGTGCCTTTGTGCACTGGTATGTGGGTGAGGGTATGGAGGAGGGAGAGTTTGCTGAGGCCAGAGAGGACATGGCAGCCCTGGAGAAGGATTATGAAGAGGTGGGACGTGACAGCGGTGAAGAAGATGAGGACGGAGAAGAGTATTAGAAATGGCTGTCTTTCTTTCTCTGTCTTTCAAACTCTTTATCATAGATCCACTCTTTTCTTTTCATTTCCCTTTTCCATATATCCACCTGTTTCTTTTCATCCCCCCTTTCTATTGATCCACATGTTCCATTATTTCCATCCCTACACTGGTCCAAAACTCCTAACCTCAATCAAAAAGCACTTTCATGTTGACAATAAATTGACATTGTATGGAAAACTACAACTACTTGTTGTAATTTTAAGGTTCCCCTTTAGAGGTGTTCATACCATTAGTTTACAATCCTCTTCATTATGTGTATTTCTATACTGGTGGCTTAGACAGATTCATTGGATTCTAGGAACACTGTTAACAATCACAGTATTTCAAATAATGTGTTATCATTACAGTGGAGGCTGCTGAGGGGAGGACGGCTCATAATAACGTCTGGAATGGAGTCAATGGAATGGTATCAACCACATGGAAACCACTTGCTTGATGTGTTTGATACCATTCCATTGATTCCATTCCAGACGTTATTATGAGCCGTTCTCCCCTCAGCGCTGCTGTCTATTATGGATTCATAATCATCTATAAACAAACAATTAACCATTTTAAAACGACTAACTTAAAGAACTTCAAGTTTAAATCATTTCAATATTGAACTTTGTCATGAGATCTTTTCTTTAAAAGAGTAGCAGAGTGGTGCTTGTGTTTGTTGGTTTTCTCTGGTACCTAACAACTTTCATGTCTAGAGGGCAGTGTTGGGCAATAAATACATGTTCCTGTCCTTCCGTGAACATGAATGGGCAAAAATTCCCAATACATACCCCAATAGATCAATACTTTCCTGAACGCTACAAAATATCACGAAGGTAGTATTAAAACAATTTACCATGTGAAAGCCAGCTAAGCCTGAGAAGAGCCCAGTCCTAGTTCACAGCCCTGATCTAAAATAGGTCCTGGTATTCATTCCCTGCCCTGTCATGGGGGAGATCTGTCAAGCTGGCGGACAGGACAGGTGGGGTTTATAAATACTGTTCCCAATGTGTCTAGATTGGACCTAAACTGGATGGCTGCAGACGCAAAACATGATATAGGCTCGTTTACAATTATTTTGTAGTCACCCGCCTAGCAACCTCGCAAAGAGGTTCAAACCTCGTTGCGTAATGGTTAAGGTGTTGGCTTGACAGTCGCTTGGACCTGTGTTCAGGTCCCGGTCAAGGCTATCCCCTTAATTTAATGTCATGAGACCAGAAGGATGCAAAAAACTGTATATACTGTAGATCATTAGTCATGTGCAAGAATCTGCCCTGTGAAGAAAATAACATATACAGTGCATTCGGAAAGTATTCAGACCACTTGTCTTTTTCCACATTTTGTTATGTTACAGCCTTATTCTAAAATGGATTCAATTGTTTTTTCCCCCCTCATCAATCTACACGCAATACCCCATAATGACAAAGCAAAAACACGTTTTTATATATATATTTTTTTACAAATGTATACAAAAATAAAATATCACATTTACATACGTTTCAGACCCTTTACTCAGTACTTTGTTGAAGCACCTTTGGCAGTGATTACAGCCTCAAGTCTTCTTGGGTATGACGCTACAAGCTTGGTACACCTGTATTTGGGGAGTTTCTCCCATTCTTCTCCGCAGATCCTCTCAAGTTCTGTCAGGTTGGATGGGGAGCGTCGCTGCACAGCTATTTTCAGGTCTCTCCAGAGACGTTCGATCAGGTTCAAGTCCGGGCTCTGGCTGGGCCACTCAAGGACATTCAGAGACTTGTCCCGAAGCCACTCTTGCGTTGTCTTGGCTGTGTGCTTAGGGTCATTGTCCTGTTGGAAGGTGAACCTTCGCCCCAGTCTGAGGTCCTGAGCGGTCTGGAGCAAGATTTCATCAAGGATCTCTCTGTACTTTGCTCCTTTCATCTTTCCCTCGATCCTGACTAGTCTTCCAGTCCCTGCCGCTGAAAAACATCCCCACAGCATGATGCTGCCACCACCAGGCTTCACCATAGGGATGGTGCCAGGTTTCCTCCAGACGTGATGCTTGGCATTCAGGCCAAAGAGTTCAATCTTGTTTCTTCAGACCAGAGAATGTTGTTTCTCATGGTCTGCGAGTCCTTTAGGTGTCTTTTGGCAAACTCCGAGCGGGCTGTCATGTGCCTTTTCCTGAGGAGTGGCTTCCGTCTGGCCACTCTACCATAAAGACCTGATTGGTGGAGTGCTGCAGAGATGGTTGTCCTTCTGGAAGGTTCTCCCATCTCCACAGAGGAACTCTGGAGCTCTGTCAGTGACCATCGGGTTCTTGGTCACCTCCCTGACCAAGGCCCTTCTCCCCCGATTGCTCAGTTTGGCCAAGCGGTGAGCTCTATGAAGAGTCTTGGTGGTTCCAAACATCTTCCATTTAAGAATGATGGAGGCCACTGTGTTCTTGGGGACCTTCAATGCTGCAGACATTTTTTGGTACCCTTCCCCAGATCTGTACCTCGACACAATCCTGTCTCGGAGCTCGACGGACAATTCCTTCGACCTCATGGCTTGGTTTTTGCTCTGACATGCACTGTCAACTGTGGGACCTTTTATAGACAGGTGTGTGCCTTTCCAAATCATGTCCAATCAATTGAATTTACCACAGGTGGATTCCAATCAAGTTGTAGAAACATCTCAAGGATGATCAATGGAAACAAGATGCACCTGAGCTCAATTTCGAGTCTCATAGCAAAGGGTCATCCTTGAATACTTATGTAAATACGCAAAAATGTCTAAAAACCAGTTTTTGCTTTGTCATTATGGGGTATTGTGTGTAAATTGATAAGGAAAACATTTTATTTAATCCATTTTAGAATAAGGCTGTAACATAACAAAATGTGGAAAAAGTCATGGGGTCTGAATACTATCCGAATGCCTTCAGAAAATATTCACACACCTTGACTTTTTACACATTTTGTTGCGTTACAAACTGGGATTAAAATGGATGTCTTAAAAAAATAAGATCTACACAAAATACTTAATTTTTTTATTAATGAAAAATAAAACACTAGTACACACTATATATTCAGAAGTATGAGGACACCCCTTCAAATTAATGGATTCAGCTATTTCAGTCACACCCGTTGCTGACAGGTGTATAAGATTGCGCACACAGCCATGCCATCTCAATAGACAAACATTGGCAGTAGAATGGCCTTACTGAAGAGCTCAGTGACTTTCAATGTGGCACCGTCATAGGTTGCCACCTTTCCAACAAGTCAGTTCGTCAAATTTCTTCCCTGGTAGAGCTGTCCCGGTCAACTGTAAGTGCTGTTATTGTGAAGTGGAAACGTCTGGGAGCAACAATGGCTGGCGAAGTGGGAGGCCACACAAGCTCACCGAACGGGACCGCCGAGTGCTGATGCGTGTAGTGCGTAAAAATAATCTGTCCTCGGTTGCAACACTCAGTACCGAGTTCCAAACTGCCTCTGGAAGCAACATCAGCACAATAACTTTTCATCAGGAGCTTCATGAAATGGGTTTCCATGACCGATCAGCCGCACACAAGCCTAAGATCACCATGCGCAATGCCAACCATTGGCTGGTGTGGTGTAAAGCTCGCCTCTATTGGACTCTGGAGCAGTGGAAACGCATTCTCTGGAGTGATGAATTACGCTTCACCATCTGGCAGTCGGGCAAATCTGGGTTTGGCGGATGCCAGGAGAACGCTACCTGCCCCAATGCATAGTACCAACTGTAAAGTTTGGTGGAAGACGAATAATTGTCTGGGGCTGTTTTTCATGGTTCGGGCTAGGCCCATTAGTTCCAGTGAAGGGAAATCTTAACGCTACAGCATACAATTACATTCTAGACGATTCTGTTCTTCCAACTTTGGGGAAGGCCCTTTCCTGTTCCAGCATGACAATGCCCCCGTGCATAAAAACAGGTCCATACAGAAATGGTTTGTCAAGATCGGTGTGGAAGAACTTGACTGGCCTGCACTGAGCCCTGACCTCAAACCCATCGAATACCTTTGGGATGAATTGGAACGCCGACTGCGGGCCTAATCGCCCAACATCAGTGCCCGACCTCACTAATGCTTTTGTGGCTGAATGGAAGCAAGTCCCAGCAGAAATGTTCCATAGTGGAAAGCCTTCCCAGAAGAGTGGAGGCTGTTATAGCAGCAAAGGAGGGACCTACTCCATATTAATGACCTTGATTTTGGATTGAGATGTTCGACGAGCAGGTGTCCACATACTTTTGGTCATGTAGTGTACAGTATTTGTATGTTTAGTGTTAGAGAAAATGCGCTAAAGGTCTCTCTTGATCAAAATGTCTGCCCCCATCACTGTGAACGTCTCACAGAGCTCTAGCTTGGCTTCCTGAACTCATTAGGAACTTGTCTTTCTTCTCATATTACTATTTGACTATCACAAAGATAGTGTTTTTATGTTTAAAATCTATGAATTATTTTAGATGAATGGCTATAAATCGATCTGTGAGTGTGCTACAGTGATGAAACCACTCTCTCCTGCTGCGCTATGATGTAAGGATTGCAAGCATTTGCTTTGTCAGTTGCTTTGACATAAGGTTCAGCCAGGAGTTGATAGACAGTCAGAAGAGCGAATTAAATTGTAGGAGGGACATCCCAGATACAAGTGGTTTCAGATTTCACATCCTGCATCACATATGCTCAGAAAATATACTACTGTGTCCGTGGGAACCAGGGCTATTACTCAATGCAAGCCATTTTGATCTACATTGTCCACAGATCGATTTATACGTGAAAATGTTGGTCGAAACCGGTACCAGAACCACGCAGGTCCCCTAAACAGGGGACATTACATTTAAGAGCTTTTTAAATAAATACATGTCGGCTCCTGGGTTAAACCAAAGTCACTTCTGATTGTGGGCCTCTTTAGTGTATTATTGCAACGAAAATATGTTATGGAGAGTAAGGAAACTGGTAGGGAGTCTTACGTAGCTATGACCATAGGGGGGAGTTGAAATAGTAAGGAAATAGATCTGAGACCTCTTTTACATTGCCAGGAAACTGGCAAGAGTACCTTATCTCAAATTAATTTTTCCACTTATTTATCAATCATCTTTTGAGCGGAAGACAACCTTTTGGGACAATAGGGAAAATAAAGTTATAAATAATGATTTAGACAGTGCACAATCTCAGAGTGCTCTCCATTAAAATACACTACATTTTCCTCTGTCTCCCAAACATGAGGTATAATCTCATTGACTCTACAGCGAAAACTAAAAATATATGTGGGATTGGTTATTACTCACAAAAACAGAACACTTTCATAGATTAAAATATGTGTACTTCAAAAAGGTACAAAAACACACAAACAGCGCCCACATGCTTACAAAAGTTGGAAGGAAAATCAGCTTAATTGATTTTGAAGCGCAAACTGTTTGTTCTGAATGAAATGCATTTTAAATAGTGTGACCTACTCAAACATACAGACCAACAAAATCCCCAAACAACTGCTCACAATTACATTCTAACAATGCATGCCCATTTGTTCAAATAATTACCCTCTCAAAATCTACACAAAATGTTCCCCAATTGTTTTGACAGAATTGACCCCCCACCCACCCATATTTGTCACTGTGACTCTCAATTGAGTCATGTTTTTATTGAAATCAAACCATACAATAGGGTGCTTTACTTTACTTTTGATCAGACATACAGAAAACAGTGTACATACAGTAGACATCACACCAGAAATTCAATACCACACACACTGGTTAAAGTCCTAAAATGTATCCTCTATTCTGTGTCATTTGAAAGCCTCTTACTGAATTATACAGCGCACGTCATTAGTGCAGTACCACTCCCGTTACAGATATTGCTTTAAAACACAAGTCCAGTGTGACTCACTCAATCATTTGCCTTGGAAAGAAAATATTTGATGTGAAAACATAGCTGTACATTACATTGCACTGCTGTGGTGGGTTGCATTGTCATTGCGGTTAAAAGAATCACTGATTCTCAGGCGTTGTCGAATCAAGATTCTGCATTTCATGTCTTACAAGAGCCCTGTCCCGTCAAAGAGATGGCGTCAAAGAGACTGTGAGATGTCTTTACTGATGTCTACTGAAGAAAGTTGAGAATATCGCAAAAAAAAGAAAACAGATCAACTAATAGTGGCATAATATATATATATATATATATATATAATTTTTTTATTATAAATTGGAACACTGAGTATTACCCCCCAAACAGCTAATCATTACTGTCTTCATCTATCTCAGCGTTTCCCAAACTCGGTCCTCGGGACCCCATGGTGTGAACGTTTTGGTTTTATGCCCTAACACTATACAGCTGATTCAAATGATGATTAGTTGATTGTTTGAATCAACTGTGTAGTGCTAGGGCAAAAACCAAAACGTGCACTCCTTGGGGTCCCGAGGACCAAGTTTGGAAAACCCTGATCTATCAAACTAAATTTCAAGGAAAAAATGAGTGATGGATATCCTGTTTATTTGAGATTTTCCAAGAGATTACATTTCTATAGGCAAGCTATCGGTTAAATACATATCTAATTACATAACTAATCATTTCCTGACACCAAGGCTGAGTTTAGACAGGCAGCCCAATTCTGATTTTCTTTCTCACTAATTGGTCTTTTGACCAATCAGATCATCTCTGAAAAAGATCTGATGTGAAAAGATCTGATTTGATTGGTCAAAAGACCAATTAGTGGAAAAAATATCAGAAATGAGCTGACTGTGTGAACACAACCTCACCTGTCCAGTCAACAACCACTCTAATCTGTCGGTGTTAATGTGTTTGATAAAACATGACACACGGTGCTTTAGTTGGGACTCAGAAACAGTGACATTTCCTTGTTAGCGTAGACTTCACCAGTGTATAACACGCAATGCCATCTCCAGTGTAGATACTGAAACTCACCAGTGGTTACCCCCTTTACAAGCACAGTGTCCATTCAGACCCTCTTCCTGACATTCAGATTCATTGATGTCCTTCAGTCTTGATTCATATGGATTCATATGTCCTTCAATTCGGCTCCAGATATTCCAAGCATCTGAAAATCAGTTTAGCCACAAAGATCCTCAACACAGTCACAAGAGGCTGTGTGTGGAGAAGCTGTTGTCAGTTTCCTTCCATATAAGGCTTGAATTTTCTCTTTGTTCTGGATGATCCTTGCTTAAAAATGTGGGCAATCTTACCTCAACACTAATGCAAGCTGGTGACCTGTGGGAAAAAGTTCAAGCAGACAAAACAAATATGAAGACAAGTTAATATGTCTCATCAACATTATCACCTTGAAGTACCTCGGAGTCAAAACAGTAACTCTTGTTGTAATCAGACATTTCCTTACATGTTGCAAGGGTAAGAAGTTGAGAGCAATTGTGTTTTGACTGCTTGAAACGAAAGCAACAGGTACCTTTCAGTGTATATCTGTAATTGGCAGGACAGTCAGAGAGCTGTGGTAGTTACCTGGGTCAACAGAGTTTCATGACAAGATGTGTACGAAGAGAATGGCCAGGCCAATGTTGAGCAGAATCACCATGGTTATCATGATGGTGTTCGGACCCTGGAAAAGAGAGAGGTACAGTAGATACATTTAATGTTTTATTTAACCTTTATTTATACAGGTTTGTCATGTTGAGATAAATCTGTTCAAGATAGTAGCAGTCAAGATAGCAGCAGATGTTGTTAGAACAATTAATATACCAGTAAAGTACTTTTAAACTTCTATAGATCTATAAAACAACAGCAATATGAATGGGATGAATATAAAATCCCATTGATCCTTATGGTAACATTTTACATTTAAGTTGCATCTATTCCTGTGTAGCAATTATGTAACGACTCTAGTAACAACCATTTTTAAATATGGTGACGGGGAGAGAAGCTGCTGCATTATAAGAAACACCATCTGTCTACATCAGCTGTGGCCGACTGGTAGGTTCTCATTTGCAGTATGCCTCTTTCAACACAGGGGGCCTGAGCTATGGAAAAACCTCCCCTAGAGTACATGCCTTATAGGGCAGACTACTTAGGGCTCACGTACCAGACAAACCCCTAGTCTGCACGGCATCTAAAACCTCCATAATAATTCAGAACAAACAACTGTTGCTATGTAACAGTCACCTACGTATATTTCCATATTTTCATATATCGGAATTGGTCATCTGGATGACAAAATATGAATTTTCTTAGCTATACTTAGAGCTACTGATGGTAGCTGTTGGTTGCTAGAGAAAAATGTACACTACCGGTCAAAAGTTTTAGAACACCTTCTCATTCAAGGGTTTTTCTTTATTTTCAATATTTTCTACATTGTAGAATAATAGTGAAGACATCAGAACTATGAAATAACACATATGGAATCATGTAGTAACCAAAAAAAGTGTTAAACAAATCAAAATATATTTTATATTTGAGATTCTTCAAATAGCCACCGTTTGCCTTGATGACAGCTTTGCACACTCTTGACATTCTCTCAACCAGCTTCACCTGGAATGCTTTTCCAACAGTCTTGAAGGAGTTCCCACATATGCTGAGCACTTGATGGCTGCTTTTCCTTCACTCTGCGGTCCGACTCATCCCAAACCATCTCAATTTGGTTGAGGTTGGGGGATTGTGGAGGCCAGGTCATCTGATGCAGCACTCCATCACTCTCCTTCTTGGTCAAATAGCCCTTACACAGCCTGGAGGTGTGTTGGGTCATTGTCCTATTGAAAAACAAATGATAGTCCCACTAAGCCCAAACCAGATGGGATGGCGTATCGCTGCAGAATGCTGTGGTAGCCATGCTGGTTAAGTGTGCCTTGAATTCTAGGCCTCCCGAGTGGCGCAGTGGTCTAATGTACTGCATCACAGTGCTAGCTGTGCCACTAGAGATCCTGGTTAGAGTCCAGGCTATTTCACAGCCGGCCGCGACCGGGCGACCCATGGGGCGGCGCACAATTGGCCCAGCATTGTCCAGGGTAGGGGAGGGTTTGGCCGGCAGGGATGTTCTTGGCGCAGTGCACGCTGACTCGGTCGCCAGGTGTACGATGTTTCCTCCGACACATTGGTGCGGCTGGCTTCCGGGTTAAGCATTGTGGCTCGGTTGGGTTGTGTTTCGGAGGACGCACGACTCTCGACCTTCGCCTCTCCCGTGTCCGTATGGGAGTTGCAGCGATGGGACAAGACTGTAACTACCAATTGGATACCATGGAATTGGGAGAAAAAAGGGGTAAAATACCAACAACAACAAAACAAAAAAGTGTGCCTTGAATTCTAAATAAATCACAGACAGTATCACCAGCAAGGCACCCCCACACCATACAACCTCCTCCTCCATGCTTTACGGTGGGAAATATACATGCGGAGATCATCCGTTCACTCACACTGCGTCTCACAAAGACACGGCGGATGGAACCAAAAATCTCATATTTGGAATTCCAGGACAAATTTCCACTGGTCTAATGTCCATTGCTTGTGTTTCTTGGCCCAAGCAAGTCTCTTCTTCTTATTGGTGTCCTTTAGTAGTGGTTTCTTTCCAGCAATTCGACCATGAAGGCCTGATTCACACAGTCTCCTCTGAACAGTTGATGTTGAGATGTGTCTTTTACTTGAACTCCGTGAAGCTTTTATTTAGGCTGCAATTTCTGAGGCAGGTAACTCTAATGAACTTATCCTCTGCAGCAGAGGTAACTCTGGGTCTTCCATTCCTGTGGCGGTCACAACACAACTGATTGGCTCAAACACATTAAGAAGGAAATAAATTTCACATATTATCTTTTAAGAAGGCACACATGTTAATTGAAATGCATTCCAGGTGACTACCTCATGAAGCTGGTTGAGAGAATGCCAAGAGTGCGCAAAGCTGTCATCAAAGCAAAGGGTGGCTATTTGAAGAATCTCAAATATAAAATATTTTGATTTGTTTAACACTTTGTTGGTTACTACATGATTCCATATGTGTTATTTCATAGTTTCTACAATGTAGAAAATAGTAAAAATAAAGACAAACCCTTGAATTAGTGTTCTAAAACTTTTGACCGGTAGTGTATGTCATGTAATCTGTTCATAATTTCATTGTACGCTCCCAACCAGAAATGGGAGAATTGCCTTGAGTGTGGTCGTCAAAAAGGAAATGCTGTTGAGAATATGTACAAACATAACTAGAGGGGTAATTATTAACATAACGAAGGAAAGGAGGAGGGGATGTTACTGAGATAGGGAGTCTGGTTAGTGTGGTTAAAAGGACCAACACCAACGGCAGTAAACAGTCTCCAGAGTAACATCTTGTTACAAATTTGCACTTAAGAGGAGAGAGAGGACCTACTGTATGTTTTGAGTCTACTTTTAGAACTCAGGTCATGGGAGAATGTACTACAGAACATGTAAGAACAGTCTTCATTTGACTGAATCTTTTGTCAAAACATTACATACGATATTGAGTGTTTGAATTGCCTTACCTGCTCAAATTCATTTAGCGCTGTAACTTCACTTGTACATGGGCTCTTTACCATGTTCTTCATCAGCTTGGCCTCCGCTTTGGGTTCAACCTTAGGTGCTGGTTTGGGTGCAGGTGTGTCAGGTTTTGAAGCCGGACTGGCCTCTCGTTTTGGCGATGGCTTGGGTGACGGCGATGGCTTGGGTGACACTTTATTGACAGACTGAGCGCTGGACTCTGGTTTGCTCTCAGATACGGCGGACACTGGTCGTTCATTGACCGACTCTGTTCTTTGTTTGGGCTCTGCCGCATTAAGCTCGGGGGTGACGGCAGCTTTGGAAGAAACTTTGGTGGCGGGATGAGGGGGTGGTTCTTCTTCTTCTGAGTAGGCGACACTGGTTCTTACCGAGGGAGCAGCGTCGGGCACTTTAGCCTCAGAGGCCGTCTTCTCCAGGGGCTTGATCTCCAGGTCGGAGCCCTGCTCTACCTTGTTGCTCAGGCGGCTGGAGGCACGGGAGTTCCCCCGGCTGCTAAGGATGGGGGCAGAAGTGGGGCACTCTTCAGGGGGAGCAGTGGGAGGGGCGTGAGTGGTGGTGGCCACATTGGACGAGGGGGTGGTGGGTCGGCTGTTGGTTCTGCTATTGGGACGGCTGCTCCCCCTACTTCCACCACCTTTGTCCCCGTTCCAGCCAGCAGGGCCGAGCAGATGGGGATCCTCTTTGCTGACGCTGCCCTGTTTGGAGTGCCTGGATGCTGGAGGGGTGACGGCTGGGCTGGGGGAGGGCGTGCGGGCTGGAGTGGAGCCAGGCCTGTCGTGCAGCATTGGGCTTTCAGCAGGTGTCAGTGGCTGCTCTGCTAACAGTGGCTCATGCATTATAGGGTCTGTGTGCTCATTGGCCTCTGAGATCTCCTGTAGTGCTCTCTTCTTCATGTACTCTGGGCCTGTGGAACAACATGAATAAATATTATGTTTGATGAGATTCTAATCTCAACAACAAGGTAACACCCTGACTAGACCGGACATTTTGCGTGCGTGAGCGTTGCAAAATAAATGTACACATACATGTTATTCAATCATATTATCAAAACTGCTCGCGGGCAATTGCGTATCCAGGAGCTAAAATAGAACTTGGTTCTATTTGAGACGCTTGACAAGCTGCAAGTCCCACCTCTTCCATCTACTCATTGGTTTTCAAGAGCATACTAACCCATGTGGGTGATTGAAAGATGAACAAGGAGAGATTAATTAAAGAAAAACTAACTACGTTTCCTCTTTTATCTGTGGATTAATTGTCGGAGTAGAAAACACAAGATTTTGTATGACTCAAAATGGGTCACAATTCTACAAAGATCCAGCAAAAAAAAAGGACTATATACATTTCAGGTAAAATAACAACCCAATAAATTAGTTAGCAATAGCAAGCTAGCTAAATATCCACAAATGTTTAATGTGTGTTTCGACCTGTCCCCAAATTAATATAGTTGGTTCACAGTTGTTTTTGGTATTTTAATCTTCTTGCCATGAACAAGTCTGGTAGGGACAGACAAAATCAACATGCGCACGATGGCGCACGCGCAGTGCTGGTTTGGCCAAGGTGTAAGACTAGATCAGACTAGATAAAGATCAGACTAATTTGTTTAGCTAATCAAAAATGTATTACTGTGAGATATTTTGGAGGTTATTAGCTAAGAAGTGCAGACAGTGAAGGATAGAGTTTCCGGGGTATAACCAAGGTCTCTATTTGAGGGGTACCACCAAGGTCTCTATTTGAGGGGTATCACCAAGGTCTCTATTTGAGGGGTATCACCAATGTCTCTATTTGAGGGGTATCACCAAGGTCTCTATTTGAGGGGTATCACTGAGGTCTATATTTGAGGGGTTTCACCAAGGTCTCTATTTGTATTTGGAGCCACTGTCTGCTTGTAACACAGTCCTGTTCCAGTCACCCCAGGAACGTCTTGCTAGAAAACCTAATGTGGGGTGATTACGGCTGAACTGAGAAAACAGACCAACTACTGATCCCATTAAAGATCCCATTAAGATTGATTATTCATAGTTCTCATTTTCACAGTCTGATTAAAAAACATGGTACTTTAGGCTGTAAATATCACAGAGTGGACTTTTAAACTTAACAGCTGAATTGCAATATGCCAAACCAAACAAGTTGAGTCTGTAATATAGGCCTAATGAAATATGAACTGCTAGCTGGTTCTTGATGTACAACCTATAACAATTCTGCATGGTAGGATTTGAAATACTGACTTGACCCAGAGCCTTCTATTTACAGGCTCTGATGTAACCACTTGCTATCTGACCTAAAGTGCAGGCAAGCAAACATAGACACAGACAAAAATACTAATAGATGGAGTGAGAAAAGATCGATCACATACTGTTGTTTAGCCCCCAATTTTTCATTCAAGAAGATCCAGGAAGATTCTTGCAGGTAGAATCTGGGAAATATTATATCCTCAAGCACTGTTTCTCCCTGTCAGCTTTGTGTGAGTGATAGTTAATTGTGGAATGCACAGTGGGGTATGCCCATTTGTACCATAAGACAGACATTTCAGGCAGACACTCAACAGTCAGTGACAACTTGTTATCAGTGTCTTTTTAGATCTGCTAAGCACTCCACAGGGTCCTGGCTGGGTAGTGAGTGACTGAGAGGGGAAAGAAATGCAGGGGCACACTGAAGGAGGCTTTGGGGCCTGACTGCGTGGGCAAGGGCCCCTGACAGACCTGTAAGGAAACTGATATGATCTCTCTACCCAAGTAAGACGGTCCTTTTTTTAGACATTCAAAGGTGACTACCCTTGTGGAGAGCCTACTTCAGCCAAGCAAAGAGCAGTAGCAACAGCAGAAAGACAGATCTATCTATCGGTCTGTACAGCAAGACGCAAGATACCTTGTAATATCGTTCAATTCACTTTTCAATACTTTTCTTGAAAGTATTGCATTACTGTACTTCCAAGTCTTGTACAGCACGTGGCTATTGGAAGCTATGTGAAAAAGCCTGGACATCCAGGTTCTTGTGTACTGTATCTCTTGTCAGTATCATGCCCTGGGTCCTACAGTTGAGAAGTCCACTTCACATACCTGGCTGATAGAAGGAAGGGGACAGTTCCCTGGCCACCACCCTGGCGACGCTGGACTCCTGGTTGGAGGCCTGGGAAGCCTGATCAGCAGCATCTGACTTGGCCTTAGCATGGGTCGTCCTGCAGGGAAACAAACAAAGCCTAATTTACTCAATATCCACAAACCCAACCTTACAATGAGTTACTTGACTTATTCCTTCTCCTCCTGATATACTATATACAGTGCATTCGGAAAGTATTCAGACCCCTTGACTTTTTCCACATTTTGTTACGTTACAGACTTATTCTAAAATTGATTTAATAAAAATGTTTCCTCATCAATCTACACACACTACCCCATAATGACAAAGCGAAAACAGGTTTTAAAGAAATGTTTGCAAATGTATTACAAATAAAAAACAGAAATGCCTTATTTACATAAGTATTCAGACCCTTTGCTATGAGACTCGAAATTGAGCTCAGGTGTATCCTGTTTCCATTGATCATCCTTGAGATGTTTCTACAACTTGATTGGAGTCCACCTGTTGTAAATTCAATTGCTTGGACATTATTTGGAAAGGCACACACCTGTCTATATAAGGTCACACAGTTGACAGTGCATATCAGAGCAAAAACCAAGCCATGAGGTCGAAGGAATTGTCCGTAGTGCTCCGAGACAGGATTGTGTCGAGGCACAGATCTGGGGAAGGGTACCAAAAAATGTCTGCAGCATTGAAGGTCCCCGAGAACACAGTGGCCTCCATCATTCTTAAATGGAAGAAGTTTGGAACCAACAAGACTCTTCCTAGTGCTGGCCGTCCGGCCAAACTGAGCAATCGGGGGAGAAGGGCCTTGGTCAGGGCCTCTGACAGAGCTCCAGAGTTCCTCTGTGGAGATGGAATAACCTTCCAGAAGGACAACCATCTCTGTAGCACTCCACCAATCAGGCCTTTATGGTAGAGCGGCCAGATGGAAGCCACTCCTCAGCTTGGAGTTTGCCAAAAGGCACCTAAAGGACTCTAAGACCATGAGAAACAAGATTCTCTGGTCTGATGAAACCAAGGTTGAACTCTTTGACCTGAATGCCAAGCGTCACGTGTGGAGGAAACCTGTCACCATCCCTACGGTGAAGCATGGTGGTGGTGGCAGCATCATGCTGTGGGGATGTTTTTCAGCAGCAGGGAACTGGGAGACTAGTCAGGATCGAGGTAAAGATGAATGGAGCAAAGTACAGAGAGATCCTTGATGAAAACCTGCTCCAAAGCACTCAGGACCTCAGACTGGAGCAAAGGTTCACCTTCCAACAGGACAACGACCCTAAGCACACAGCCAAGACAACGCAGGAGTGGCTTCGGGACAAGTCTCTGAATGTCCTTGAGTGGCCCAGCCAGAGCCCGGACTTGAACCCGATCAAACATCTCTGGGGAGACCTGAAAATACCTGTGCAGCGATGCTCTCCATCCAACCTGACAGAGCTTGAGAAGATCTGCAGAGATGAATGGGAGAAACTCCCCAAATACAGGTGTGCCAAGCTTGTAGCATCATACCCAAGAAGACTCTAGGCTGTAATTGTTGCCAAAGGTGCTTCAACAAAGTATTGAGGAAAGGGTCTGAATACTTACACTACCAGTCAATGTTTGGACACACCTACTCATTCAAGGGTTTTTCTTTATTTTTACATTGTAGAATAATAGTGAAGACATCAAAACTATGAAATAACACATTTGGAATCATGTAGTAACCAAAAAAGTGTTAAACACATCAAAATATATTTTATATTTGAGATTCTTAAAATATCCACCATTTGCCTTGATGATAGCTTTGCACACTCTTGGAATTCTCTCAACCAGCTTCATGAGATAGTCACCTGGAATGCATTTCAATTAAGAGGTGTGCCTTCTTAAAAGTTAATTTGTGGAATTTCTTTCCTTCTTAATGCGTTTGAGACAATCAGTTGTGTTGTGACAAGGTAGGGGGGTATACAGAAGATAGCCCTATTTGGTAAAAGACCAAGTCCATATTATGGCAAGAACTGCTCAAATAAGCAAAGAGAAACGACAGTCCATCATTACTTTAAGACATGAAGGTCAGTCAATATGGAACATTTCAAGAACCATCAAGCGCTATGATGAAACTGGCTCTCTTGAGGACCGCCACAGGATTGGAAGACCCAGAGTTACCTTTGCTGCAGAGGATAAGTTCATTAGAGTTACCAGCCCAAATAATTAAATTGCAGCCCAAATAAATGCTTCACAGAGTTCAAGTAACAGACACATCTCAACATCAACTGTTCAGAGGAGACTGTGTGAATCAGGCCTTCATGGTCGAATTGCTGGAAAGAAACCACTACTAAAGGACACCAATAAGAAGAAGAGACTTGCTTCGGCCAAGAAACACGAGCATTAGACCGGTGGAAATGTGTATTTTTGTCTGGAGTCCAAATTGGAGATTTTTGCTTCCAACCGCCGTGTCTTTGTGATATGCGGTGTGGGTGAACGGATGATCTCCGCATGTTTATTTCCCACCGTAAAGCATGGAGGAGGAGGTGTTATGGTGTGGGGGTGCTTTTCTGGTGACACTGTCTGTGATTTATTTAGAATTCAAGGCACACTTAACCAGCATGGCTACCACAGCATTCTGCAGTGATACGCCATCCAATCTGGTTTGGGCTTAGTGGGACTATCATTTGTTTTTCAATAGGACAATGACCCAACACACCTCCAGGCTGTGTAAGGGCTATTTTACCAAGAAGGAGAGTGATGGAGTGCTGCATCAGATGACCTGGCTCCACAATCCCCCAACCTCAACCCAATTGAGATGGTTTGGTGTGAGTCGGACCACAGAGTGAAGGAAGAGCAG